TGTGTTGACTTGCGTTGCTCTAGCGGGGCGTGTTCTGGTCGAACGAGCGACGACAATGCGTTGAGACCAGCGTAGCCGACGCCATCGCGAAGGCGTTGTTCGGGCCGTCTTCGTTAGGCATTAGATTCGCGTGAGTGGAGGTGTTCAACACTAGGTGAACCGGGGGTTAAGGGCTCCTCGAGTAGAGCGAATCGGATGAATTGGCTAACTTCGCGGACTGCCGGTCTTAGCAGTTTTTCGACTTCTGATGTCGAACCGACTCGCCAGTGCGTGCACTGATGGTTGTCGGCTGGGTTGGTTCGGGGTCAGTGATTGGTCATCGACGGGTTGGACGTGGGTGCGGGCACTGCCTCGACGCTGAAGGGCGCCGTACGCGTTCTTGCCTCTGTCGAATAATGGTGATCGTAGAGGTTCTTGCGGGGAGTGGCGAGTGTGGCGGCCCCGTCGATCTCAATTGCGGCTCATGCCCTCTGATATCGGGGTTGGTTATTGGCTGAGGTGGTGGTTGGAACGGAGCGTGATGTGGGGGGCTTTGTCTTGTATGTGAAGCCAGCCTACCTACGTTCTCGTTGGGGTGTGGGAGTTCGTAATAATCGAATACGGCCGTCATCAACTTGCTTAGCGAGGAGGTGGATATCGCAACCTTGAAAGTGTCACAGTAATCCACCGGCGGCCCCCATTGCTCGGCTGCGAGGCGGTAGTGACCCGACCAAGGTCGGATCCAAGCAATAGGTCACCCGGGGTCAGTGTCATTAAGATGCAACGCTCAATAACCTCAGTGGAACTTTGGACTGCGTACTACAACTTTGGATCAGATCGCGTTAATGCACCGTAATATCCAGTCCAGAGATTGCCGACAGCCATTATCGGGAAATCTGACTTAAACCTTCGATAATTGAGAGTGGTTCCTGAAGTCGTATGTAACCGTTGAGCATTAACTAGCCTGACCAAACCTTCGCGATTTGTTTTGAATGTGCCTCGTCCAGGCGTGAATCTTCTTCCTTTGAATTCAAACTCCTTGACGTCACCTTCCCGCGACGGGACTTGAGGGAAATTGTCGGTTATCGCACAAAGACATGCGCATTGAGTCGTTGGAATTCGTTAAGTCGTCTAGTCGGAATTACAGAACCATCGGACAGTAGCGCTTGATCATATCTTTCGTCGGCAATGTCACTACGCCGAGTAAATATCTGCCTGTATTTTGTAGAGTTTCGGTCTCGTGCGTACCAGACAATGAAATCCGTAGTAGTCCCTAGTAGAACTGCCGTCCCTTGGCTAGTTGTTTTTCGTATCGAGATGATTGAAACGAAGTTCTCGATTTCCGAACAGTCATCATCAAACTCCGAAATGATGGAGGTTCTCGTCGCTTATCTGCACGAAACAGGAGCCGCTTTCGGTCAGCAACTCCCGTGTCAGCAGCAGGCGATCGCGCAAATACGACAAGTAGGAGTGAATGCCTAATTCCCATGTGTCTCGGAATCGCTCTAATAGTCTCTGGTTGCTGTGTCAGGTCGTCGTCTCGTCCGTCTCTGACGTTGCGATTGTTTACGAATGGTTGGAAGTTTGAGCCGTATATCAATTGCCGTATGGCGGGTCGATGTATATCATCTGGACCGTTCCGGCCATGCCTTCTTTTTCAAGGAGGCTATTCATGACCAGCAGACTGTCGCCGGCGACGAGTCGGTTGCTCCAGTTGTGTCGGTGCTTGTAGAACTCGATAGCGTCGCGAACGGGTGGGTTTTCTTCCGGCGACTCAAAAAGGGGCATCTGAGGTGCGCCGTTGCCATTCCGTTTTCGAACCGCCTCGATTACGGTTCGCGGGTCGGATGCGTCGTTGGACGTGAAGGGAAACGGTGGGGACTTCGAATGATGGGGGTTCGCTTGCCAGCCCATTGGAGCTGGGGGTCTAGTGCGGGTCGTATTGGTACGTTTTCTTTCCGTTGTGTCTGTGTCGGTTTGCGGGCCGTGACAGTCGACGGGCGGGTTGGTTGGTCAGCCGCTCTTGATCGCGATGCTGGTATGACTCGATTGGTCGTTTACGTCTAACTGAAGGCATTTGATGATTTCAAGTCGTAGATTGGGCTATTCTTTGGCCACTCGGAGGCAGTTGTCAAAAATCCATGATACTTGGTGTTATCACGGGACCGACGAACGACTAGTGACGTTTGGAACTGCCTCGTCGTCACGGGTTCGCTTTGTGCAAGTTGCCGGTGCGGAGGCGTTGGTTGGTTTGCGGTTGTATGAACCCGGCGTCGCTGCGCTCCGCGTCCCCCTTTTGCGTCGCAAAAGGGGGGAGGTTTCGGCTGCCCGCACCCGGGGTATCGCCTGCTTGCCTCGCTTTCCGAGTGGGTACGTTCGATAATGTTTGCGCTGCCGCTAGCCCTCGTCCGTCAACCTCCAACACAACAGATCGAAAAGGGCCACGCAGAGATATGCCCCACGCGTCGAAAAATTACATGAACCAACCAAACCAATTCAAACGCATTACCAATCAACTGAACCCATGACCACCGATTCCGAACCCGTCCCGCCCCGAACGAGAAGAGCATTCCCGTGCGATGGTCGTCTTCGCTCACCCCGACGACGCCGATTGGGGATGCTCAGGAACCGTCGCAAAGTGGACCCGTCTCGGATGGGAGGTCGTTTATGTGATGTGCACCGACGGCTCCAAGGGCACCGAAGATCGATCCCTCTCAGGCACCCAGCTAAGCCAAATCCGAAAACAAGAACAGACCGACGCCGGACGTGTCCTCGGCCTGAAGTCGATCGAGTTCTTGGACTTCCCGGACGGCTACCTCGAACCGACGATCACGCTGCGTCGTGAAATCGTCCGCGTGATCCGAAAACACCAGCCGCACATCCTGATCACGACAAACCCCACGCGCGACCTCTCGCACTCCAACCACATCGGCCATCCCGACCACTTCGCCGCCGGCGAGGCCGCACTCTCCGCCGTGTTCCCCTCCGCACGTGACCACCTGTGGGACGAGAGCCTGCTAGGCCAAGGCCTCGAACCCTGGAAGGTTCACGAAGTCTGGGTCATGATGTTCGGCGAAGGGAGCAGCCACTGGAACCCCCTCGAGGACCAGAAGACATCGAAAAGGCGATTGGTGCCATCAAATCGCACGTCAGCCAACTCGACCAACCGGAAAATGTCGACAAATGGATGCGACGATGGCGAGCCGAAAACGGCAAGAACATCGACGCCCCCTTCGCCGAAGGTTTCAAACGTTTTCAACTTGTCCCCGGATTCACGCCTGACGATGACGAAGGAACAAGAAGACTCCGACTACGTTCGCGTCGACCTGCTATAACCGACTCATGCCAACCGAGCCTGCACCAGAACCCGGAGCCGACAACTCCCCACCAGCGTCGCAAAGCAACCGCGCCCGCCAACAACGCTCGCGCAAGAACATTACGCACCCCATCGGCTTTGATGACGAAAACCTAGAAAAAACCTTCAACCGCAAGCGCAATATCACCAAGCCAGACCGCAAATCCGAACTCCGCCGCCTACACTAACCGCCCGACGGACCACTAATTCAATCAGAACCCATAAACCCCCTTCGCATTCCCTCCGAGCAACATCCCACGCTCCTCGTCACTCAACCAATCAAACCCCTCTCGGACCAACCGCAACTCATCGGCAAGCGAAATCCAACCATTCTTCTCCCGAAGATACCCGGTATCCCGTCCCCCAGATACACCGCTCAATCCCAAACGCATCAATCGCCATCATCACCGCACTGTGCATGTCGCCAAACGGATACGCTTCCGCCGAGCGACTGTGCACATCCGAAATCGTCATCACCACATTCGGAAACCGAGCCAACTCCAAAACCGGCAGATACGCCGACCAACCATCGCCCGCCATCCAAGGTCCGGATACATCATGTGGTCGATGATCCAAGTAATCCCCGGGTACATCGGCACGACCCGCGCCATCTGACCCACATTACCAACTCGATTGTGAACCTTCACGATCCCTCCGCGCTCCTCAATTGCCCGAAACATCGCGCCATTCCGAACCGGGTCCAAGACCTCGTCATCCGGATAGTAGTCGGGATGGAAACGAAAACCCGACATCCCAAACTCATCCATCCACCGCGCCGCCACCGAAGCATTCTCAGGATCCATCGGGTCGACGAGACCTATCGATCGAAACCGAGTCCGATCCGCATTCGTCGATTCCGCGACATAAGTATTGTCCCAAGTCGACCCGCTCGACTGCACCAACACCGTCGCATCAACGCCATTCGCATCCATATCCTCCACTTAACAACCCCGTTGGTCCAGCCTCCTCCGTAACCGCCGTCCAACTCGGTGCCGTTGGGCCAACCGGCGCAATGGGAGGCAACTCCCAGACATGTACATGGCAGTCGATAATCATTCCGCTCTCCCTCAACTTGCTCGCTACTTTTCCGACATCCTACTCGCGCCCAGCCGAGCACCAATAAAATCAGGCCGCCCGACAACAAACTCACCCGCCGACATAACCCTCGTCCCGGCCGCTTGCACCTCGACTAAACGAACCGCGGAACCATCGCCCGTACTTACATAAACGCCTTGACCGTCGCGCTCGAACACGACTCCCGGATCGAAGCCCGACGGGATACGCTCGCCGCTCACAAACTCAACGTCGATCAGCTTCAACAACTCCCCATCCCACACCGTGCTAGTCCCCGGCCAAGGATGGAAAGCTCGATTCATCCTTACAATTCGTTCCGCTGGTGCATCCCAATCGACGACCCCATCCTCCTTACGGATTAACCGCGTCACTGTCGCGCCCGCGTCATCCTGCGGTTGAGGTAACAAAACACCAGAGGCCAGATCATCAAGCACATTGGGAAGCATGCCAGCCCCGACCTCAAAGAGATGATCCGTCAATCCATCGACACGAGTTTCCTGCGTAATCTCGACTGGCGCAGATTGCGAAAGGATCGGGCCCGTGTCCATCCCTTCATCCAGCAACATTAGCGAAACTCCCGTGAACGTATCTCCGTCAAGGATTGCGGTGGCGACAGGACTCGGCCCCCGATGCCGCGGCAAAAGTGATGGGTGGATGTTGACCGCGCCGAGTTGTGTAGCCGAAAGAATCTCAGAAGGGATGAACCGTCCGTACGCTACAACGACGACAACATCCGCGTTCGCCGACTCGACCGCTGCCATTGCCGCGGCGTCCAACCGATTCGGAGTGATTGCTGGAATACCGACTTCTTCGGCGAATTTGCGACGGGAGTGGGCGTGCGCGATTCTGCCGCGACCGGCGCGTTTCGCTGGTCGCGTGCAGATCAACGGCACCTCGAAATCCGCGTCGAGAAGGGCGCGAATCGAAGCAATGGCATAGTTTGGCGTGCCGAAAAATACCGTTCTCATGTGGTCAGATTTTCGCACAATCGACACATCATGTCGATGGCGATGCCTCAGTCGAGTGAAGAAATCGAAGTAGTAAGTGCGGACAGCGGTGGGGTACGATGCGGTTTTCACTAGCCGCAGCGCTTGCCAAACGGACCTTGAATCGTGACTTTGGACGCGTGTTCAAACGGGAAATTTCGGTTCAAAAACGCACGAAATGATGCCTTTTGTGCGTTGCCAGTTTTGATCAGACTAGATATGTTAGATGGAGTTGATGTTGTTTTCGGGCTCCGAGGAGGCGGCCCGAGAGCCAACCAAAAAGTAACTTGCGCGAAGCTGTAGCCACGACTTTGCGCCCCGTCGATTCTTTGTTCGTACACGAAAGGATGATCTGTGCCTGATGCCCTTTCAGACAGCACCACTTGCGCGTTGCAGAAGCGTTGGAAAACCGTACTCGGTTTGGTCGAGATCCAGATCGGCAATCAAGCTGATTTCGATGCATACCTAGCAAATACTCAAGCGACATCTTTCGCCGATGGCGTGCTGCACGTCACCGTCAAGAACGGCTTCATTGCGGCGTGGATCCGACAACGAGTGATGCGAAGCCTTCGGCGATTCACGGCCCAGGTTTTCGATCAGGAAATCAAGATCGAACTTGAAACGATGGCGTACACCAGCAGCGACGTCTTGGTACGCGAAGGACTTGCTGGCGACTACACGCAATGGGCCGATGTTCGGCTGCAACAGCAACATGCGTTGATGGCTCGCGACAACGCACGGTCGTTCCCAACAATCCCAGGCAGCACGTTCGAACGGTTCGAGAGCTCCGATTGCAATACCCAAGCAATGAACGCGTCGCAAAAGGTCGTCGAAAACCCGGGTACCGAGTTCAATCCGCTCACCATCACAGCTGAGACCGGGCAAGGCAAAACTCACCTGCTTAACGCCATAGCCAACCAGATGCGACGGGAGAACTTGAACGTCGTCTGCCTGACGGGCGAAGAGTTCGTCGATAGTTACGTGAAATCGTCACGCGCCGGAAACGTTGACGCGGTGCGCGATCGCTACCGCGGCGTTGATGCGCTGTTGGTGGACGGCATCGAAAGATTGATCGGCAAAGCAAAGACGCAGTCGTTCTTCCTCAACGTCGTGGAACACCTCATTTCGAATCAGAAGCAACTGGTCTTCACTTTCAACAGTTCTTTATCCGATGCATGATCTCGGCGAAGAGATCACGTCCCGGCTTGCCGGCGGATTGGAGATTTCGATCAATCCGCCTGATTTCGAGCTGAGCGATCTCTTCTACACCGGTACGCGAACGAAAGGCGCCTCGATTTGGCAGCCGAAGCGTTGGACTATCTGTCAAATCGAGTAACCAGAAACGTCAGGGAGAAATCATCGGTGGTATCGCTCGCGTCGACGCGCACCTAAGATTTTCCAAATCTGCTCAATCGGCAACCCAGCCTACTCAAGCAGCTGCGGAGTCCACCGTGAGCCTTGCCGTAGCAATCGACGCGGTACGCGACCGGGTCAGTGCACCAGAGCCAACCATGATGGCGCCAGAGGCTATTCTAGAAGCGGTGGCAGGTGTGTTCATGATCGACGTAGATGAGCTATGCCGGCCGGGCAGAGGCAACAGATCAGTGAACGCCGCGCGAGACTTGGCGATTTATATGCTGCGCGAGAAGTGTGGTCTCACAAGCTCTGAGCGAGCGGCAACGTGATGGAGGTCGGCTAGGCGCCGCATTCGACAGGTGTATGCGGCGCGAGCCGATATCGGAGACGTCGTCAAACCGACGCGCAACTCGGTGAAGCGGAACGGCGCGTCGTCGAGCGAATGCTGCGTTAAATGTCTCGGACGGGCGCTTTACCTACCTACCGGTTCCGGCGTTCGGAAAAACTGTTGACGATACCACCTGAGTTCGTCGATGCTTTCCAGGACATCGTCGAGCGCGCGCGGTGTGACTTCGCCTTCGGTGGCGGTTCTTTGGCATCGGGATGCCAACGACCGATTAGTTCCTTGATAGAACTGACGTCGATGACGCGATAGTGGAGATACGATTCCAACTTCGGCATTTCGCGCTTCAAAAACAACCTGTCGACCCAGATCGAGTTGCCGCACAATGGCGCTTCCCACTGACGACCCACTCTTTGACGAAACTCAACGTCTGGGTTTCCGCTTCATTGATGCCGATCTTCGAGGCCCTCACCTTGTCAATGAGTCCAGATTCAGAGTGTTGACGCGCCGACCACGGGTCAATATTGTTGAGGTCATTCACCGAACGATTGATTGCAATGTCCGGTCCCTCAGCCAAGATTTCAAGGTTTGAATCAGTGACTACCGTGGCTATTTCGATGATGACGTGTTGCTCTTCGAGACCTGTCATCTCGAGGTCGAGCCACACCATTCGCCCCTGGTTTTTTCTGTTCGTCGCCATCAATCTCCGAGGATACCAGTGTCGACGAACTGAACGGCGATCTTCGGTGACGAGATCGTAAAGAACTTGTGCGAGAATCGGCATACTAGCGGTATTGATTCAATGACGGTGTACAGCCGCGGACACGAAGCGAAAATCATGACGTTTTGCGACGGAATCGAAGTGGAATCTTTGGTGCAACGAGAGGCGATGATGCGTCACCCCTTTGTGCTCGGCATCGGTGACGGTTCGCTTTCCAAAGAACGTTTCAGGCACTTCATAACGCAAGACTACGTTTATCTGATCGACTACGCCCGATGTTTAGCCATGGGCACGGTGAAGGCGCCCGACTTGGAAACCATGAGTTGGTTCGGGGTCGCGGTCGATCACATCCTCAACACAGAGATGGAACTCCACCGCTCATATTGCGCTGATCTCGGAATAACCATCAACGAGTTGGAGTCGACACGACACGCGCCGACAACGTACTCGTACACGAGCTACCTGTTACGCGTTGCCCAGATTGGAAGTTTCGGAGAATTGATTGCCGCATTGGTGCCGTGTATCTGGGGATATTGGAAGGTGGGCGAAATGCTGGCCGAGGTGGGTGAACCACAAGATGCGCCGCACTACGCCGATTGGATCCGTATGTACGCGGGTGACGAATCGAGAATCGTCGCGCTGGAAGCGCGTTCCATCTGCGACCGTACCGCTGAGAACGCAGGTCAACCAGAACTTGACGCGATGCGCGAGGCGTACATCACCTGCACACGTTACGAGCGCGCTTTTTGGCAGATGGCGTGGGACCTTGAGGAATGGCCAGCGTAACACGCTGATTCGTATCGACTCAAATATTCGTCTACCCGAAATTGACGAGCCACAACTAACCGCTATAATTTCATCACGTCTCAACTGAGCGGGAGTAACTCAGTGGTAGAGTATCTGCTTCCCAAGCAGAAGGTCGCGGGTTCGAATCCCGTCTCCCGCTCCATTCAAAGCCTCAGAACGTCGATCCTATCGGTCTTGCACCGAGCCATCGAATCCAATCGGGGTATCCAAGACTTTCGGATCTTCGCCGATGTTCGCCAAGGCCTCCTCGTTTATCTCAACACCTAGTCCCGGTCCTTCGGGAACCGTCAGATACCCGTCTATCAACTCGAGCGGCTCAACTAGGAGTTCAGACTTGGGTGGCTCGGATTCTCCGGTGTATTCTTGCAACGCGAAGTTCGGGATGCATGCATCGAGTTGAACGCACGCGGCGGTCGAGATGGGCGACAGGGGATTGTGTGGAATGACTTTGACATGTTGCGCCTCAGCCATGGCGGCAACTTTTTTGCAGCCGCTCAGACCTCCGCAGAGGCACAGGTCGGGACGCACGTAGGCACAACCACCGTTCTCCAAGAGCTGTTGATACTCGAAGATCGTCGTGAAGCGTTCGCCAGTGGCAATGGGGATGTTGCACTGCGCTTGAACTTCCGCCATTCGCGCTGGCGAGTCTGGCAACATCGGGTCTTCGTAGAAGAAGGGATTGAACTGTTCGAGTCGCCGTCCGAGCCAGATCGATTCGGCCGGGTTCATCTGGCGATGTATCTCGACGCAGATGTCGACGTCTGAACCTACCGCATCTTTGACCATTCCCACACGTTCAACCGCTTCATCGGCCCATTCGGTATACGACTTGTGCAAGTAATAATCTCGCGGGAAGGGCGTGAATCGCACCGCAGTGAAACCTTGCTGTTTCGCACGTAGCGCGTCGGCTGCCAGCTCCTCGCCGTGTCGCCATTGACATGCATGTAACACCGCACTCGATCTCTCGTCTTTCCGCCCATCAGGTCGTATATCGGCACGCCCAAGCGCTTGCCCTTCATGTCCCAAAGCGCGATGTCGATTGCACTCAACGCGCCTTGGACCACAGATCCCATGAAGTGGGATGATCGGTAGAGGTACTGGTAGTGATGCTCGATTAGATTCGGGTCTTTGCCGATCAGGTACTCGGTCATCACATCGACCATCGTCTTGGTCGGACGTTGCCAGCCGTGGACGCCGCCCTCACCGATGCGACATGCCGTCCTCAGAATGGATCTTGATCAGGAGCCAACGACTCCACAGAAATGTCTCAACCTTCTCGATCTTGGTCATTGGAATATTCCTGTTCACTGCGCCTTATCGCGGTCGCGTCGGAACCGCGACTGCCTCAGCGATTGCAGTTTAACGGAAACGATCCGACAAATCGTCTATTCTTTCACCGAAGAATTCGGAGCCAATCAACATGTCGATGCAATGTCTCCGGTCAAACTAGAAAAACCGAGGAACCAGAATTGCGAATCTGATTACAGGCATCACCGGCCGCGTCGGGGCCAATGTCGCCAAACGCTTCGTCGATATTGGTCACGAAGTAACCGGTTTGGTCTGGTCGGGAGACCGTCAATCCGAGAAAGTCGCTCAGATCGGCGCCGATATCGTCGAAGGAGACCTAGCGTCGTGCCACGACGTTGCGAAGGCAACCAAAGGCGCGGATGCGATTTTCCACTTGGGTGCGGCATTCCAAGCCGGCGGACCGTTCACGTCAGAGCAGTATTTCGACATCAATGTGAAGGGCACTTCAACGTGCTCGAAGCCGCGGCGGCATCAGATCGATTGCAGCATGTGATCGTCACGAGTACCGATGCGACGATGGACAAATACCCGCCGGAAGGCATTGCGGAACCGATACGCGAGGACTCGCTGCCATTGGTGTCCACCGGCTGGTACGGCTACTCGAAAGTGTTGACCGAGCATCTGGTCGATCGGTACGTCCGCGCCCAGTCGTTACCGGCGACGGTGTTCCGGTTCGCCAACGCATGGGGCGCTTGGAGAGGTATTGGATTACGCGCAGTTTTACATGCGGACCTACATGGGTCAATTTGAAGGTTCCGAAGATGTGGAGCGTAGAGAAGCTTTCGATGTCATGTCGAAGGTTTACGACGGCGAACCTCACCTGATCGTCGCTGCAGACCGCCACGGCCGGCCATGGAAGAAACACTTCGTCGAGGTGCGAGACATCATCCATGCCTACGAGAACGCGGTCGACGTGCCGGCCACCTTTGGCAAAACCTACCAATTGGCATCGAGCGAACCGTTCCGCTGGGAGGTGATGATCCCGTACTTGGCAGAGAAGTTAAATGCACCGTACACAACCGTGAATTTGCCGATCACGCCCACCTATTACGAGTACGACGTTTCAGCCGCCAAACGCGATTTCAACTACGACCCGACGCTGTCGCTTTTTGGCATGATCGACGAAGCGATCTCACACCGACAGACTGGAAGGGGTTCGATTATCCCTACAAAGTTCTGAATCGTTGCATCGCGTAGTAGGTTCCGAAGGCAAAGCCGATCAACCCCGGCAAATGCACGACGATACCCGCACCAACGAGCAAGTTCGGAAAGACACCATCGATAAATTCGATCACCATAACTTCGGCGACGTAGAAGAGAAGCGCGAGAACCGCGGCCATAATGCGCAGGCTGGTCGCGTATTTCCTGCCTGAAATGAGTTGCATCGCTTGGGTGACAAGCATCACACCAGCAAATTGTGCAACTCCAACGACGATTAGCCAAATACTCGAGTTGGTGCCTTCCAGATTCCAATGACCACAAAGCGTGAGGATTACGGCCGCTACGGCGGCGCCGACTCCGATGGAAACCAAACCGCCGAGTACGCCGACACGAATCAAATCACTCTGAGTAACTTTGAACATCGCGGGTCCGCCGATGGACGCACAGTCAGGACACTTCGAACCAACCGGCGCGTACACCATACAGCGCGGGCAGATCGGGTCGGAACATTGCGCGCAACGCAGGTTAGTCTCGACTCCTGAGTCGCGTGGGCACTCCGTCATGTTGAGTTCGACGTTGGTAGCGTTTTGGCTCATCAGTGTGTTTCGGTCTAAGTGTTTTCGCTAGGTCGGTTGTGAACCCAAAGATCGCGTGATGCGATATCACGGTCGAACACCATTCGGTTCCAAATCAATCTCGCGGGCGTCAACTCTCCATAACTTAACAACGATTCTTTGAATCCACCGGATGTAGTCCGCCGGATTATTGTTATCAAGGCGAAACCGATCCCGTAGATGGCCACCCATAGACCATAACCCGCCCACAACGCCCAGATCGGGAGCAGCAACGTAGCAATCAGCCATCCGACCGCGGAGTCGCGCCACGGGGTGAGGGAGAACAAAATCCCGGGGATAGCTGCCCAAAGGATGAAAAGCGGGACCCCGAAACCGACGATCGAACCGAGTCCGACCGAGATTCCACGACCACCAGAGAACAGTAGAAAAATCGACCAATTGTGTCCACACATAGCGGCCAACCCAGCGATCGTTTGGGTAGCTGCACCGAGATCCAAGACGGCTTCTCCGCCGATGTAAACAGGCAGTAATCCTTTAACGAAAACATCGAATAGGGCTATCGGAGCGACCCATTTCTTGCCGACGTGGACGGAGACATTGGACGCGCCGACGTTGCCGCTGCCATATTTACGAATGTCGATGCCGGCGACCAACCGTCCGATCACGTACGCCGACGGGACGGAGCCGATGAGATAGGCACCGGCGATGACGGCAATGGTTGATACCGCGTCTGACATTTATGAGGTCTTCACAACTTGGATTCATCAAGTTGGTATCCAACGCCGCCGATGCCATGCAATGCGATTGCACGTTGATACAAAGCGCTGGCTGTACCCGGTGGTGGGCCGTTCATACCCGGCAGTATCTCATTGACCGTGTCGTTTGCGTGGTAGTCGGAACCGCCAGATTTAACCAACCCATATCGATCGGCGAGGGTTGAATAACGTCCAATCCTGTCGCTATCGTATTTCTCGGCATACACTTCGATTCCGGCGAGCCCATGCGGTGCCAATGTAGCCAACGTTTCGCCAATGTTCGCCACGGTTCGAGGGTGCGCAACCGTGGCGACCCCTCCTGCGTTGCGGACCAACTCGAGCGCGTGGATGCCATCGAGTTTACGTCGGGAAACGAATGCGGGTTTGCCGGGCGACAGAGTAGTGTGAGAACGCATCAGAGACCGTTTCCACATATCCGCGAGCGATCATGGCACGGGCGATATGCGGTCGCCCGATCGCTCCATCTGCGTTGGCAACCACTTCGTCCCAAGACACAGGCAACCCGATATGGATTAGGCGTTGGACGATCTGCTCCGCCTTCTCCTCACGGTCCTGAAGGAGCGCCGAAAGCTCTGCCTGCAACATTTCGTTGTGACGGTCGATGAAGTGGCAAGTGAGATGTATCTCGTTGCCGTTGACTTCGGCGCTCAATTCGATGCCCGGTATGAACGTGATGTCGGGATGAACTGCGCTCGCAGCTTCAGCCTCGTCCAAACCCGATGTGGTGTCGTGGTCGGTGACCGCGAAAAGCCGCAAAGACGATCTGCTGACAATCTCGACGATTTCGGCAGGAGATACCGTGCCGTCCGAAGCGTTGGTGTGCAAGTGCATATCCTCTTGCACGGGCCACTGTGGCGCGGTCCCCAAAACAGCGCCGGGGTCGTGCCGCGCACCAGTGTTTGATGCCGTCATCGGGTATCCGAGTCTCGGCGTCTTACTTCAATTTCGGCACGACTAGACAACCCCGATCAACTCGCAACCGCCTCCGCGCGGGATTCGCGAATGACAACCACCTTGATGAGTCCGGGATATTGGAGTCGCTTCTCGATAGCTTTGGCGATGTCGTTCGAAAGATAGCTGGCTTCCGCATCGTTGATTTTTTCGGGGTCAACCAATACGCGGACTTCCCGTCCGGCTTGGATGGCGAAAACGCGTCTGACGCCGTTGAAGCCCTTGGCGACGCTTTCGAGCTCGTTCAGGCGTTTGAGGTAGTTCTCATTGCTATCGTTGCGAGCCCCTGGCCTAGCTGCGCTCATGGCGTCCGAGGCTGCGACGATGAAGGAAGCGTGGGTCGTCATCTCTCGGTCGTGGTGTTCGCGAATCGCGACCACGATGTTTTCGCGAATCCCGTACTGTGCAGCAATGTCGGCGCCGATTTCTGCATGTGGTCCTTCGACTTCGTGCGTCAATGCTTTGCCGATGTCGTGAAGGAACCCGGCGGTCTTGGCGACTTGGGCATCGTCGCCAATCTGAGAAGCCAACATGCCTGAAAAGTGCCCAACTTCGATACAGTGCTGAAGCACGTTTTCGCCGTATGAATAGCGGTACTTGAGCCGTCCCATTATCTTGGTCAATTCAGGATGAAGCCCTCGGATACCGACGTCTAAAACCGCGTCTTCGCCCGCTTTACGAACTGCGATGTCCACTTCCTTTTGCGCTTTTTTAACCGCGTCTTCGATCCGGGCCGGTTGGATGCGACCGTCTTTAATCAATCTGACCAATGCGACGCGTGCGACTTCTCGTCGGATTGGGTCGAAACAAGATATGGCCACTGTATCGGGCGTGTCATCGACGAGCAGATCTACGCCCGGTGGTGGCTTCAATCGCTCGGATATTGCGCCCCTCGCGACCGATGAGGCGCCCCTTGACATCTTCGGAAGGAATCGGGATGCTCGTCACCGATGCTTCGCCGACGACATCGGAAGCTAGTCGTTGCATCGACGCGGCGAGAATCTCTCTTGCGCGTTCATCTGATTCGTCTTGGTAAATCAGTTCTGCTTCGCGGTAACGGCGTTTGAACTCGTAATCGTTGTCGTCTTCGGCGCGTTTCAGAAGGATCTCAAGAGCCGAATCTTTCGACATTCCTGACAGCCGTTCAAGCTCATTAGCACTCCGTTCACGGAGCTCTTCATCCGTTTGCTTTAGACGTTCTTCGAACGCCTTCAGCTCTGTTTGCTGAACGTTGAGTCCTCCGCGGATTTGTCGATGCGACGTTGGATTCGTTGGAGATCGCGCCGATCGCGGCGCGTTTGTCTTGCCGTATTCGTCCTCTCCGTTTCAATTTCTTTCAGGAATTGTTCTGCTCTTTGCTGGGATTCTTTGAGAATCTCGTTGCTGCGAGTCCGCGCCTGTTCAATCTGTTGCGTTAGTGCATCCTCGGTTGCTTTGATGGCTCGAGAATTGAGGCGCGAATTGCCCCAATAACCGATCGCCATGCCAACAATGAGAAACACCAACGCAGACACGCTTGCTAGGCCGGCTACGAGGGCAGGATTCATGGATTGACTCCTTAGTTGTAGCCGCAGTTACCTGCGTCTGAATCGCGTTGGTAATGGTTCAATCGAACCAAAGATTTGCCCCGGTTACGTTCGATCTGGGCGTCTTGACGCATTGGCAATTGCCCAGAAGCTTGCCAGATTGGCTATATTTCCGGGTAAACCCAGCTGTTAACCCAACGGGATTCACTTCGTTGCTTCTGGTTCAATCTTACGCACGCTGGTTGCGATAGGCAAGACGCCTTACGCACCGCGCTTGAGTTAGCAACGTTGCGATTGCACGGCTTGGGATGGCTCGAATGGACGAAAAGAGCGCTTATGCAGACGAATTGCGCCTACGATGTTGACTGTTCGTCGGCTTCGTCGCTCTCGGCTTCGGTTTCGTCGCCTTCGCCTTCCAATCCTTCGTCTTCTTCCTCATCTTCAACAAGGACGCGCGGAGGTTGTATCCAAGCGATCCGCTCGTCGGGGTCGCCCGCAAGGGCAGCGTCCGATGGTAACGGCAGATCGGATGCCAAGATGGCGACGTCAAGAGAATCGAGCACTGAACAGTCAGCTTGGAGTTCGTGTGGGATGCTGCCAGGGCGAGCTGAGAGCACAACTTCGTATACGCCTTGGGTCACGAAACCGGCACCTCCGCGGGTGCCCGTCGCTTCTTCTTGATTTATGAGCACGACCGGAACAGGGGCTTCGACAGTCTGGGTCACATCGACACGTAGAAAGTCAACGTGGAGTACGGCGCCGGACACGGGGTGCGTGGAGACCTCTCGAACGAGGGTCACATCCTTGATTCCGGCGGACGATTCAACGATGACCGGGGTTGTCCTACCAGCTTCACGAACTACATTGATCAGCCGTCGACTCTCTGCTTGGAGTGAAAGCGGCGCATCTAAGAGGCCGTACACGTGGATCGGGATAATGCCTTGTGCTCGGAGGGCGCGATTTTTTTTGCCCATTGTGGTTCGAGTGTCGGCTTGCAGCACCAGGTCGGCCATTTTTCGGTTACTCCCGTTGCGGGGTTAATTGTTCGGGCGTTTCGTATCGAATCGATACGCGTCTTCTATATGAACAGCGGCGCGCAATCCTTGAAAGGTGCGGCAATCTTCGATTCTAATCTCAGGACGTTGACTTTCCAACTCCTTTGCGTCTAAAGCGGGTCCAATCTGACGATTGGTATACTTGCGACATCAGAAAGTTGGAGCGCCAATCCGGCGATTCGTCTCGATTCTCGACGAACATCTTGAGCGGCGCTGCACCAGCGTCTGGTCTCCCACCATGCTGATCCCGATGAGAGTGGACTACGCCGTCCGCATGCTCGTATTTCTGGCAATGCAGCCGGAAGGTGTTCTCACGTCAACGTCCACCATCGCGCGGCAGCAACACATCCCTGAACCTTATTTATTGCGTATCTCGGCCGACCTGGTGCGTTCCGGTTTGATTGAGTCCCGACGGGGCCCCGGAGGCGGAGTTAGGCTGGCACATCCAGCGTCGGAGATCACCGTTGGGAAGGTCGTCGATTGCGTTGATCATAGCTTTGCCGCGATCGATTGTCTGTCGGAGCCAACCGTATGTCTCATCTCTGGGGCATGCTCGCAACGAGAACTTTGGGGCGATGTTGAGAAAATGTTGCTTGATTACTTATTCCACATCAAGCTCGAGGATTTGGTCAAGAAGCAACAGGAACTGCAGGGCATCCAAGAGGTGGCGCTGGAGGTTGGCAGCCCGGCCTAACAATTGATCTGAGACCGAAGTGGTTGGCACCCGACCATCCAATGCGGCACGTGACAACTCAACTAGCACTCGCGACAAGGCGATGCGATAGAATCACGCACAGCATCGCAAGAAACTCCAACGCACAATATTATTCAGCATTTGCGACGGTAGCTGTCAATAACGAGCGAGTCGAAGGTCGTTCTCATGCAGAGCACAAATGGATCAGTCAACGGTAGCGCAATCGCCGCGCCTCCACTAACTCCGGCCCAAGTACAACGATACAGCCGACATCTGATTATGCCGAATGTCGGTAGCGCTGGTCAACGAAAGCTAGTGGGTGCCAAGGTGCTCGTGGTTGGGGCAGGCGGATTGGGTTCCCCGGTTTCGCTTTATCTGGCACTGGCAGGAGTCGGCACGATAGGCATCGTAGATTTCGATGTGGTTGATGTGAGCAATTTGCAGCGGCAAATACTTCATACGAATGCCGATGTCGGACGCAGGAAAGTGATTTCTGCGAAAGAGACGCTCCAAGCCCACAACCCTGAAGTTAATGTCATCACCCACGAGGAACCGATCAACGCGGACAACGCGATGGACATCATTCCGAACTACGATATCGTGGTTAACGGGCAGACAACTTCGCAACGCGTTATCTGGTTAACGACGCCGCGTATCTCGCCGGCAAGCCGCTTGTGGATGGGGCCATCTTGGTGTTCGATGGTCAGGCTGCGACATACATCCCGGGGCAGGGTTGCTACCGCTGCTTGTTCCCAGATCCGCCGCCGCCAGGAGAAGTCCCGAACTGCGCCGAAGCCGGCGTAATCGGCGCGTTGCCTGGACTAGTTGGTTCGATCCAAGCGCTTGAGACGATCAAGTTGGTTATGGATATTGGAGAGACTTTGTCGGCCCGGATGTTAATCATCGACGCCTTGACGATGGAGTTCCGCGAGATAAAAGTCCGGCGCAATCCCAACTGCAAATTGTGCGGAGACAATCCGGAAGTCACCGAATTGATCGACTACGAGATTTTCTGCGGCATCGCGCCGCCGCAGGCCGTCGCATAATCCGGGCTCGTATCGGAGGGTGCGCGAAGGCCACGAGATCATGCAGATCGCGGAACGCGGGCGTGTAGTTGACGACGTCGCCGACCAAATCGGAAATACGCCGACAGTCGACATATCGCAGTTCAGCCCGAACCCAGACGTCAGCTTATTCGCGAAACTCGAATCGTTTAATCCGACCGGGAGTGTCAAGGACCGCGTCGCGTTGTCCTTGATTGATCAAGCTGAGCGCGACGGATTGTTGGTGCGAGGCAGTGGTGGCGTTATCTTGGAACCGACTAGCGGCAACACCGGTATCGGGTTGGCGTTGATTGGGCGTTTACGCGGTTACCAGGTTAAAGCGGTAATGCCCGAGAGCGTGAGCACCGAGCGTGTGCAACTGTTGCAAGGTTTCGGTGCGGAGGTGATTTTTTCGGCCGCTGAAAAAGGGACGAATGAATCGATTAACGTTGCGAAGGAATTGGCTCACGAAAATCCCTCGTACTTCATGCCATACCAGTACGGTAACAAAGCCAACCCCCAATCCCATTACGTGGCGACCGGACCAGAGATTGTCCGTGATGTGCCGGACGTCGATATGTTTGTAGCGGGGCTCGGCACGGGTGGAACACTCATGGGTGTCGGCAAGGCGCTGCGGGAGCACAACCCAAACGCAAAAATCGTGGCAGCGGCGCCGCATCCCGATGACAAGGTTCAGGGTTTGCGATCCATCGAGCATGGATTTATTCCCCCGATCCTCGACCTCGATGCGCTTGATGCAAGGATCATGGTCGAGGCTGAAGAGTCGTTTTTTTGGACGAGGAAGCTATTGTTGGATGCCGGCATATTTGTGGGTGTTTCTTCAGGTGCGGTATTGGCGAGTGCGATCAGGGCGGCACGACGATTGGAGAGCGGAACGATCGTAATGCTGTTTGCGGACGGTGGATGGAAATACCTTTCCACGGGCATCTACACGCGCGATTGGAGTGATATCCAGAATGAAGTGGAAGGACAGACGTGGTGGTGAACGACGTACCGACCGACGCTGGGGAGTTGTGTTTCGCGACCGCCAGTGACATTGCGGGATGGATTCGCGACGGAGAAGTTTCGGCGAGAGAGGTGATGACTGCGCATCTGAAGCAGATCGAGCGCATCAATCCCAAGGTGAATGCCGTTGTTACGTTGCTTGATGGCGACGTGTTGTTGGATCAGGCGGCGGAGGCTGACGAATTTCTGACCAAGGTTGGAGCGGATGATTGTGGGCCATTGCACGGTCTTCCGGTTGGCATCAAGGATTTGCAAACGACGGCCGGTATTCGGACCACTTTTGGATCGACCGATCTTCGAGAATTTCGTGCCGACCGAGGATTCTCTCACGGTTCAGCGTTACAAGGAAGCCGGGGCTATCGTTATCGGTAAAACGAACACTCCGGAGTTCGGCGCTGGATCACAGACCTTCAACGAGGTGTTCGGAACGACGTTGAACCCGTACGATCTGACGAAGACTTGTGGCGGGAGCAGTGGCGGTGCATCAGTTGCTTTGGCATGTGGGATGATGCCGATCGCTCAAGGGTCGGATTTTGGTGGGTCGTTGAGGAACCCAGCTGCATGGTCGAACGTCGTCGGGATGAGGAACAGCATCGGGACTGTACCGGTGCATCCAGCGCCCCTCGGCTACACCTCTGAGTCGGTAACGGGTGGCATGGCTCGTACTGTAGCGGACGTAGCACTGCAGTTGACCGCCTTGGCGGGGCCGGATCTCGGGTGCCGAATTCGTTAATGCAACAGGGGTCGGTTTTTGGCGAACCGCTGGAGCGCGATTTTGGTGGGACGCGGATCGCTTGGAGCCGGAATGTTGGCGGCGCACCGATTGATCCGGTGATCACTAAAACTCTGGACGCACAACGGCAGGTTTTCGAGGATCTGGGTTGCATCGTCGAGGACGCCGAACCGCCGTTGGAGGATGCTGGTGAGATATTCCACGTACTGAGGGCAGCGATATTTGCGCATCAGCATGAGGCGAACATTCGCGACCACCGGAAGATGGTCAAGGATACGATAATCTGGAACGCGGAGGAAGGGGCGAGAATCTCGGCATTGGATGTAAAGAAGGCCGAGGAGCGAAGGACGGCACTGTATGTGCGAATGGCGGATTTCATGAGTCGATATGATTTCCTCATGCTGCCAGTGACCTCGGTTCCGCCATTTTCTGCTGATGTGGAGTATCCAACCGAGATTGCAGGCAAACCACTGGCGAACTACCTCGAGTGGATGACGCCGTGTTCGTCGATCACGGTGACAGGACTTCCCGCGATTTCGGTTCCGAGTGGTTTCGCCGCTGACGGATTACCGGCTGGGCTGCAAATCGTGGGTCAGCAAAAGGCCGATTTCTCCGTGTTGCAGATGGCGCATGCGTTCGAAGGTGCGACGGATTTTTGGCGACGCCGGCCAGCAATCGTTTAGTAACCAATGTATGGCGTAATCGGAAACGGAGTGGATCGACGTGAATCTAGAACTTGACGGAAAATCGGCGGTGGTTACCGGAGGTAGCCGTGGGATTGGGAAAGCAATCGCTTGGGAGTTAGCGCGCGAGGGGTGCAATGTGGCGATCTGTGCGCGCAACGTAGATGCTCTGGAGGCGACCGCGAAAGAAATCGCTGCAGATACTGGTCGTGACATCTTCGCGATTGAGTGCAATACGTCGGACACGACTTCGGTTGATGCCATGGTTGCTCGGGCGAATTTCCAGTTGGGCGGCATCGACATCCTGGTCAACAACGCCGCTCGACCGCTGGGTCAGGCACGTGTTCCAGGAATCGAGGGAGTTACGGACGATGCGTTCAACGAAGACATCAACACCAAGGTGTTGGGATATCTAAGGTGTGCGAGGGCGGTAGCACCGATCATGAAAGAACGCGGATGGGGACGCATCATCAACATCAGCGGCCTCGCATCGCGGTCAAGCGGGTCGGCAGTGGGTTCGATGCGGAATGTGGCTGTCTCGGCGCTCACTAAAAATCTAGCTGATGAATTGGGTCCGCATGGGATCAATAGCGTCGTAATCCATCCGGGCACGACTCGGACGGAAGCGACGGCCGGGGTAGCAGCGGCAAGGGCGGCAGAGCGTGGAGTTTCGGTCGAGGCGATTCTGGAGGAGATGGCGAAGAACAACTCGGCGCGGCGAATCATCGATGCAAGGGAGATCGCCTACATCGCTGCGTTCGTGGCCTCACCAAAGGCAGTGGCGATCAATGGAGACGGCATTGCGGCAGGCGGAGGCGTCGGAACCGCAATCCACTACTGAGACGTTCGTGTGTGTGAACCATCGTTTCGAAAAAGTGTGACCAACTTACTCTAAAATCGAGTAAGTGTAGTCCTTTCATCGATCCTGTCGATTGGTAGTGGGAATCGATGACGGGGTAGCATATTTCGAGATTGAGCCCGAATTAGATGTCCGAAAACGAAATCGTCGTGCGAGGCGCGCGCGAACACAACTTGAAGAATATCGATGTTCGTATCCCACGCGACAAGTTGGTAGTTGTAACCGGCGTTTCGGGCTCGGGAAAAAGCAGTTTAGCGTTCGACACGATCTACGCCGAGGGTCAGCGGCGATATGTCGAGAGTCTGTCGGCTTATGCGCGCCAGTTTTTGGGTCGGTTGGAGAAGCCAGAGGTAGACCATATCGACGGGTTGAGTCCATCGATATCGATTGATCAAAAGGGTGTGTCGAGGAATCCCCGTTCGACGGTTGGAACGGTCACGGAGATCTACGACTATCTCAGATTGTTGTTTGCACGCGCAGGCCGCCCCCATTGTCGAAACTGTGGCCAACCCGTGCAACGTCAGACTATTCAACAGATCGTCGACTCGATCATGCGGCTGGATGAAGGCTCACGTTTGTTGCTGCTGGCACCAGTGGTCAAGCACAAGAAGGGCGAGCACACTGCAGTATTCGAAGGTGCGCGACGTTCCGGGTTCGTCCGCGCGCGCGTTGATGGTGAGGTCGTTGAGCTCAACGAAGACATCACGCTCAACAAAAACAAGTGGCACAACATTGAGATCGTGGTTGACCGGATCATTGTGAGAGGCACGACGGAGAGAGAGCGCTTGACCCAGTCTGTCGAGACGGCGTTGAGAACCAGCGAAGGGATGTTAACGGTCGCCGTGCTCAATCCTAGTGAACGATTGACCGAGGAGTTGACGTCGGGTGCGAGGAGCGCAGTCGCCGCGGGTACGATCAACAAACAACGACAACGCAAACAGCAAGGGGTCCAATCGCAAGATATCGCTTACTCCGAACTGTTCGCCTGTCCGGACTGCGACATCTCGATGTCGGAGTTGGAACCGCGCAACTTTTCGTTTAACACTCCGTTCGGGGCGTGTTCCGATTGTCGGGTATTGGATACCGATTGGAGATCGACCCCGATCTAGTGTTGCCGAACAAGGCGATCGCGCTAAAGGATGGAGCAGTAGCGCCTTGGAGTCGGGATGGGAAGAATTCTCAATGGGCTTGGGGCCCGTTACATGCGCTGGAAGAACATTTCCAAGTGCCGTTGGACAAGCCGATATCGGAGCTTGAACCAGAGCACCTGAAGCTCATTCTTTACGGATCGGGGCGGAAGAAAGTCCAGTTGACGCATCGGACTTCGTCGGGCGCCGTCTTTAGTTGGAAGGGGCAGATCGAGGGTGTAATCCCGAATTTGCAGCGCCGACATTCGAACACCGAGTCGGAAAATGTGCGAAACGACATTGAGCGATACATGTCACAGCGGACCTGCAATACCTGTGATGGGGATCGACTAAAGCCCGATGCCCTTGCGGTTACCTTGCTCGGGATGAACATCATGCAGGTGACGCGGCAATCGGTCGCGACCGCGTTGCAATGGGTGGACGCATGTCGCAACGGTCGGTGGATTGACGATGAGCGACCAATCACTGAGGTGTTAACAGAACGAGAACTCTCAATCGCAGATCAAATATTGAAGAGATCGAATCGAGGTTGGGGTTCCTTTCACGTGTCGGCCTTGAATACTTGACGCTGGATCGGTCGGCGGGGTCTTTGTCCGGCGGCGAAGGACAGAGGATCCGGCTCGCTACTCAAATCGGATCGGGACTGATGGGAGTCCTCTACGTATGTGATGAACCATCCGTTGGATTGCATCCCCATGACGGCGATCGGCTGATCGCGACGCTGAAGAGCCTGAGGGACGTCGGGAACACGGTGTTAATCGTGGAGCACGACGAGGCCGTGATGCGTGCCGCCGACCATATCGTCGACCTGGGTCCGGGCGCTGGCGAACATGGTGGGCATGTGGTGGCGGAAGGCGATATTGAAGCCATAATGTTGACCGAAGGGTCGATCACTGGGGAGTACCTAAGCGGTCGGAAGGAGATTGCGACGCCCAAAGAGCGACGCAAGACTGGGAAGCCGGCAATTAAGGTTCTGGGGGCTCGGGCGAACAACCTGAAGAATGTGAATGTCGAGATCCCTCTCGGTGTATTCGTGTGTGTGACCGGAGTATCAGGATCGGGCAAGAGCACGTTGGTGAACGAAATCGTCCTGAAGCGTTTGGCACAACATTTCTACCGGGCAAAGGATCGGCCCGGTCCCCACGATGACGTATTTGGTTTGCCGTTGGTTGACAAGGTAATCAATATCGATCAATCGGCGATTGGCAGAACACCCAGGTCAAATCCAGCGACGTACACGGGCGTATTTACACCGATCAGGGATCTGTTTGCGTCGATGCCAGAAGCTCGGGCCCGAGGCTACACGCCGGGTCGATTTTCGTTCAATGTGCGAGGCGGGAGATGCGAAGCGTGCTCGGGAGCAGGGTATACGCAGATCGAGATGCAGTTTTTGCCTGACGTGACGGTTCCGTGTGAGGTTTGTGAAGGTGCGCGGTACAACCGCGAGGCGTTAGAGATACTGTTCAAGGGCGCGTCGATCTCAGCCGTGTTGAACATGACGGTCACAGAGGCGCACACGCTATTCGAGAACATTCCGACTATCGCGAACAAGCTCCGAACGTTGATTGACGTAGGACTTGGATACATACACCTGGGGCAACCAGCCACGACGCTTTCGGGCGGTGAAGCGCAAAGGATTAAATTGGCTTCTGAGCTGTCGAAGCGGAGCACCGGCCAGACGCTATACATCTTGGATGAACCTACCACCGGCCTGTCGTTCGACGACGCGGACAAACTGTTGACCGTGTTGCATCGGTTAGTGGACAACGGCAACACCGTGTTGCTGATCGAGCACCACCTGGATCTGATCAAGAACGCTGACTGGATTATCGATCTGGGTCCCCATGCTGGGGACGACGGCGGTGAATTGGTTGCAGTCGGCACTCCAGAATTCATCGCTTCGGTCGACGGGTCTTTCACAGGTATGTACCTGCGTGACATCTCTGGCATTGTGCCGGATGAAACTGCCGAGGGATCGGATGTCTCCGAATCCGGTGACAATGGCGTGCAAAACGCGGGACTCAAAAACGGTCGCGCCGAAATCAAGATCGCCGATATCTTGGATGGGCACCAAGATCTAGGTGTAGCGTCCAAACCATCAAGGAATGGTGCAAGGACAAGAGGTCGGCGCAGGCGCCGGCGACCCGCAGGGCGCAGAAGTTGACGAGCGCTGTCGACGAAGTGCCTCACCTGCCTTACCCGCCAGAGTTCGTTCAGGATGGGTTGATGGGGAACTCTTGTTTTGGCTGTGGCGCGTGGAACGAGCATGGGTTGAACATCAAGTCGAGTTGGCAAGGGGACGTTTCGGTATGTCGCTTCGTACCACAAGCCCACCATGCTGCGATGCCGCATGACATAGTGAATGGTGGGATCATTGCCGCAGTGATGGATTGTCACTCGGTATGTACGGCGATCGCGGACGCGTACCGAAGGGCCGATAGGTATTCCGGCGACGGCAAGCGTCCACTGTTTTGGTACGCAACTGCGTCGTTGCATGTGGACTATCTGAGGCCAACACCGCTGTCGATGCCATTCACGATCATGGCCCGAGTTGTCGAAGTGGACCGAAGGCGAACTAGGTTACAGGCGAAGTTGGTCAGTGACGATGGGACGTTGACTTGTACCGGTGACGTTGTTGCGGCTCAAGTCTCGGATCGATGGGCGCGAGCGTCGGGATACTACGGCAACGGCGTGTAGTCTCGCTATACCCAGGGCGTCGAATTGAGATTATCATTTCGACCACTATGCTCAAACGTGAAGAACTTGCCGCCCGGATCGACGCTCTACCGCGCATCGACATTGCCCACACCCCGACGCCTTTAGAAATGATGCCGCGGTTGCAGGAACGCTTGACTGAGGAGGGTCACGCGGTTCCCTCGATCTATGTGAAGCGAGAGGACATGACGGGATTGGCGTTCGGTGGCAACAAGGCTCGGCACTATGAATTCGAGATGCCGCACATCGTTGATGCTGGCTATGACACCTTGATCAACATCATGGATTATCACTCGAACAACGCCCGCATGACGGCTGCGGCAGCCAACAAATCCGGGTTGCGGTACGTGTTGGTGTTGAAAAACGCCGCGAACCGGAAGGTGCAAGGTAACCTTTTGATCGATAAATTGTTGGGTGCCGAAATGCATTTGCTCGATCAGTTTCAGTCTGAAGACGCTGATGGATACGCCGCCGAGTTGAAGGAACAATTGGAAGCAGAAGGCGCCAATGTTTACCTGTTGCAGGAGCACCTATTCCCACGTGTGGTTGGCATGGTGGGTTTCGTTCGGTGCGGTTTGGAATTGTTAGGCCAGATCGAGGAGTTGGGACTCAAGAAAGTTCACATTTATGGAGTTGCTGGGCGTTCGTTGTGCGGCCTGATCTTAACGGCAAAGAATCTGGGATTGGATTGGCGTTTCACCGGAGTCACGGTCAACTACGACATGCCCTTGGACGAATACATCTTCCAGCATGTCGAGGATATTCGGGGCCTCCTCGACCTTCCAATGACGTTCGCGGCGGAGGACATGCGTGTGCTGGATCAGTTCGTAGGCGAGGGTTACGGTCTCATGACATCCGAGGTCGCCGATGCGATTCGCTTGGCCGCGCAGACTGACGCCATCATTCTGGACCCCAACTACACAGGCACGGCAATGGCGGCACTTCTTAACGACATCCGAACTGGCAATGTTTCGCCCGAGGAAACCGTCGTGTTTTTGCATACCGGCGGCCTGCCAGCGCTGTTCACATTCGCCCAGGAGTTGGCGAATTAGGTCCGACACTTATTGCTTGGTGCCGAAGATCAGTCGGAGTCGGTCTGCGAATCGATGCACAGTGACCCTCCGAAAATCGAAGAGCCGCTCTTGGTCGCGCGTTTGAAGGTATTCGGTCCACTTGGCACATAGCATTGCGCCAGCGAGCATGATGATTGCTTCGATGTAGACGAATATGAAGAACATCATCAAAGCCGCAAGACTGCCGTAAATCGAAAGTAGGCGTTCCGCGCTGAATTGCAAGTAGACAATGAAAATGTGCTTGACGGCTTCAAAAGCGATGGTTGCGACGAGCGCTACGGGCGCGATCGCTTTGATGTTTGTTTTTGTGTTCGGCACCCACACGTAGATGAAGATCAACACCGCGTAGGTGATGGCCCAAGGTAGGGTGATTCCTACGACGTTTAACAATGAATATCTGATCGTCTCGGTGTCGAAAGCGAAGAAAATAGCGATCTCTTCGAAGAATGAGAACACTGTGAATACGACGAACGATGTGAGCAATAACAAAGTTGCAATCGACATCAATGCGACCTCAACCACCCGTTGCATGAAAAAACCGCGGCGCCGTTCGATTCCCCACACGATGTTGATGCTCTGGCGAACCGCTGAGAATACGCCTAGAGTCGAAACGAAAAGCACAAGACCTCCAAGACCGGATGTCAGAGCCGAGTTAGTTGCCGCATGTGTAATGAAATCCTCGACGAAGGATGAACCGGACGCCGCCTCGTTCAGTACAGGCACCTGAGTCAGGATGGCATCATGGAGTAATTCGTTGAACTTCCCCTCGCCGATCGTCAGGTGGATCAGCGTAATCAATGCGATCGTCAGCGGTAACAGCGACAAAAAAGCGTAGAAAGCGATCGCTGCTGCAAGGAAGTGCGCTCTAAAGGCTACGAATTCCCTCACTAGCTCAATCGCTGGCGATGCAAGGCGCTCCATATCGCGAATGTTCGCTGCTAGGTCGCCAACGATCGACGAACCACGTCGCCGAAGCTTACCAATCCTGCCGATGGAGGATGTTTGTGACACTGTTCGCTATCTCAACTCTCTGGCAGAAACGCCAGTCGATCGGAATCGTTTATCCGCTGGAGGTTGTTGATCAGCAATCGGTTCTGACGGCGTTGTTCATGGACTCGCAGATAATTCGACCATTTGGCGGAGAGCATCGCCCCTGCGAGCAAAATGATCGACTCGACGTAGACGAAAAGGAAGAACATCATGATGGTGCTGATGCTACCGTAGATTGACGCCAAAAGCCCGCCGGAGTTGCGGAGGAAGAAGATAAAGACGTATTTTGCGATTTCGAATGCGACCGTGGCTAAAACACCAACACCCAAGATATCCGCGAACTTCACCTTGGTATTCGGTAACCACCAGTAAACCACGATAAAGACCAAGAATGTGATTGCAGAGGGGATGACGTAACCGGCGACGACGAGGAACCACTGATCGAAGGGTGCGCGATCTGTGGCTAGCAGTTGTGCGATTTCCTGAATGAAGGAAAAGACCGCCGAAAGCAGAAGCGACAGGAAGAGGAGTGAAGAAGCGATCACCATCATCACGAAGTCGATAGCACGTTCGATCAGGAAGGGCCGTGGGCGTTGTATGCCCCAGATGACATTGACGCTCTTGCGTATCGAACCGAAGACACCCATTCCGGCTACGAACAGAGTCAGTCCGGTCAAGCTGGACGTTACGGCCGGATCATTGCTGACGTTTTGGATGAATCTTTCAACGAACGAAGGCCCTTCGGTTTCAGCCAGAACGGGTATTTGGTTGACGATGCCACTGATAAGGCGATCTTCGAAACCTTCCAAACCGACGACGAAGCGCCAAAGGGTAATCAAGGCAATCGACAGCGGGAAGATGGAGAGAAAGGCGTAGAACGCGATGGCGGCGGCCAAATAGTGTCCGTTGACCGACATAAAGTCATTGACGTTGTGATAGATGAACCAGAACGCATGTCTCGCAAACCCGAATGATCGGACGAAGAGAGACGGATGTTCAGCTGTTGCCACAGTTACAGTCTCTACGAGACCGAGGTCAGCCATCGTTTTGTATTGGACGCGAGTTCGCGTCTGATCAATCGAGTTCGCCGTTTCGGAACGCCGCGATGAAGTCCATCGCGAAGTCGTCGCGACCTTCGAGAAGATTGATCTGCGTACCTGACGCGCGGGGATTCCATGTCGAGGTTCATCGCGCGATCGATCTTGACCTGGATAGGGTCGATGATACCTGAATCTGCGCCAGCTTCAACGACGAGCTTAACGAACGTCTCGTTAACAAGCGCTCGCTTGGGAAGGCCAAAGGAGACGTTGCTCATACCGCCGGTAATGTGGACATCGCTTCCAAATCGGGTTCGGAGTTTGGTAACCGCTTCAAGAGCGTGAGGGCCATAGGCCTTGTCAACCGACACCGGGAAAAAGAGGGGATCGATGTACATGTCTTGGTATCCAATGCCACGGTCGCTCGCGGCGTCAACGACTCGCGTGGCGTTCTCGAGTCGCTCTTCGGCGTTTTCTGGCATACCGCTCTCCGAAGCTGCAGAGATGATGCACTTCGCGTCATGCTCCGCGATCAAATCGAGGGTTTCAAGCCTTTCCAGCGCGACCGAATTGACCATTGGACGTCCTGCTGACCTGTCATATGCCTCTAACCCAGCTTTGATTATTTCGGAGTTCGACGAATCGATGCTGGGCGGGATATCGGCGACGGATTGAACGAACTTGACGAGCCATTGCATCGCTTCGATCTGTTCGCCGATCCGATGTGAAAGTTCGTCGACGTTCAGATCCAAAAAGGCAGATCCGGATTTAGTTTGTCTTTCAACTTCATATCTGATGTAAGCTTCGCCCTCGGCGGCTTCGGCTCCGTCGCAGTTGACACCCTTCCATATTGCGATCATGAAGTGCTTCAGATTGCCTTGTTGGTATGGTTGCGTCTTCTCAAAGTGTTCAGGTACACGCACGAAGCGGGTTTCGCCTTGGACTCGGTACTTAACAGCTTCCGAACCGTCATTGAAGACGTGTCCCCGGATACCGCCGCGTTTCACGACGCGAGTGCAGTGAATGTTCTCTCCGATGATGGTGAAGTCTGGTGTGGTCATGTATCTGATTATGGCGACGGATTGTTAGAAAATTTGCGAGAAGCGCTAACGAGTCAATTCTCATACGGTAACGCCGTCGATGCAAATGTCAGCGCGTTCTAATCCAGAATCGGCTCAGTTTGCCTTAATTCTCAGCAAAGTTAACCGCCAAAAAGCCTCAACTGCGATTTGAATCGACATCTTGGATTTGCCAGCCGTGCGTTCCACAAACATGTATGGATGTTCAATGATTTCCAATCCGCATCGCTGCGTCCGATGGGCTACTTCAACTTGGAACCCGAATCCGGTGATCGTGAGCCGGTTAAGGTCGATGGCTTCGAGGGCGTTTCGGTTGAAGGCTTTGAAACCACCTGTCGCGTCGTGAATCTTCAGTCCCAAAATGGCTCGGATTCCATAATTTGCCCATTTGCTGAGAAGCACGCGTGACATCTTCCAATGGGGGTCCACGGCCCCACCATCGCTGTACCGGGTTCCGACGACGACGTCGGCGTGTTGAAGCGATGTGATCATTTGAGGGACCTCGGAGGGAGGGTGCGATAAGTCGCAATCCATCTGAACGATGTGCGCAGCACCGGCATCCAATGCCATCTTGAACCCGGCGATATAAGCAGTTCCCAATCCCAGTTTGCCGCTTCTATGTGCAACCACGATACGTCCGAGGTGTTGGTTCGCGAGACCGTCAGCGATCTCCCCTGTTCCATCAGGAGATGAATCGTCCACGAACAGGACGCCGAGACTGTCGATCTTTAGGTCGAAGAGTTGTTGAACGATATTGCCAATGTTTTCGGCTTCGTTATACGTCGGGATCACGACTGCGATTGAAATGTCATCTTCGAATCTGCCGACGACACGGATTTCTTGTGCTGGTGTCTGCGGCATCAAATTCCCGTACGATTTCAAACTGCCTCAAGTTCAAATTCAGAGTGTAACGCCTTGTGCGGCTGTCGCCAATTGTTCCTGGTCGACGATGCATGTGATACGGATCTCGGAGGTCGTAATCATCTCGATGTTTACGCCGGCGTCAGCGAGTGCCCGAAACATGCGAGCGGCGTATCCCGGGAGTTCGTCATACCAGTTCCGACAACGCTGACTTTGGCGAGCCCGTCGCGGGTCGCGATTTGGCTGTAACCCACCTCGGTGTTTTGCGAAGTTATCTCGGCAACTCGTGCAGAGTACTCTTGTCCGACCGTGAACGACATGTCAGTGAGACCATGTGACGAAACGTTTTGGACGATAACGTCGATGCTGATGCCAGCGTCGGCGCAGCGGCATCATGATCGCTGCGGCGATACCGGGGCGGTCTGCAATCCCATGTAGCGTGACCCGTGCGACGGATCGTTCAGTTGCGATGCTGGTAATGCTTTTTCGAATCTCCATGTTGCTGTTTTGGTCCTCAAAATTGCCGATTTTGGTTCCTGTGGCGTTCGTATTGAACGAAGAAGTTATGAGCATCGGAACATTGTGTACCGCTGCCATCTCGATCGATCGAGGGTTCATCTTCGCGCCGAGAGACGCCATTTCGAGCATCTCTTCGTAGCCGATGTGGGGTATGACTTTGGCATCCGGCACAAGGCGCGGGTCAGCGGTAAGGATGCCGTCGACATCGGTGTAGATTTCGCAAATGTCAGCCTTGACCGATGCTGCAATCGCTACGGCGGTCAAATCTGATGCGCCGCGTCCAAGTGTGGTCGTATCGTCTGCGGGTGTGAGGCCCTGGAATCCGGCGATAACAACGATTCGTCCGCGTTCAAGTTCCTGAAGGACGCGTGTCGGTTCGATGTTGGCGATGCGCGCCGAGCCGAATGTTTCGTCGGTCTGGATGCCTGCTTGCCGACCGCTAAGACTGATTGCGTCGTGCCCTAGGCCTCGGATTGCGATGCCCATTAGCGAAGCGCTCACTAACTCACCGGTGGATATCAGCGCGTCTGTTTCGCGTGGACTAGGCGAATAGTCGCCGGACAGACGATGAGCAAGTTTCAGGAGTTCATCGGTTGTGTCGCCCATTGCGGATACGCACACAACGAGGTCGGCACCTTGTAATCGGCGGGCTACAACTCGTTTGGCTACGTTACGCAGAAGCTCTTCGGTGGCTAGGGAACTGCCACCGTATTTTTGGACTACGACTTGTTTGGTTTGCGGCATATCGAACTTAATTGCTACGTTCGAATTCGGTTTCAATCTGCATCCCGTGTTGTGAGATGTCGAGAATCAATGCCTTTCCAACGATCTGGGCTTTCCTCGCGTTTTCTGACATTTCGTAGCAGATCGTCATGAAACGGTCGGTCGCTAGTGCCATCACGGTAGGTCCGGCGCCAGAGAGAAATACTCCGTGGGCGCCGGCATCGAGTGCGCCACGCGCGATGGGGCGGAATCTTGGAAACAGTTTTTCGATCCGTTGAGGTTGATGCAGTCGGTCATCGGTCGCGTGTCGTAAAAGTGACCACTGGCGCGTTTCAAGTGCATGTACCAGCATCGCGGCGCGACCAACGTTGAAAATGGCGTCCGAGCGCGGTACCACGTCGGGTAAGATCCCGCGGGCTTCCTTGGTCGCCATCGTGAAATCAGGCACGAACACCACGGCTTTCATTTCGTCTGAGATTTCGACACGGCTGACAATCCAACTGCAGTCTGGGGAACCGGCATCAACATTGACGCCAATTTGGCATCCTCCATAGACCGCCGGCGAGACATTGTCTGGGTGGCCTTCGATATCTGCGGCGATCACGAATATTCGTCGTCGGGTTTCAGGTTCCGCGATGTCAAACCCGGCGAATGCGAATGCGGCGGTGATGCCAGTTATGGTGGCCGCTGATGATGAACCCAAACCGCGGGCCAAGGGAATGTTGTTGTGGCATTCAAATGCCAAAGGTATCGGATTGACTCCAAGCTCTAGGAAAGTTCGATGCGCGCTCGATGCAACTAGATTGGTGCCGTCGCGCGGCAGTGAATCCGCACCTTCGCCGGAGAGCGTGATCGAGGGTTCGTCAACGGTGACGTTCGTCTCGTTCCAAAGGTCCACAGCCAATCCGATGCAGTCGAACCCGGGGCCAAGGTTGGCGCTTGTCGCTGGAACTCGGATAGTCGCGCGTTCGAGTTTAGGCACGGGCATAGTTTTGGGTGCGTACGGAGATATTCTCGGAAAGGGAGGAGCGGTTCAAACTATCGGTTTGCCAATACGTGGGGTAGGGGCGAAAGCCAAATGATGCGCTTACGAATTAGTATAATGCGCTATTCGCGGCGACCTTTGGGCGTAAGTCTTTGCACCCACTTGGAATGCACGCCGACGGGAAATGACGATTAGAAAGTAGAGCGTTGAAAAGATGGCCGTAGTGGTTCTTTTGGCTCCGAATGTGGAGGCACGCACGCAAACGCGCACCTCTGAGATCTTGGAGGAAGCGAAAAAGCATCCCGACGTGGAGCTGAGGTTTGTCGACTCGGGTCAAAATCCCGAAGATGTGTTGAAGGATTGCGAGGACGCAGTCGCGTTGATAGCCGCGGGTGGGCGCAATATGCTCGATGCCGAATTCATCTCCAAGTTGGGCAATCTACGGTTGATCCAGACCTTCAGTGCCGGCACTGATTGGATGGACAAGGCAGCGTTGGCTGAACTCGGTGTGGCCGTCTCGAACAACGGAGGCGCGAACGCGGTTGCGGTGGCTGAACACGCAGTGATTTTGATGCTCTCGGTCGAGCGCAAGATTGACCGACAAATCGAATCGGTGAAGAAGGATACGTGGATGGCGGGCGTCGGTGGTGACCGCACCGAGTTTCACACCCTCGTCGGCAAGCGGATAGGCATCGTTGGCCTTGGGCGCATTGGCTCTCGGGTCGCGAAGCGATTGCAAGGCTGGGAGTGCGAAGTCGTCTATCACGACGTGGTGGATTTCGACGATGAGTATGTCGAGGCGGCAGGAGCCAAGTTTGTTGAACTGGACGAGTTGCTGGAGACGTCGGATATCGTGAGCCTCCACGTTCCACTCGAGCGAACGACGCGCCACATGATGTCGGACCGCGAATTCGCGTTGATGAAAAGCACTGCGATATTGGTTAACACGTGCCGTGGTCCGGTTGTCGACGAAGTGGCGTTGAAACGAGCTTTGCGGGATGGGCAAATTTTCGGTGCTGGCTTGGATGTGACCGAGGTGGAGCCGATCGATGCCGACAACGATCTGCCGAACCTCCCCAACGTGGTTGTTACACCTCATTTGGCCACTCGGGCGTTGGAATCGGAGCACAACGCTACCGCGAATGCGCTCGCCAACGTGGCCCGCGTCGCGCGTGGCGAAGATCCGGAATGGGTCGTTCCGCCAGTGTGAGTTTCCGGTCTGGGACTGAGCGTGGCAAGTGAATCCCATTTAACATGGAACAAGCACGTGCACCGTTGATGGTGAGTTGACTGAAGGATGTTGCGTCACGCTGCTACTGCACCGGACTTGCGTGATTCACGATAAAACACGAGACCGAACGCGTCGCTGCCAGCGACGACAAACCGCGGGAAGCCTGCGGTATTTTTGGTGCATATACCCCAGGGCACGAAGCCGCCCGAGCTGCGTTCTTCGGAATCTTCGCACTTCAACATAGGGGGCAGGAGAGCGCGGGCATCGCATCATCGAACGGCTCGTCGTTGGGAGTTACCGCCGAAGTAGGGCTGGTCTCGCAAGTTTTCGAAGAACAAGACCTCTTGAGGATCTGCGCGGACACTTGGCGATCGCCCACACCCGATACTCGACGACCGGATCTAATCGCCGCCAGAACGCACAACCCTTGTTGGCTTACGGCCCGCGAGGCGCGATTGCACTGGGGCACAATGGCAACGTGATCAACGCGTTGCCGCTGCGCGAATACTGTCGAGAGCAGTACAACAGCGTTTTCACAGGCACCTCCGACAGCGAGGTGATCGCCGAGTTGTTCGCGAAGACGCCAGGCGACAATTGGTTCGAAGTATCGGATCAGGTTATGTCGATGTTGAGTGGGGCGTATTCCCTGATCATGATGACGAAGCACGAGTTGATTGCGGTCCGTGATCCCCTCGGTGTTCGTCCGTTGTGTTTGGGGCGGTTAGACGGTGGTTGGGTATTCGCGTCCGAATCGGCAGCTCTGGATAATTTGGGAGCTGAATTTGAGCGAGAGTTAGAGCCCGGCGAAGTCATTGTTGTCAATCGCGAGGGCATCGAGAACTGGGTGTGGCCTAAAGCGTCGGTTTCTCACAAGATGTGCATATTCGAGCAGATCTACTTTGCTCGACCAGACAGCATTCTTGATGGCAGCCTGGCGTACGAAAATCGGATGCGGATGGGCGCGATCGCGTACAAGGAGAACCCGGTTGAAGCAGACCTGGTCATCGGAATTCCCGATTCTTCTACGCCGCACGCGGCAGGGTACGCAGCAGCAGCAAATATCCCCTACTCGGAGGGATTGGTAAAAAACCGATATGTCGGACGGACTTTCATCCAGCCGGACCAATATATGCGCGAATTGGCGTCCGGACTAAGTTCAATGCGATGAAACAGGTGATCAGCGGCAAGCGAATCGTGGTCGTTGACGACACGATTGTCCGCAGCACTACGATCAGGCACGTCGTTAAGATGTTGCGTGACTCGGGTGCCAAAGAAGTACACGTGAGAGTCGCTGCTCCGCCGATCAAATCGACGTGTCATTTCGGTGTTGACATGGCGACCTTAGACCAGCTCATCGCCGCCAATTACACAGTGGACGAAATCTGTGAAATCATCGGTGCCGACAGTCTGAAGTTTTTGAGCTTGAAGGGGTTGGAAGAAGCGGTTTCGGCTGGACAGAATGAGTATTGTCGCGGATGCTTCACTGGCAAATATCCAATCGACGTTCAACTCGAAATGGATAAGTTACGCATGGATCGGTTGGCGATTGAGCCGGCTGGTGTTGCTTGATCGCGGATGAAGAACGTATCGGCTAATGCGTATGCGGCATCGGGCGTAGACCTAAACGCCGCGGCACGCGCAAAACTCCGCATTGGCGAAATCGCGAAATCGACTTATGGGCGAGGAGTAGCGTCGGCTCCGGGTGGATTCGGTGGGGTTTTCGATGTCGATCCGAATAGCGATTATCTGACGGTTTCCAGCACCGATTCGGTCGGAACCAAGTTGCGGATCGCACAGGCCATGGGACGGCACGACACGGTTGGTGTCGACATCGTGAACCACTGTGTTAACGACATCTTGCCAGCCGGCGCGGAACCGATGTATTTCCTGGACTACATCGGGCTGAGTGGATACGATGATGAACTTATTGCCGAGCTATTGACGGGAGTTGCTGCGGCCTGCGTCGAAAACGGATGTGCTCTAATCGGCGGAGAGACGGCGTCGTTGCCCGGGATATATCACGGCGATGACTATGACTTGGTTGGTTTTATAGTCGGCCGCGTGAAACGTGAAGACCTGCTGCGGCCAGAATCGACGGCAGCTGGCGATGCACTTCTAGCTTTGCCGTCCAGCGGTTTGCACACAAACGGCTACTCGTTGGTGAGATCGATCTTCGACACCGACAATGATCCGAGCGCGCTGCGCGATATATTGCCGCGAGGCCGCGAGACATTGGGCGAAGCACTTCTGCAGCCGCACAAATCGTATCTGCAACAACTGCAACCAGTTTTGGGTAAAGTGAAGAGCCTGGGACATATAACTGGCGGAAGTTTCGCGAAGAACGTGCCGCGGGCGTTAGCTCCGAATGTCGGAGCCGCTCTAGATGCGAGCACGTGGTCACCACCTCCGGTGTTCGCCTACATTCAAGAACATGGGAGCATCGAAGACGAGGAGATGTTTAACGTATTCAACATGGGTGTCGGCATGATTGTTTGTGTGGCAGCTAGCGATGTTGAATTTCTATTGACCAAGCTGGGTGATGCTTGGGTTATTGGCGAAGCGACCGGCTACGATGGCACAGGTCAACGGGTTGAGTGGCGGGTCTGATCCCGTCGTAATGGGCGTGAATTAGATTAGCGAGTCAGCGAGGTAAGATGACCGAATCTGTCAATAAGGTTGCGCTGTTGAGCGCGTACGATCGCCGTGGGTTGGTGGATTTTGCCAAGCTACTCGTAGATTGCGATTACGAGATCGTCTCTACTGGAGGGACCGCAGCTGAGTTGCGTGCCGCCGGGATCGACGTCGTTGAAGTTTCTGAACTTACCGGCGCACCTGAGATGTTGGGCGGGCGCGTCAAGACGCTACATCCGAAAATTCACGGCGGTTTGCTTGGTTTGCGTGAAGACGAGGGTCACGTTCGCCAAATGTCGCAATTCGGGATACGAAACATCGATGTCGTCGTAAACAATCTCTATCCATTTGTCGAGACTGTTCGCAACAAGGACGTATCTTTGTTTGACGCTCTGGAGAACATCGACATTGGAGGTCCGGCCATGACCCGGGCGGCGGCCAAGAATCATCCCAATGTCGTGATCGTGGTTGACCCGAATGACTACGAAGGCGTAGGACGCATGATCCGAGACGGCTTGGTCACACAGCGTGAACGTCGTCGCTTGGCTGCAAAGGCTTTCCAGCATGTTGCGGCTTACGATACGGCGATCTCGAGCTTTCTCCGAGATGATGCAGAAACCAGCGACGAGAGATGATAGAACGACCGTGTTGCCAGAAGAGATAACCTTCGGTTACTCTTTGGTCGCCAAGCCTCGTTACGGTGAGAATCCACATCAAAGCGCGGGTATCTATTCGTTGCTTGGCGCGACTGGCGGTGTGGTTAACGCGGAACAGATGCACGGCATTGAGATGTCGTACCTGAACTATTTCGACGCAGATGCGGCATGGTCTGTGGCGCGTGAATTCGCGGAGGCCGGCAAACACGCCGCCGTGGTAGTCAAACACGCAAATCCCTGTGGCTTGGCGGTCCGCGAACATCAAATCGACGCATGGGAAGCGGCCAGAGCAGGCGATCCCGTGTCAGCGTTCGGTGGCATCGTCGCGTTCAGCGAGCGCATGAACAGCGACACTGCGGACAAGATGAGGGGATTGTTGCTGGATGTGGTGATTGCGCCGAATTACGACGATGAGGCTTTGGCGATACTACGAACCCGGCGACGAACGCGGGTGTTGAAGGTTGCCGCTGACGACCCACCGAGATTGGAAGTGAGGTCGGTTTCAGGTGGCGCGTTGGTCCAGGAACCAGACAACCTCGACGGCGACGAGTTCCAAGACTTCCGAGTGGTGACCGAGCGTGCGCCTACGGATGAAGAGGAGATTGATTTATGGTTCGCGTGGAGAGCGTGCAGATTCGTGAAGTCCAACGCGATCGTTTTGGCCAAGGATCGCGCGCTAGTCGGAATGGGCGCCGGTCAACCTAATCGAGTTACCAGTGTCAATCTGTCGGCCCGCGTGGCGGGCGACGAAGCGGTTGGAGCAGTTATGGCGTCGGACGCGTTCTTCCCGTTTCCGGATGCTGTTGAGTTTGCCGCTGAGGTTGGTGTAAAAGCGGTCGTGCAACCGGGTGGTTCGGTGAACGATGAATCGGTGATCGATGCTGCGAATGAGTTGGGCATAGCGATGGTTTTCACAGGACGCCGACATTTCTATCATTGATAGGTCGGGTGGCAGATTCGCATCAACGTGTCCAAGATTTCGGTTGACATAATCATTCCGGTGCTAAACGAGGAGCATTCTCTGCCGCGTTGCATCGCGACGTTGGATGAGCATCTGACTAGCGGACCCGCGGACGACTGGGACTGGAACATCACGATTGCGGACAACGGTTCGCAAGACGCGACACCCGAGGTCGGACGTCAATTGTCAAACGAGTATCCGAACGTCAGATTGACGCGGTTGGAACAACGTGGTCGAGGACGGGCGTTGAAAAAAGCGTGGTTGGAGAGTTCCGCGGATGTTAGATGTTTCATGGATGTCGATCTCTCGACGCGTTTGGAATCGCTCGGCCCGCTGGTCGATGCGATTGCCAAGGAGGGATACGGCGTGGCCATCGGTTCGCGATTATTGCCGCAGTCGCGTGTCGAAGGACGGACCTTGAAACGCGAGTTTGTGTCAAGGGCGTACAACGCGTTGATCAGATTGATGTTCCCAAGGAAAACGTTCCGCGACGCGCAATGCGGTTTCAAAGCAGTATCTCGAGAAGTAGCAGAGAATGTTGTGCCTCATGTCGAAAACCTCGGCTGGTTTTTCGACACTGAGTTGTTGTTGTTGAGTCTCAGGGCCGGTTACCGAATCAAAGAGATTCCAGTCCACTGGATCGACGATCCAGATACGCGGGTACGTATCGTTTCAACCGCGAGCGAAGACATAAAAGGACTTTTGAGGGTGCGTTTCTCCCCGGCGGAGGTAAAGCGGGGCTAGTTGTTTTACCGACGTGATGGGTTGCGTTGCGCGGTCGTCGATACCTTCGTGATGTAACCTAGCACTGATTTGAAGGAACGATAATTTTTTGCGATGCTAACGCCATCCGAAGAGCTTGAACTTTCGTCGCCGACGCTGCGCGGCGCGACGGTGTCGATTGACTATCACCACGCCCAGGCAATTCTCAGGACTGAGCAGCGGAATCCGATCGTGGTGTTCGAGGTCTATGCAGGCGCGTCAGGTGTTTTATCTGGAGTGAACGAGGTATTGCCGTTCCTTAGAGCCAGACTGCCGGTTTCTAGTTCTGCCGTCTATTCGCTTTCTGATGGCGATGAAATCAAAGATGGCGAGACGATTTTGCGTGTCGTTGGTCCTTACGCCGCATTCGGAATGTATCGTGACGTGATTACCGGGATCTTCGCTTCGAGCATAGGGTGGGCGACGGCGGCTCACGAATGCGTGCAGGCTGCGGGTGAAACGCGTGTAATGGTCAGTGGGTCGCCATACATACATCCTGATGTCGTCGATTCGATGGAGTATTCGGCGTACGTCGGAGGGTGTGCCGCGGTATCTACGCAAAAGGGCGGAGAACGCACGGCAACGGTTCCACAGGGATCCATGCCCCATGACTTCGTCTTGATTTGGGGCGCGGCTGATCGTGCGATGGCGGTTTACGATCGGCATAGCAGGTTGGGTGCGCAACGAGTGATGCCAGTGCCCACCACGGGCGACACCATTCAGGAGGCGCTGGACGCAGCTTATGCGTTGAGCGGAGGCACGAGCAACCCGTTGCGTGGTGTTAAGGTATCCGTCCCGGCTAATCTTGGCAGCGGCTCCCCAGATTTGGCGAAGGAGTTGAAGGCGCGATTGACGGATGCCGGGTTCAGCTCTGTCGACATCTATGTCGCCGGTGAGTTGACGCCAGAATTGATCGGGGAGTATCGCGTTGCGGGCGTCGAGGTCGGGCTTTATGTGGTGGGACGATACATCGCGGCGGCGAAACCTGCGCCAGTTGAAGCGGCGATCAAAGAGATCGACGGACGGGCGGTTGCACCGCGTGGGATGGCTCCCGGTCGCGTCGCAAACCATCGGATGTTGCAACGCGAGCTGAGCTGATTCGGGTCGCTCTAGTCTTCTGTCAACGGAACTGAGTTTCGTTGGAAGGTTAGGTGCAATGCGGTCGGGCTTCGGGTGTTAATTTGGCCCAATCGGCGATTCTGATGCCGGGTAACCATGCGATTTGCCCATCGTCGGGCGCGACGACCATAGGTATGCGGTCGCGCCACGACGCGGCGATTTTCGAGTTGATGAGGAAATCCGAGAGGTTGACGTCATTGTTCATGCCGAGTGGATGGAAGCGATCGGACTCTTTGCGATTACGGATGGTTAGGCGATCGGTCGAGAACTCGTCCCAGTTTAACCATGCTTCGTAGCTGCCCGTTTGGTGGAACTCGGCAGGGGGCGTCGAGATCTCGGATTTGATGGTGTAACAATTGCCCAAGTCCGCTTTACCGGGCAACGTGAGCGTTATCGGTTGCGTTATGGCGTCAGGGTAGGGGACGACGGCGTTGGATCGACCCGTCTCACGGTTCATCCCGATGTGTTGATGGTCTGTCCAGAAGACGACCCCACCCGGTAAATCGTATTTGGCTGACTTGCCAATTGAGATTAGGCCTAGCAGTCTGTCGATGTGGGTCTGTTCCAGTTGCGTTTCGGGATCGGCGATAGCTCGATGCATTTTGGCGAGGGCTTCCGCTGCGACGATAGGATGTGATTCTGCGATGGGGTTGCGGAATCGAGTGTTCGGTTGAGTGGTGGCGGCACGTTGCATGGTCCCGTCGGCGAGCATTTCGACTAAGTCAGTGTTGGCCTGCATTATCTCGGCGAATCTGACGATCGCCGGGATAGCTTGCGTGTTCAATGCTTGGAGTTCGGGTATTACGCGGTGGCGAATGCGGTTTCGTGCGTATCGGTTCCAATCGTCGTTGGAGGCGTCGTGTCGGGCGGTGACCTGCAGGGAATTTAGGAAGCAATCTGCCTGACGCCGCGTGATCTGCAACATTGGCCTGGCGACAACTACGTCACGGCCTGAGGTGGTCGCGATTGATCGTCGGTGTTTCATGCCGCTGGCGCCGCGGATGCCTGTACCGCGGGTTAAGCGGAGCAGGATGGTTTCAGCTTGATCGTCGGTCGTGTGGGCTACGGCGACGACGTCGGCATTGATACGTTCGGCGGTCGCGGTCAGGAACTCGTACCTGTTTTGACGCGCGGTGTTCTCGTCTAGGTGATCGGTGCGACACTCGGCTCGGCCGACGATTAGTGGGATATCCAATTCGTTGCAGAGATCGCGGATGAACTGCTCGTCGTTATCGGATTCTTTGCCGCGTGCGTTGTGGTTGTAGTGTGCCGCGGTGAGAGATTTGTATCGGTGAGGAAGATGGTTGAGACCGAGGAGTAGCCCGGTCGAATCGATGCCTCCGGAGACGGCGCAGATGATCGATTGATCGGGCTTGATGCCCGCTTTTGATATTCCCGCCGCGAGGTTTCGTAGGAAGATGCTTGGGTCTTGCTCGGGTGACATGCGACGGTGGTGGGCGTTACGTGGTGTGTTCGGAGGCCACATCCGTTGCGATGTTCTGGATTTTCAAGCGTTCGATGCGGTTTCCGTCCATGGCGAGCACTTCCATGTAGATCTCGTCTTCGTATGTGGCGCTGTGTCCGGCCTCGGGCATGCGCTGGGCTTTGTCGATGAAAAAGCCAGCGATGGTTTCGTATCTTTCGTTCGGTGGGATCTCGAAGCCGGTTTCGTCTTCGGTTCGCTCAACCGATAGCGCGCCGGGCACGATGTACGTGTCGTCGTCGAGACGTACGACCGCCTTTTCCTCTAGGACCAAGTTGTCGTCGTCGTCGCCGCGCATCATCTCGAGCAGGCCGTTCAGCGTCACGAGCCCGTTAATGTGACTCTCTTCGTTGTGGGCGACGGCGAGATATTGCCCGGTCCGGATCATCTCGGTGAATAGATCATCCAGTTTCGTGGTGTCTGCAAGGACGAGGATGTCGGTTCGCATGAGTTCGGTGACTTTGGTGTCTAGTTCGTCGTCTCCACCTTCGGCGATGAACTTCATGACGTCGTTGGCGTATATTGCGCCCGCGAGTTGCTCGAGATCGTACCAGTAGCCAGTGCGAAGGGGTTCGCCTCGTTGGATGACGAATCCAGGTTGAGTTCGATGGGGCTCCACGGTCGTATTGACGTCATCGACGTGTTCGCGGTATTTTTGCAAGAAGGTTCGGAGGGTGTCGTTTTCGTTGAGCCATACGATTTGGCTGGTGTGGACGCGCACGCGGTGGTCGCGAAGGTCGCGGGCGCCGAAGTCGATTAGGTTGTCCAGCATTTCGCCGTGGGTGTCGTCGAAGAGTCCTTGCTCCTGGCTTTGGTCGATGATGAGGCTGAGTTCTCCTTGCGTGTAGCCGGGTCGGGCGTCGAAGCCGGACACACCGAAGACGCGGAGGAGGCCGCGGGGTAGGAGCGTGAAGATCCAAACGATGGGTTTGGACGCGGTCATGATGGCGAGGATGATGTGGGCGACGGCGAGGGACCAAGTTTCGGGTGCGAGCGCGCCGAGGGTTTTGGGGGTCAGCTCGCCGACGACGTAGACCATGACGGTTGCGACGGCGGTCGAGATGATGGTGGTGAGGACGGTGTTTTCGCCGTGCCCGATGGAGTTGATGATTAGGCTGGTGGAGGCGGTTGCTACGAGGACGTTGAAGAGGTTTCCGACCAGTAGGATGGTTGCGAAGAAGTTTTCGTGACGTTCGAGGACGCGCATGACGGCCTCAGCTCGACGGTCACCGTTTTCGGCGAGGTGCTGGATGTGGGAGGGGCGGGCGCTGAGGAGCGCGGATTCGGCGGCCGATATGAAGGCGCTGCCGAGCAGGGCGCCGCAGATCAGAAGCGCGTTGATAACCATGCGCTAATCATAAACGGGAGGGATGAACGCACCAACCTTGGTGCGTTCAATCACCTCGGCTAACTGTGGTCGGTGGTGCGACGAGAGGCGATAGGTAGGTGTTGCCTATGCCTTTTGCGTGTCTGGCATGGTGATGCCGCGGACTTGTGCGTCGATCTCGTCGCGCATGTCGGTGTGTTCCTTGAGGAAGATGCGAGACGCTTCGCGGCCTTGTCCGAGGCGAGTTTCGCCGTAGGCGTAGAAGGCGCCGCGTTTTTGGAGGATGCCGTGCTCGACGCCGAGTTCGAGGAGGTCGCCCTCGATGCTGATGCCTTCGTTGAAGATGATGTCGATCTCAGCCTGTCGGAAGGGAGGTGCGACTTTGTTTTTGACGACTCGGACTCGGACTCGGTTACCGGTGATGTCTTTTCCGGTCTTGAGGGATTCTTTGCGGCGCATGTCGAGGCGGACGCTGGAGTAGAACTTGAGTGCCCGGCCGCCGGGGGTTACTTCGGGGCTGCCGTATACGACACCGACTTTTTCACGGAGCTGGTTGATGAAGACGCAGATGGTCTTGGTCTGGTTGACGATGGCGGTGAGTTTCCGGAGGGCTTGCGACATCAAACGTGCCTGGGCTCCGATTTGGAAGTCGCCCATGTTGCCTTGTATCTCGGCATTGGGCACCAATGCAGCGACGCTGTCCAAGACGATCATGTCGAGCGCACCGGAGCGCACCAGATGTTCGATAATTTCGAGTGCTTGTTCTGCGGAGTCGGGTTGGGAAATCAAGAGGGAATCGATGTCGACGCCGATGGCTTTGGCGTATATGGGGTCCATCGCGTGTTCCACGTCGACGTATGCGCAGACTCCGCCGGCTTTCTGGGCTTGGGCGACGGCGGACATTGCGAGGGTGGATTTTCCGGCGGATTCGGTGCCGAAGATTTCGATGATGCGACCGCGTGGCAGGCCACCGATGCCGAGTGCGATGTCGAGAGAGAGCGAGCCGGTGGAGATGGCGTCTACGTTACGGAAGCTATCGTTTTCGCTCATCAGCATGACGGCGCCGCGCCCGTAGTTGCGTTCGATCTGAGCGATCGCTTCTTCCAGCGCTTTTTCCCGTTTACTGGCTTGCTTGGTGGTCGACATTTTGGGCTCGTTTTCGGTGGGCTCGGATGTGAGTGTCTCGATGATCTCTTTTTCGAGAGTGGCTGTTGCTTTTGTGGCCATTCAGATATTCCTTAATGTTAAGCGTTTGATCCCGTGTTCGTTGCGGTTGCATCGTGTGGCACAAGTGTAACATCAAAATGATGCTTGCAACGCATGTGGCGGGAAATATTCGAGGAGTTTTCGCGGGAGGTTTTGAACTGGGGAAACGGCGTGGTTTGTTTTCTCTGGGTTCCCGCGTCGGCGGGAATGACGTTGATGGATGCGGGAATGACGGAGGGGTTGTGATTTTCGTGCATCCCCTGCGTGCTTCGCACGCGTCCCCTTCGCTCTGCGAAGAGGAGGGGGCGTGTTTAATTGGTCTGCCAGTCTGTTGGCAGATTTATGTTTTGGTCGGTTCGGGTGTGGCGTCCTCGCTGGGGCGCCTGGAGAGATTAATTCCCCTTCACCCTCACTCTGACCCTACTCCCATGAAGGGATCTGTGCACAACGTCCGTCATTCCGGCGAAAGCCGAAATCCAGAGGGGCCGGGCAACGGGGATGCGCCTTAGATCTGGACTCTAAACTGTCCCACCATCGGTTGTGCAAAGGATCCATGAAGGGAGAGGGGATGGTTGTTGAGGGAGGTGATGTTGCGGTGAAGGGTGGGCGCCCTGCACCTCCCCCCTGCTCGCTCCGCTCGCGTCCCCCTCTTCGCGTTGCGAAGGGGGCGCCTGTGCTACGGCGCGGTTTTTAGTTGAACTGGTCTCCCCAGGAGCCTAGGGTTAGGGTGATGGGGATGGTTTGGTCGTCGCGGAGGATTTCGATTACGATTTGCTCGCCGGGGGAGGTGTTGAGCATGATGTAGCTGCGGAGGTCGTAGATGTTTTGGATGGTTACGTTGTCGATGCGGATGATGACGTCGCCGTCGCCTTTGAGTGATGAGACGCCGGTATCGGCTCGGATGCCGGCTTTGTCGGCGGGGCCGTTGGGGGAGACTGCGGTTACGAGGAGTCCTTTTTGATCTTCATCGAGTGAGAGTCGCTCTGACCAGGTTGGTGTGAGGACCCATGAGGAGATGCCGATCAATGGGTATTCGTGGATTCCGTGTTCGAGCAGGTTGTTGACGACGCGGCGGACGAGGTTGATGGGAGTTGCGAAAGCCGACGCCGCTGTTGATGTTGGAGATGCTTCGGATCTGGGTGTTGACGCCGATGACTTCGCCAGCGCTGTTGAGTAACGGGCCGCCGGAGTTTCCGGGGTTCATGTCGGCGTCGGTTTGGATGACGGCGGGGATGGGTATGGAGCTGGCTTGGGACTGTATGGATCTGGCGAGTCCGCTGATGATGCCGTGGGTCATGGAGAATGCCTGCTCGATGCCGAAGGGGTGTCCGAGTGCGATGGCGGTCATGCCGGGTCGGAGGTTGGCGCTGTCGCCGACTTTCAGTGTTTTGATCGTGTTTGGGTCGGCGTCGATTTTGATGACGGCGATGTCGGAGATGTGATCGCCGCCGATGAATTCGGCGTCGAATCGGTCGCCGTCGAAAGTTTCGACGATGATGTTGGGCGGTGTTAGGAGGCCGGTAGTTGGTCTGACGACGTGGTAGTTGGTGACGATGTGGCCTTGGTCGTCCCAGAACCAACCGGCACCGGTTCCGTTGCCACCGAAGAGGGAGGTGTCTAGGTTTATGAGCACGACGCCGCCGATGGAATCTTCCCAGATGTCCATCAACCGGTTCTCCCAATCTTCGCGTTCGCTGACGGCGAGCGCTTCGATGGTTTCGCTGGCGATTGCGTCTTTCAATGTGTCGTCGTCCAGAAGCTCGACGTCGCTGATGGGCACACCAAGGACGTCTGATCTGACGGGAGATAAGACTGGCGGGGAGATTCGCGCGGTTAACGATTCGGCCGCCGATGTGTCGACGACTTGATCGCTGGGTGTTTCTTGATCCTCGTCCGCGAATCCGACGGCTTCGTTGGTGATTGCCTCGGCGGTCTCAATGAAGGCGGATTCTGACGTGGGGATGGAGGAATCGGGAGGAGAAGTTGGTTCGGATTCCGATGAGCATGCGATCGCGAGGACCGCGATCGCTGCAAACAGTAGGATTGCGAGCGTTCGTTTGGTCATGATTTGCATCGGTGGTTTGGGTAAAGATTCTAAGTATGTGTTGATGTTATCGGTTGTCTCTTGGGAAGGATTACGCAATCGAGTGCGGCGGCGGATTTATGGGAGTGGAGTCGAGGTTGTATGGACCCGCTCCGCTACGTGCCCTCACCCCCGGTTCAAGCCCGGGGCAGGCTCTAGCCCTCTCCCGCCGAGCGGGTGCTGTGCATAACCACCGTCATTCCGGCGAAAGCCGGAATCCAGAGGGGCGGCGAAAGGACGATTCATGCCGAAACTAACTACCGTTCCATCTCTCCAATTTGTTATGCACAGAACCCGTCCTCGGTAATGGCGTTGAGGGTTGCGGGGATGGAGATGGGGTTGGTGGTTGTCGGGCATCCCCTGCGTGCTTCGCCCGCGTCCCCTTCGCTTCGCGAAGGGGAGGAAAATGGTGTGCTTTGTTGTACTCTGGATTCCGGCTTTCGCCGGAATGACGGTGGTTATGCACAGCATCCGTGCGCGGGAATGACGGTGGGCGTGTTTGGGAATGTGTGCCGTTCAATTGGTTAGTGGCGCCAGCGGGAGGCTATGGGCATGCGGCGGTCGCGTCCGAAGGCTAGGCCGGTTACTTTGACGCCGGGGGGAGATTGTCGTCGTTTGTATTCGTTGATGTCGACCATGCGGAGGATGCGCGCCGCCGTGGCGTGATCTACGCCTTCGAGCTCTTCGAGAATCTCTTCGCTGGAGCGGCGTTCTTCGATGTACGCTCGGAGCAAGGGATCGAGTTGGTCGTAAGGGGGGAGCGAATCGACATCGAGCTGGTCGGGTCGCAGTTCGGCGGTCGGCGGTTTTTCGATGACGGATTGGGGTATTGGCGGTGAGTCGTCGATGCGGTTGCGGTATGCGGAGAGTTGGTAAACGAGTTGCTTGGGGATGTCTTTGATGACTGCGAAGCCGCCGGCCATGTCTCCGTAGAGCGTGGCGTATCCGGTCGCCATCTCGGATTTGTTTGCCGGTGGTGAGGACGAGCCAGCCGAATTTGTTTGCGATGGTCATCATGACGTTGCCACGAATGCGAGATTGGACGTTCTCTTCGGCGGTGTTGGCTTCGTGTCCGTGGAAGGTTTCGGCGAGCATTTGCTCGAATGCGGCGTGGGCGGGTTCGATGGGTATTCGCCATAGCGGGATTTTGAGACGGTCGGCGAGGTCTTGGGCGTCGATGAGGCTGCCTTCGGAGGAGTAGCGAGACGGCATGCCGACGCCGACGATGTTCTCGGGTCCGATGGCGTCGGCGGCGATGCAGGCAACGATCGAGGAGTCGATGCCGCCCGATAGTGCGATGGCGACTTTCTGGAAGCCGGTTTTGTGGATGTAGTCGCGGGTGCCTAGGGTTAACGCGGCGTAGACCTGTGAGATGTCATCTTGGAAGGTCGCGTCGGGCGCGGGGATACGGGTTTTGGCGGCGGTGTTGTAGCGTGGTGCGATGATTTTGGCCGGCTTGATGATGATTTTGGGGATTGTTCGGGACGGTCGTCTGCGGATACTTCGTCATGCAATTGGATGTCGATCGCGGTTACTGCTGATTCGAATCGAGGTGCGACGGTGAGCGTCTGGCCTTGGGGTCCGGCGAAGATGCTGGAGCCATCGAAGACTAACTCGTCTTGTCCGCCGACTTGGTTGGTGTAGACGGCGTATGCTTGGTGTCGTTTGGCGAGGTCGGTGACTAGGTCGATTCGGGTGTGAAGTTTACCGATCTCGTACGGCGAGGAGTTGAGAGTGAGGATGAGTTTTGCGCCGGCGACGCACTGGGCATCACCAACTCCGGGGTTTACCCAGATGTCTTCGCAGATGTTGACGCCGACGGGGATGCCATTGATGTCAATGATCTGGCAGGTTGTGCCGGGAGTGAAGTAGCGGAGCTCGTCGAAGACCCCGTAGTTAGGTAGTTCGTTCTTGTGGTAGATGGCGACGATTTGGCGGTCGACGACGATTGCGGCGGCGTTGAAGATTTGGTTGATGTTGCCGTCGTCGTTTTCGTTGAAGTCGACGATGCCGATGAGGCGCGATACCGATGCAACGTTCAGCTAGATCGTCAGGCACGTCGGTTGGTGCGAACGAAGTGTTGGGAGAGAAGGAGGTCTTCGGGCGGGTAACCGGTGATGGCGAGTTCGGGGAATGCGACGATGTCGGCGCCGATGCTGCGCGCCTCGTCGATCGCATCAGCGATCAGCTGGCAGTTACCTGTGATGTCGCCAACGGTGGTGTTGATCTGTGCGGAGGCGACTCTGATGATTGACATTTCCGCGGGGTCACCTCGTCACTTTGCGGGTCCAGATGTTGAACCGAGTTGCGGCGTTTGAGATGTTGTTCAGGCGTATACCGGGATTGCAGGGCGTGCGTATCCTCGCACAGTGGGCAGGGAGGAGCGACCGGAGAGGAATAGATCGACCTCGCGTGCGCATTGGCGTCCGTTGGCGATGGCGTGGACGACGAGCGACTGTCCGCGTTGCATGTCGCCGCAAGCGAATACCTTGTCGGTGCTGCTCTTCAAGGGTGGGATCGGTCTTTACGTTTCCGAAGGGGTCGTATTTGACTTCGAGATCGTTGAGTAGACCGTCGTGTTGGGGATGAATGAAGCCCATGGCGAGGAGGACGATGTCGGCGGGGATGGTGAACTCGGATCTGGGTATCTCGACCATTTTGGGGCGTTGTCCATCTTCGAAGACCCAGTCGACGCGGACACATTCGAGATGGGTGATGTTGCCTTCGGTTCCTACGAAGCGCTTGGTCATGATGTTGTAGTCGCGCTTGCCGCCTTCTTCGTGTGCTGAGGAGGTGCGGAATACGCTCGGCCAGTCGGGCCATGGGTTGGTGCGGGAACGGCGTTCGGGTGGCCGGGGAAGGAGCTCGAGTTGGACGATGTTCTTGGCGAACTGTCGGTGTGCGGTACCGAGGCAGTCGGCGCCGGTGTCACCGCCGCCGATGATGACGACGTGCTTGTCTTCGGCGGTGAGGGTCTCTTCAGGTGAGAACTCTTGTCCTCGCAAGCGACGATTCTGCTGGGTGAGGTAGTCCATCGCGTAGTGGACGCCATCGAGGTCGCGTCCGGGGATGGGAAGGTCGCGCGGCACGGTTGAGCCGCCAGCTAGGACTATGGCGTCGTTTTGTTCGACTAACTCGTTAGCCGAGATGTCGACGCCGACGTCGGTGCTGGTTTTGAAGATTACGCCTTCGTCGCGCATCTGCTGGAGTCGTCGTTCGACAACGTTTTTTTCGAGTTTGAATTCGGGGATGCCGAGTGCGAGGAGACCGCCGAGATATTCGGATCGCTCGTAGACGGTTACGGTGTGTCCGGCGCGGTTCAGCTGTTGGGCGACCGCGAGTCCGGCGGGTCCGGAACCGACAACGGCGATTTTTTTGCCGGTGCGGTAGTCAGGTATTTCGGGAGTGATCCATCCCTCTTGCCAGGCATGTTCGGAGATCTGCTTTTCGATCATCTCGATCGTTACGGGCTCCATGTTGATGGAGAGTGTGCAGGCAGCTTCGCAGGGTGCGGGGCAGATTCGGCCGGTGAATTCGGGGAAGTTGTTGGTGGCGTGGAGGCGCGCGATGGCCTCTTGCCAATCGCCGAGATATGCGAGGTCGTTCCATTCAGGGATGAGGTTGCCGAGCGGGCAGCCGTCGTTGCAGAAGGGGACGCCGCAGTCCATGCAGCGTGCGGCTTGTTGGCGGGCGTCGTTCTCGTCCCACTTGAGGTAGATTTCGCGCCAATCGTTCAGGCGCTCGCGTTGATCGCGGCGCTTTATGGGAGTGCGTTCGAACTCTTTGAATCCGTCGGTGCTTCCCATGGTGATTTAGACCGCTCTTCCGACGAGTTCTGGAGTGGCCACGGTCCCCCCGTTGAGTGAAAAGTTGGTCGCGTCGTCGATCAATTGATTGTCGGCTTCTTGTTGTTCGCGCAATATGCGGGCGTAATCTCGAGGCATGATTTTTTTGAACTGGTGCACGGTGTTTGCCCAGTCGTCGAGCACACGATCTGCTACGGCGCTGCCGGTCCATTCGAGATGATTCTCGATGAGCGTCTTTAACTCGGCTTCGTCGTCGGAACCCGGCACAAGTTGTTGTAGGTCTGCCATGCCGTCGTTGAAGCGTTCGTGGAGGGTGTTTTCGGGATCCCAGATGTAGGCGACGCCGCCGCTCATACCGGCGCCGAAGTTTCTGCCAGTGGGACCGAGTATGACGACGCGTCCGCCGGTCATATATTCGCAGCCGTGATCGCCGATGCCTTCAACTACGGCGTTCGCGGCGGAGTTACGGACGCAGAAGCGCTCGCCGGCGATGCCTCTGATGTAGGCTTCGCCGCCAGTAGATCCGTAGAGGGCGACGTTGCCGATGATGATGTTCTCTTCGGCGACGAATGTCGCGTCTTCGGGCGGGACGATGACGAGTCGGCCACCGGAGAGTCCTTTGCCGAAGTAGTCGTTGGCATCGCCGTAAACCTTGAAGGTGACGCCTTTGACTACCCATGCACCGAAACTTTGTCCGGTTGAACCTTTGAAGTTGATGTTTATCGAGCCGTCGGGTAGGCCTTTACGGCCGTGTTTCATCGCGATGCGTCCGCTCATCATGCCGCCGACGGGTGCGGTTTCGGTTTCGGATGTCGATGGTTTCGGTGACGGTGGTTTTACCGCCGTCTGCAATAGTCTGTTCGGTCAACTCGATGAGTTTGTGGTCGAGAGCGAATTCGAGGGCGTGGTCTTGCCCGGTGCACTGATAGGCGTGGTCGCCTTCCAACGGGTGTGAGTCGACGAGGATTCTGGATAGATCTAGGGTCTTGGCTTTGAAGTGATCGATGTCGTCGCGTTGCTTGAGCATGTCGGCGCGACCGATCATGTCGTTGACGGTTCGGAAGCCCATCTGAGCCATGCGATTTCGTAGCTCTTCGGCGAGCATCGTGAAGTAGTTGACGACCGCTTCTGGCGTTCCGGCGAACTTGGCGCGTAGCTCAGGGTCTTGGGTTGCGACGCCGACGGAGCAGGTGTTCATGTGGCACTTGCGGAGCATGATGCAGCCCAGGGTGATCAACGCTGCCGTCGCGACGCCCCATTCATCGGCACCGAGAAGCGCGGCCACGGCCACGTCTCGGCTGGTCTTGATTTGGCCGTCGGTCTGGACGACGATTCGGTCGCGCAGCCCATTGGCGACGAGGACTTGCTGGGTTTCGCTGACGCCGAGTTCCCAGGGTATGCCGGCGTGTTTGATGGAGGACAGTGGCGATGCGCCGGTTCCACCGGTGTCGCCAGAGATGAGAACGACGTCGCCCTTGCCTTTGGATATGCCGGCGGCGATGATGCCGACACCGGAACGGGCCACGAGTTTGACGTGGACGCGGGCTTCGGGATTAACGTTTTTGAGGTCGTGAATGAGTTGGGCAATGTCTTCAATGGAGTAGATGTCGTGGTGTGGCGGTGGTGAGATTAGTTCGACGCCGGGGTTGTTCGTCGGATGGATGCGATGTATTCGCTGATCTTGTGTCCGGGTATCTCGCCGCCTTCGCCGGGTTTGGCGCCTTGGGCCATCTTTATTTGGAGGTCTTTGGCGTTGACCATGTATTCGGCGGTGACGCCGAATCTTCCCGATGCGACTTGCTTGACTGCTGAGTTACGAGAATCTACTTCGTCAAAAGGTACGTAACGCTCATCGTCTTCGCCGCCTTCGCCGGTGTTGCTGCGCGCTCCAATACGGTTCATCGCTATGGCGAGGGTTTCGTGGGCTTCGCGAGAGATCGAACCGAGCGATATCGCGCCGGTGGCGAACCGAGGGAGGATTTTCTCGATCGGTTCGACTTCGTCGAGGGATATCGGATGGAAGTTGCTTTTGTCGAAATCGAGCATCTGGCGCAGCGCGATGAAGCCTTCTGGTTCTTCGTCCGCGGCTTCTTCGAATTGCTTGAAGATCGTCGTGCTGTTGAGGGTGGATGCGGTCTGGATGAGTGAGATGGTCCGCGGGTTCCACATGTGCCTTTCGCCGGTGGCTCGCCACATGTAGAAGCCGCCGAGGTCTAGGCGGAGGTTGGATGGTATTTCGTACTGCGGATAGGCGCGGGCGTGGTTGGCTATGGCGTCTGCGGCAATCTCTTCAAGGCCGATGCCGCCGATGCGGGAGTTGGTCCAAGTGAAGTACTCGTCAATCAGGTCTTGTGAAAGTCCGAGCGCTTCGAAGATTTGAGCGCCGAGGTAACCCTGCAACGTGGAGATGCCCATTTTGGACATCGTCTTGAGGACGCCTTCTTCCGACGCCTGGCGGTAGTTTTCCTCGGCGACGTTTTGCAGCGGCATCGTGCCATCGCTGGCGACCGATTCACGTATGTCGGCGAGTGATTCGAGCGCGAGATATGGGTTGATGCCGCTGGCGCCGTATCCGAATAGGAGCGCGAAGTGGTGCACTTCCCTTGGCTCACCGGATTCGACTAGGATGTCGGCTTGGGTGCACGTCTTTTCGCGGATGAGGTGATGATGAACTGCTGCGGTAGCGAGCAACGATGGAATGAAGGAGTTTTCGGCGTCGATGCCGCGGTCAGAAAGAACGAGGACGGTGTAACCGTTTTCGATGGCTTCTGACGCTTCTCGGCGGATGCGTTCGAGCGCGGTTTTGAGACCATCGACCCCATCGGCGACCGGGAAAAGTGTCGATATGGTGATGGTTCTGATGCCGAATTTTGATGACTGCTTGGTCTGCGCCAGCTCGGCGTTGCGCAGGATCGGGTGATCGATGCGTAGGAGACGCGCATGGTCTTCAGTTTCGTCGAAGAGGTTGGGGCGTCGTCCTACTGGTACCGCCATCTGGGTGACGAGTTGCTCCCGGATCGCATCGAGCGGCGGGTTGGAGACTTGTGCGAAGTCTTGCTTGAAATAGGCGAATAGGTTTTGGGGTTTGTCCGAGAGAACGGCGAGAGGCGCGTCGTTGCCCATCGAGCCTTGCGGTTGGTGTGCGTTGACACCCATCGGACCGATGAGCATTCGCATGTCCTCTTGGGTGTATCCGAATACCATCTGGCGCATGGATATCGTCTCGAGATCGACTTGCGGGACGTTCTGTGGAGGGTCAAGGTCGTCGAGAGTCAGGCGCTGGTTGGAAAGCCAATCGCCGTATGGCTGGCTGGAAGCCAGTTTGTCGGCTACCTCCTCTGGTTCGATGATGCGTTTCTCTTCGAAATCGACAAGGAACATGCGTCCCGGTCGGAGTCGAGAACGGTAGCGGATCTGGTCTGCCGGGATGTCGAGGACACCGGTCTCGGACGCCATGACGAGGACGTTGTCGGTGGTTACGGAGTATCTGAAGGGGCGTAGTCCGTTTCGGTCGAGTACGGCGCCGAGCATGTGTCCGTCGGTGAAGACGATCATTGCCGGGCCGTCCCACGGTTCCATGATGCCGCCGTGGTACTCGTAGAAATCTTTGACGTTTTGCGGCATCGACTCGTGGCCGTACCATGCCGCGGGCATCATCATAGCCGCGGTGTGGGCTACGGATCGGCCGCCCATGTACACCGCTTCGAAGGCGTTGTCGAGCGACGCCGTGTCAGACGGTTCATCCGTCTCGCAGATCGGCAGGATGTCAGAGATGTAGTCGCCGAAGAGGTCTGATTCTAGGGTGAGTTCCCGAGCAGACATCCAATTGCGGTTGCCGCGAACGGTGTTGATCTCGCCGTTGTGCGCCAACATGCGATAAGGGTGAGCGAGTTTCCAAGAGCCTAGCGTGTTGGTGCTGAATCGCGAGTGGACCATTGCGAAGTGGGACTGGAAATCGGGGTCCGTTAGGTCTATGTAGAACTTGTCGGTCTGTTCCGACATCAACATGCCCTTGTAGACGATGGTCCGGGCGGAGAGGGACGGTATGTACCACTCGTTGAGCAGGGCGTTTACGACAGCGGCGTCTTTGTCGTCAAGATTTCCGCTGGATCGTGCTTCGATCTCGTCGATGCGTGACCGGATTACCTTTTCGGTAGATTTCCGGATTACATAAAGTCGTCGTTCGAGTAGATTTTCGCCGATGCCTTCAGGTGCTTTCAGGAAGAGCTGCGCGATGTGAGGCATGCGGGCGCGGGCCCAGACACCAACGGCGTCGGGGTCGACTGGCACGTCGCGCCATCCCAGTGGTTGGGCATCGTGTTCACGGGCGCTGTTTTCGAGCGCTGTTTTGCAGAATTCGCGGAGTTCTTCGTCCTGCGGGAGGAAGCACATCGCGACCGCGTAGTTGGGCGATTTTGGCAGTTGTATACCGGCCTCGGCGGCGACCTTGTCCATGAATTGGTGGGGCATTTGCACGAGGATGCCTGCGCCGTCGCCGGTTTCCGGGTCACAACCGCAAGCGCCGCGATGCCCGAGGTTGCGGAGAACTTCCAAACCGTGTTGGATGATGTCGTGGGACCCTTGACCGTCGATATTGGCTACGACACCGACGCCGCATGCGTCGTGCTCGTGGCTTTTGAGATAGAGCCCCTCTTGTTCCAATCGTCGAAATTCGGCGTCGCGTTCGGCAGCGCGTCGCCGCATTTCACTGGTTGTGTTTTCCAACGTCATCGACCGTGTATCTCTGGAAGTTCAAACTTGAATCTTAATATCGTGCCAGCGAAATCGTTCGTTGGCCGCCGCGACTGTTAGAGAACGTCGAGATATCGGTTGGTCTCGAAGTCAGTGACGGTTCGGTTGAACTCGTCCCACTCGAGGTATTTGTTGCGGCAGAAACTGTCGACCGCTCGGTCGCCGAGGCTCTTCCTCAACAGTTCGCTTTTGTCCGCGATGGCGACCGCTTCTTGTAGCGAGCTGGGCAATCTTGGCAACGTATGGGACCCTGCAAAGTTAGTGTCAGTGATTGGCGTTGAGAGGGGATAATCGTTCTCGACGCCTTCGAGACCCGCGGCAAGCAATGCGGTAAACGCGAGGTAAGGATTGCATGCGGCGTCTGGCGCTCGATATTCCACTCGCATACTGGCTTCTTGGCCAGGCCGGAATGCGGGAACTCGGATCAAGTCGTTCATGTTGCCAGCAGTCCACGATGCAAAGATCGGAGCTTCCGAGCCTTGAACTAATCGCTTGTAACTGTTGACCCACTGATTGGTAATTGCGGTGATTTCTGGCGCATGCGTCACCAAACCGGCGATAAATTTCTTGCCGACTTCGGAGAGATGAAACTCGTCTTCGTCGGCGGAAAAGAAAGCGTTATCGTCGCCGCTAAAGAGCGACATGTTGGTGTGCATACCGGAGCCGGGGCGGTCTGAGAATGGCTGCGGCATGAAAGTCGCGTGCCCGCCCATGCGCGCCGCGATCTCTTTAACCACGACTCGATACGTCACAACCGAATCGGCCATGGTAAGCGCGTTCGTGTGTCGGAGGTCGATTTCGTGCTGACCTTGGCCCACTTCGTGATGACTGTGTTTAACAGGAATCCCCATCTTTTCGAGGGCCAAAACGACTTCTCGACGAAGTTCCGCCCCGCCGAGGTCTGGTGAAGTTTGATCGAAATAACGACTGGCGCGGTTGAAACGCGCCGACATATTGGCGTCCTGGTAATCAACGCCGCTGTTCATGGATGTTCGGTCGTTCGCGGATTTGTAGTACTCGTCGCTGTCGTCCGCGTAGTAGAACTCGAGTTCAGGAGCGACGTAGAAGTTGTAGCCGAGTTTTCTGGCCCTGCGCATCACCGTTCTGAGAATGTGCCGACCATCAGTTGGCAACGGTTGCCGGTCGGGTGTGCTGAGGTCGCAGAACATGCTGGCGACGGCGTCTTGACTTGGGCGCCAAGGTAGTATCTGCCAAGTGGTTGGGTCGGGCACCGCGACCGTGTCGACTTCATCGCTACGGGCGAGACTGTCGATAACAGCACCGTCGAAGCTGGCACCGGTATTAAGCACATGCTCCAGCTCGTCGATCGTTATTGCAAAGCCTTTTACCGACCCGAGAATGTCTGTAAACCACAGTCGGATGAAACGAACGTCTTGTTCCTTCGCCGACCGCAGGACGAACTCTTTCGCCTCGTCGTCGAACGATCTAGCGGTGGGACTCTGAGTATTTGACGCAGTCTGCACGATTTCGTCCTAGCGGTAGGTTCAGTTGTAGTGAGGTTGCGCGAACCTGAACTCAATTGCGACGTGGGGAACCAAATTCGCGGCGGCGCCTCGCACCGTAGGCGACAACACCTCATTCCCCGTTTGAGAAAGCAATAATTTTATAAAAATCGTCAAGTCCCAGTTACACTGCGCCCGCCATCGCCCTACCACCGTCATTGGCGGGATTTGCACGCACTTCGGGAACGCTAAAGCGATATCCAACTCGCCACATTGTTTCGATCACGTTGTGGCTAACGTCGTCTAATTTGCTGCGCAACCGTCGCACGTGAACGTCGACGGTTCGAGTGCCTCCGAAGTAGTCATCTCCCCATATCCGATTAAGGATGTCTTCCCGACGAAACACGCGACCCGGATTTGAGGCGAAGAGTTTCAGTAGTTCGTATTCCTTGTAAGTGAGCTCGATGTTGCGACCATTCAACGAGACAGCGAAACTGCTTACGTCGATCGTCAAATCGCCGTGCACGATCATCGGTTCCGATTGGATCGTAGCGCGCGCCCGTACCGCCTTGATTCGCGCTTTGACTTCGCTTGCAGACGGGTAGTTGAAGCACAGTTCGATGTAACCGGAGTTGAAATCGAAAAGGTCGGCGCACGATTCTTCGGTGATCGCGATTACCGGCGTTCCGTGGCTGGCAATCTCGTTGGTGACTGCGATCGGTAGAGGGATGGAGAGAGCCAATGCACCAAATCATCGCAACTTCATCGTGCATTGACGTTTTGTGTTGTACTTCTTGGCCCCACACCGCATCGATCACTACCAGCGACTCGTCATGGAAACGCAACTCATCAATCAAGGCGTTCGAGTGCGGGTTATTGAACCCATAGAGGATGAGAGTCGTCATGCCGTGTGAGTTGGTTTTTCCGAACCGTTGATGGTACTGGGATTGGCAGGATTGCGAGCTACTGAGAGCAGAACTAGGGCGTGCAGCGTGCGTCAGCGCGATGGACTTAGGATATTACAGTCGAAAAGGGGTTTGAAATCCTGCGGGCGTGATGGATGTTTGACGGTGGAGAGTTGGTTGACGATGCACATTGAGATTTGTATGATTTAACGTTTAGCGGTTGTTGCGTAACTGTGGTTCGGGTGTTCGCGCGCCATTTGGCGTGAACCGGCGAATCGAATTACGTTACAAGCCAAACAGATGGAGAACGCGTTGCCGACGCTAAGCCAACTCGTAAGAAACCCCCGCAAGCGGACGCGCAAGAAGCCGAAGACACCGGCGTTGCGCGCGATTCGTAACTCGTTCACGGGTCGCACTCGTGAACTTCAAAAGGGTTCGCCTCAGAAGGCAGGAGTTTGCTTACAAGTTCGGACCGTCACGCCGAAGAAACCGAATTCGGCTCTTCGCAAGGTGGCACGGGTACGACTCTCCAACAACGTCGAAGTGACGGCTTACATTCCGGGCGAAGGCCACAACCTGCAAGAGCACTCAGTGGTTCTGATCAGGGGAGGAAGAGTCCGTGACTTGCCGGGTGTCCGCTACCACGTTATCCGTGGAACCAAGGACACTGAAGGTGTGGAAGGCCGACGCCAGGGCCGCAGCAAATATGGGACTCCGCGAGGAGTTTGAACGGGGTGGTGGGTATATAATTTGTTGCAGAATTCGTAGCGAAACGCTTAGGCGAAGCTGATTGGCGCGTCGTCGCCGTCGAAATCCGTAGCGCCGAGCGGAATGTCAACACCTTAATCTCGCAACGTCTGCAGACGCGACCCTTTCGGGACGCAGCCGAAATGGCACCTGACTCCGGTTAATAGAAATATCGATTACCAAGCACGTATCGCGGCACCACGAAACGAACCAAAAGATGGCACGAAGACGAAGGGCCGAAAGGCGCATAACCCAACCAGATCCTCGTTACGGCGACGAGGAGCTTGCGCGATTCATTAATCGCGTGATGCTCGGCGGAAAAAAGAGCACCGCGCGCCGGGCGGTATACGACGCTCTTGGCCTTCTGGGCCAACGTATGAACATGAACCCGTTGGATGCGTTCCATCAGGCGATGTCGAACTCGACCCCGCTTTTGGAGGTCCGGCCTCGTCGAGTTGGTGGCGCCACCTATCAGGTGCCGAACGAAGTCCGACCGGAGCGTCGAGAGGCACTTGCGCAACGTTGGCTGGTCAGCGCGGCACGGGCGCGCAAGGGACAACCAATCGCCCGAAAACTTTTCACGGAATTGTTGGATGCTGCCAACAACACTGGTGCGGCGGTGCGGCGGAAAGACGAGTTGCAGCGAATGGCTGAAGCGAACCGGGCATACGCCCACTTCAGGTGGTAAACCGAGACGGTCGTTGCCGATGTTAAAGTCGGCACGATTTTGAGAACGACAGGAAAGCCAGCACGTCACACAAGGATTGATTCGAGCACGAACGCCGTCGAGTGAACGACGGATGGGAGTTGATCCCCAATCTAAAGACCCAAAGGGCAATGACAACGACATCTAAAAAAAGAACTGCATCTGAACCGGCTCCCGCCGCTAACGGCCGAGACCTGCGGAATCTGCGAAACACCGGATTTATCGCGCACGTCGACGCGGGTAAGACTACGGTCAGCGAAAGCGTGCTGTATTTCACCGGCGAGACTTACAAGATCGGCCGCGTTGACGATGGCACCGCGCTCCTCGACTACATGCCGCAAGAGCGCGAGCGTGGAATCACAATCACCGCGGCGGCACAGAACGTCTCGTGGCGCGACCACCAGATCAATATCATCGATACTCCGGGTCACGTCGATTTCACTGCCGAGGTGGAGCGTAGCTTGCGCGTGCTCGACGGCGTTACCGTCGTGCTCGATTCCGTCGCCGGTGTGCAAGCACAATCGTTGACGGTTTGGCGACAGGCCGACAAACATAGCGTTCCGCGGATTGTGTTCGTCAACAAGATGGACCGTATCGGCGCGGATTTCCAATATGCAGTGTCGACGCTGAGAAACCGCCTCTACGCGAATGCCGTCCCGATCCAGATTCCGATCGGGCAAGAAGCGGATTTCCAAGGCGTGATCGATCTAGTCGACATGCGGGCGTTCTACTACGAGTGGCAAGACCCCTCTGCTGAGGTTGACCGAAATGGTCGTCTTGAGCCGCGTGAAGCCGAAATTCCCGCGGATCACCTAGATCTTGCCAACGCCGCCCGCGAGGAGCTAGTTGCCAAGGTTGCGGAATTCGACGACGACTTGGCCGAACTCTACTTAATGGGTGGGGAAGTACCGGCAGACCTATTGAAGTCGTCGATTCGGCAGGCAACGATCGACATCAAAACTCTTCCCCGTCTTGGCTGGGGCTGCGCTGCGACACCGCGGCACACACCAGTTGTTGGACGCGGTCTTGGATTATCTACCGTCGCCGATGGACCTGCCGCCTGCGGAGGGCTTCGAGCCGCTGCATCCGGACCACAAGTTGGAGCGATACCCTAACGACGATGAACCGCTCAGCGCACTTGCTTTCAAAGTAATTTCCGACGAGCATGCCGGCCGTTTGATCTTCGTACGTGTTTACTCGGGTGTGTTGAAGCGGGGCATGACCGTCTACAATCCGTCAGTCAGAGGCAGAGAACGCATCGGACGACTGTTGCGGATGCGGGCTGATGTCCGGGAGCCCGTTGATGAAGCGGGAGCCGGCGAGATCGTTGCGGCGATCGGATTGAAGTCGACGAAGACCGGGCACACGCTTTGCGCGGTGAATGCCCCGAGTGGCGATGGCGCAGATCCAATTCCCAGAACCGGTGCTGTCGATCTCTGTTGAAGCCGCAAGCCGTTACGACAAAGATAAGTTAACGACCACGTTGATGAAATTGGTGGATGAAGACCCAACTCTGATACTTTCGACCGACGATGAGAGCGGACAACTCTTGCTAGCCGGTATGGGAGAGTTGCATCTGGAAATCATTCTGGACCGCATGAGGATCGAGTACGGTGTCAATTGCACCCGCGGTCGACCAAGAGTCGCATACCGTGAGACGATCGGCAAATCTGCGGAAGCTGAAGGTCGTTTCGTGCGCCAGACCGGCGGACGAGGCCAATATGGTGTCTGCTCAATGCGAGTCGAACCTTTGCCGCGCGGTTCGGGCCTTGAATTTGAAAGCGAGATCACCGGCGCAACCCTAAGCACCGAGTGGTACGGACCGATTGAAAAAGGATTCCGGGAGGCGGCGCGATCTGGGATCGTTGCTGGCTACCCGGTAGTCGATGTCAAAGCGGTGCTCACTGACGGTGCGCAACATGACACCGACTCTTCGGAGATGGCGTTCCAGATCGCCGGATCATTGGCGTTCAAAGCCGCGATGCACAAGGCATCGCCAAGACTACTTGAACCGATCATGAGACAAGAAGTTGTGATGCCGGCCGACATGCTCGGCCCGGTTATCGGCGACCTGAACTCACGGCGCGGGAAGATCCAGTCGATGGAGACCTCGGAGCCAAAGCCAGGGCAGGCAGGCATTGGTAGCGTGATGGCATTCGTCCCGCTCTCCGAGACCTTTAACTACTCGACGGATCTGCGATCGTTAACCTCAGGGTTCGGCGATTTCAATATGGAACTTGATCACTACGACGTGATGCCGCAGCACGTTCTGGAAACATTGGATAGGTAGGCAACTAAATTGATGGCAAGCGGCAAAATGCGCATAATGCTTCGTGGTTACGATGCACCCTTGTTGGAGCAGGCTACGGAGCAGATATTAGACGCGGCGACGCGGACGGGCGCGCAGATTTCGGGCCCGGTTCCGATGCCGACCCGGCGCCGCCGATTCACGGTGATTCGATCACCGCACATACCAAGGACTCGCAAGAACATTTCGAGCTTTGGCTGCACAAGCGTCTAGTAGACATTGTGGAACCGAGTTCGAAGACGATGGACGTCCTCCAACGATTGAACGTTCCGAATGGCGTGGAGGTCAGCGTAAAAGTAATTCAATGAAGCCGCAGCGGCCTTTACATGGCCCTCGGCTTGATGATCTGAACGGCGAGAGATGACGACGCAAGAACAAGAACAAGTGGTCGACGAATCGACGGTGGCGGTTGACATCGCCGTTCCGGAAGCGCCGCAATCCATGCCCGGATTGCTAGGGCGCAAGATTGGCATGACCGTCATCTACGACGACGCAGGCCGGGCCAACGGGGTGACGATGGTCGAGGTCGGTCCGTGCGTGGTGACACAGGTCAAGACCGAGCAGCGCGATGGCTACCAAGCGGTACAGATCGGTTTCATGCGGGCGAGCAAAGTGAACATGCCGATGCGTGGTCACTTCGAGCGCGCAAACGGTAACTTCCGGCATTTGCAGGAGTTCAAGGTGTCGGACCTCGGCGAGTACGAGGTCGGACAGGAGATACGAGCCAACGTCTTTTCGACGGGCGATGCCATCAAAGTGACAGGTGTATCGAAGGGTAAGGGTTTCCAAGGCGGCGTGAAACGACATGGCTTCGCGGGCGGACCGAAGACCCACGGTCAATCGGATCGTCATCGAGCCCCTGGTTCCGTAGGAGCCGGCACATATCCTGGCCGCGTTTGGCCGGGTACTCGCATGGCGGGCCATATGGGCGACCGCCGCGTGACGACCCGCGGGCTGTCGGTTGCAGGTGTTGATCCTGCTCAAAACTACATTTTGGTCAAAGGTTCGGTGCCCGGGGCTCGTAACAGCCTCGTGCGCATCGAGAAGCAGGGTTGAAGTAGGACTCGCCATGGAGTTATCAGTAAAAAACAGAAACGGCGACGTTGTCGGCAGCGTTGATGTGAGCGACCGGGTGTGGTCTGCGCCTTCTAACGACTCGCTCTTGCATCAAATTGTTCAAGCACAGTTGGCGAATCGCCGCCAGGGTACGCATGAGACTAAGACGCGCGGTCAAGTGAATTACTCGACCCGTAAGCTGCACGCGCAGAAGCACAGCGGGCGCGCCCGCCTCGGTAGCCGCAAATCGCCCACATTGGTCGGCGGTGGAGTCATATTTGGTCCGCACAAGCGCAGCTACCGCCAACGAGTTCCCAAGAAGATGCGTCAACAGGCGCTCCGCGTTGCGCTTAGTGAAAAAGTGCGAGAAGATCGTTTGACGATCCTTGACGAGTTCACCATAGATACGCCAAAGACGAAGCAGGTCGTTGAGTTGGTTCAAGCTCTCGGTGTCACTGGTCGAACGTTGCTGGTAACCGAGGCGAATGAACCCGTTGTGGTGCTTTCCGCCCGTGGTGCCGAACGCGTCGAAGTGACGTTTGCTGACTGTTTGAACGTGACAACCACAGTCAGTGCGGCGCACATCGTTGCAACGCGCGGAGCAGTGGAGCGCATCGAGTCACTTTGGGACGTCACTGATGGCGAGGCCATGGACGCTTCTGGTGATGCTGTGGAGGTGTCAGAATGAACATCGCACGGACATTGTTGCGACCGGTTATCACGGAAAAGTCGACGCTGCTGAACGAACAGAATCGATACGTTTTCGATGTGGCCATGAAGGCCAACAAATATGAAATCGCGCGTGCTGTCGAATGGGCGTTCGATGTGAACGTCGTGTCTGTCAACACGTACCGCCGGCGTGGAAAGATGAAGCGCCGCGGCTTCCGAGAGAAGAAGCGACCCGACGTTAAGCGAGCGATTGTGACGCTGGTGCCGGGCGACACGATCGTCCTGTTTGAGGGCGCATAGTTAACGGATTTCTCGACATGCCATTGAAAGAACACAAGCCAACATCTCCGGGTCGTCGCAACAATGTTGTCGACGATTTTTCGGACATTACCAAGAAGAAGCCCGAGAAGTCGTTGCTTGCACCGTTGGTCAAAAAGGCCGGGCGCAACAACACGGGCCGGATCACGGTTCGTCGTCGAGGTGGTGGACACAAGCGTCGATACCGGATGGTCGATTTCAAACGCGCCCGAGTGGCGAGGCCGAGGTTATGGCGATCGAGTACGATCCCAACCGCAGCGCCCGAATCGCGCTTATCCAATATGAAGATGGCCAAAAGTCGTACATCGTTGCACCTCAGGGATTGACGGTTGGCCGCAAGGTCGAGTCGGGCTCCGAGGTTCCCGATTTGCCGGGCAACACGAAGCCGTTGATGGACATTCCTCAAGGAACCATGGTTCACAACATCGAGATGACGCCTGGCAGCGGTGGCCAACTCGCCAAAGGTGCGGGCACCGGCGCACAGGTTATGGCTCACGAAGGTTCGTTCATCTTGGTGCGCTTGCCGTCCGGCGAAATGCGCCAGGTCCGACAAGAGTGTAGGGCGACCATCGGGGTTGTTTCTAACCCGGACCACAAAAACATCAAGCTTGGCAAGGCTGGACGTTCCCGGCACCGCGGCAGACGACCGCATGTCCGCGGTACAGCGATGTCTCCGGACGCGCACCCGCACGGCGGTGGCGAGGGTCGATCAGGCATCGGATTCTCGAATCCGAAGTCGCCTTGGGGCAAGCCCACGCTGGGTTACAAGACGCGCCGCAACAAGCGCACTGACAAATTCATCCGACGAAGGCGTGACCAACGCTGATCGTGTCGGTCAAGACGAAATCGAATCGATAGACGGGTTACAAGCATATGAGCAGGTCAGTCAAGAAGGGACCATTCGTGGATCCCAAGCTGATGAAAAAGGTCGACAAGGCCAGGCGCGAACGGACGCGCGGAGCGATCCGCACTTGGGCGCGTGCGTCGACGATCATGCCGGACATGGTTGGCCTGACGTTTGCCGTGCACAACGGGCGCACGTTCGTACCAGTGTTGGTAACCGAGAACATGGTAGGTCACCGTTTGGGCGAGTTCTCGGCGACGAGAGTATTTCGTTCTCACGCAGGGAACCGCTGAGGAACTGAATAGATGGCAATCGCACGAGCCAAGAACATCGGAATCTCCGCCAAGAAGCTGCGGCTTGTGATGGACGAGGTGCGCGGCATGAAAGTGGACGACGCGCTGGCATATCTGCGATATATGACCTCGCCGAGTGCGGGGGAGATCTTCAAGGTCTTGCATGCGGCCGCTGCGAACGCTGAAAACAATGATTTGCAGGATCGCGAGGCGCTGGTAATCAAGCGCATTGTCGCCGACCAGACGGTTACGATGAAGCGATTTCGGCCTAAGGCGCGTGGTCGTGCCGGTGCGTTCAACCGCCCGACCGCACTCATCACTATCGAGGTAGACGAGGCATAGGACCATGGCGACGATACGTCGCCTAATTCCGAACGAACGGACAATACATGGGACAGAAGATACATCCGATAGGATTTCCGCCTCGGCATTTCAGCTGATTGGCGTTCGAATTGGTTTGCCGGGAAACCAGACGGTTACCGTGAACTGGTTCAAGAGGACTACCAGATTCGTGAGATTGTCGCCCGCGAATATCAAGGCGAGGGCGCGATATCACGCGTCGACATCGACCGCGGCGGTGGCGAGATCAGCATCAACGTATTCACGAGTCGGCCCGGAATCATCATCGGTCGCAATGGTCAACGGATCGATCGCTTGCGACATTTGATTGAACGCTCAACTGGTCGACGCGTCCGAATATCGGCCAACGAGATCAAGGTTCCAGAACTCGATGCGAAACTGGTGGGCCAGAGCCTGGCGGAACAGCTCGAGCGACGAATACCTTACCGGCGAGCGGTGCGGATGTCGATGCAACGGACGATGGATTCGGGTGCCGAAGGAATCAAGGTAGTGGTGTCCGGCCGATTGGGCGGAGCCGAGATTGCCCGTGTTGACAAGCAGATGGAGGGGCGAGTCCCCCTGCACACGTTGCGCGCCAAGATCGACTACGCGGTTTCGGAGGCGTACACGACTTTCGGCGTTATCGGCATAAAGGTCTGGATTTTTACTGGAGACATGCCCGCGGAAGGCCGATTGCAACGCGAGGGTAATTCCGGCGTGTCGCCCATCGGACTGGGTCGCGCACCGAGGCACCGCCGATAACCGACTGAAGAATCGTGTCATTTCGATGAAACGATTGAGGGTTCTTAGAGATGCTACAACCAAGGAGAACAAAGTTCCGCAAGCAGCACCGCGGGAAAATGAAAGGCGTTTCGAATCGTGGTAGCGCGTTGGCGTTCGGTGATTTTGGCCTAAAGGCCGTTGACGCGAGTTGGGTTACGTCTCGACAGATCGAGTCAGGCCGACGAGCAATCACTGGTTACGTCCAACGTGGCGGTCAAGTTTGGATCCGCATCTTCCCCGACAAACCCGTTTCGTCACGACCAGCGGAGACCCGAATGGGCGGCGGCAAGGGTGCCGTAGATCACTGGGTTGCGCCAGTGCGACGCGGGAGGATCATCTACGAAATTGCCGACGTCTCGGAAGCGGCTGCTCGCGAGGCACTGCGCCGCGCCGGGGCCAAATTTCCGATGGCTGTCAAAATCGTCTCGCGTGCTGACGAACTGTAAGCGCGATCGCGGTTTGAAACCTAACAGGTATTGATCAAATGCACATCACAGAAGTTAGAGAATTGGATAACGTCGAGCTCTACCGGGAGTTGTCCCAACAGGAGCGAGCGTTGATGAATCTACGTTTTCAGAAGACAACGCGCCAATTGACGAACACCAATGCGTTGCGAGACACACGTCGAACGATCGCACGTATTCATACCGTCCTTAAAGAGCGACAGATCGTAAGAGACTTGGGCTTGGACGAGAGTTCGTCATAAGTTTGGCGACCAGAATTAACATCACAGAGTTGAGGATATTCAAGTAGATGGCAGGCATACGGAAAACGCGCACCGGTACGGTGATCCGCGACAAGAACGACAAGACGATTGTCGTCGCTTATTCGTGGTCGCAACGGCACCGAATTTACAAGCGCAGTCGTCGACGTATTACAAAGTTCGTTGCTCACGATGAAAACAACGAAGCGTCAATTGGCGACCGCGTTGTCATCGAGGAGCATCGCCCGTTGTCAAAGACGAAGCGTTGGCGCCTGCGTCAAATCGTGGATCGTGTCGATGTCGTCGCTCCTGATGACGCTCCGTCGGAGATCGACCAACAAGACGTTGCGATTGGAGACGGGCAGCAATGATTCAGCGAGAGTCACGCCTTCGAGTAGCCGACAATTCGGGTGCACGAGAGGTTCTCTGTATCAACTTGACCGGATCTGGCAACCGCCGGTACGCCGGGCTAGGCGACGTAATCACATGCGCGGTCAAAGACGCACAACCGGGTGGAGCGGTCGGTATGCACGAAGTAGTCAAGGCGGTCATCGTTCGGACGTCCAAGGAATACCGGCGGGTCGACGGCTCGTACATCAAGTTTGATGACAACGCCTGCGTGATCGTTGCTGACGACGGCAACCCGCGTGGCACGCGCATATTTGGCCCGGTAGCTCGCGAACTGCGCGAGCGCGAATTTAACCGCATCGTGTCGTTAGCTCCTGAAGTTCTGTAGAAGAAACCCAATGCCTAACAAGATCAAAAGAGGGGACACCGTCCTCGTTGTGTCCGGTAAGGACCGAGGATCGCGCGGCAACGTTATCGCGGTCAACCTCAAGAAGCAACGCGTCTTCGTCGAAGGCGTGAATATGGTCAAGCGTCACATGGGCCGTCGCCGCGGCGTCATGCAGACCGGCATCGTCGAAGGGGAAGCGTCGATACACATCTCGAATGTCGTGCTCGTCGATGCAGACACTGGTGAGGCTGGCCGCGTCCGATGGCGAGAGCTCGAAGACGGCACCCGCGTCAGAACGATAAAGGGGGCGCGCAATGGCTAGTTCAAACGGCAGCGCAACGACGATGCCGCGTCTATTGTCGCGGTACCGATCGGAAGTTACTTCGGTGCTCACCCGTGAATTCGGGTACACCAACCCGATGCAGTTGCCAGTTCTTGACAAGATCATCGTCAACATTGGACTTGGCGAGGCGATCGACAACTCGAACTCGCTTGACGCAGCGACTGGTGACATCGCGACGATCACGGGACAAAAGCCGATCGTGAACCGCGCCAAGAAGTCGATTGCGAACTTCAAACTGCGGGAAGGCATGCCGATCGGCGCATCGGTCACGTTGCGTTCGCACCGAATGTGGCAGTTCTACGACCGGTTGGTGAGTGTAGCACTACCCCGCGTCCGCGACTTCCGCGGCACCAATCGGAACTCGTTCGACGGTAATGGCAATTACAGTTTGGGACTCTCCGAGCAGGTTGTTTTCCCCGAGATTGACTACAATCAGATAGACAGGTTGCGCGGGTTGCAGGTCGCAATCGTGACCACTGCCCGCACTGATGAGGAAGGTCGCAGGTTGCTCGAACTATTGGGCATGCCGTTTGCGACGGGACGCCAATCTGACCACTGAAAACTGAACCGCCGCTAGATTCGGCACGAAAAGTAGACGAAAACACCAATGGCTCGCAAGGCAATCATCGAACGTGAAAAGAAACGTGCACTTCTCGTGGAGAAGTACGCTCAGCGACGCGCGGAACTGAAACGGATCGCGAACGATACCAGTCGTTCGTTCGAAGAACAGATGGAAGCGAGGCGCTTGTTACACCTGCTCCCGAAAAACTCGAGCCGGATTCGACAGCGGAACCGGTGCTTTGCAACCGGCCGACCGAATGGATACATCCGATTTTTCGGTTTGTGCCGAATTGTCTTCCGCCAACAAGCGCATCTCGGCAATTTGCCCGGGATCCGGAAGGCCAGCCTCTAGACACCGAACGCCGACAGGCGAGGACATCGAACCAACAGAGATATGCCAGTTACCGATCCAATATCAGACATGCTGACGCGCATTCGAAATGCCGTCATGTCACACCACGACACGGTGTCGATACCGCATTCGAAGATGAAGCGTTCACTTCTGCGCCTATTGCGCGACGAAGGTTTCATCGTGAACGTTGAAACGCACCGAGACGGCGTGAAGGCCGATTTCGAAGTCAAGCTTCGCTACTACGAAGAAGACGACGAATCGGTGATCACCGGACTCAAGCGGATCAGCACACCGGGACGACGCGTCTACGTTGGCAAACACGAGATACCGCGATATTTTGGCGGTCGTGGCGTAGCATTTCTTTCGACCTCCAAAGGCGTGATGACTTCGGATCAAGCGCGCCGTTCCGGTGTCGGCGGAGAGTTGCTCTTTTACGTCTGGTGATCTGAGCAATCAGATCAATTCGAACGGGATATATCAAGATGTCCAGAGTAGGAAAAAACCCAATCACGGTGCCTAACGGCGTCGACGTAAAAGTCGCCGGTCGTGAAGTCACGGTAAAGGGACAGTTGGGCGAACTCAGCCGAAATCTCCATGACGGTATCAACGTTGAGATCGAAGATTCTCAAATCCTTGTGACCCGGTCCAACGAAACCCGAGACCAACGTGCGAAGCATGGTCTGACACGCAGCTTAGTCAACAATATGGTGGTTGGCGTCAGCGAAGGCTTCACGAAGCGCCTGATCATGTACGGCACCGGATATCGTGCCGCGCAGAAAGGCAACGGCTTGGAACTGCTCGCCGGGTTTTCGCACCCGGTTGAAGTCGAGCCGATCGGCAAGAACTCTTTGAGCGTCGACGGAAACACTACGATCATTGTCACCGGTCCAGACAAACAGGAAGTTGGCCAGCAAGCGGCGACGATTCGCGCCGTCCGCAAACCGAGCCGATTCCAGAGCAAGGCCGGGCGGGTTCCCCTCTTCGGGATCACTTATCAAGGCGAACAACTGCGGCTACGCGTGGGCAAGACCGTCGCGGGTGTCGGAGGTTAATCGAAAGATGGCTAACAGGAAGTTCGACAATCGACCACGTTGGATACGCCACCGCCGCGTACGTCGGCGAGTAATTGGACTCAACGATCGACCGCGACTCTCGGTGTTCCGAAGCAACAAACAGATCTACGCCCAAGTTATCGACGATGGCGCAGGTCACACGTTGACCGCTGCGTCTTCAGTTGAGTCTGGTGTTGATAACGCTGGAAAAATTGACTCCGCCAAGAGCGTTGGCACCGCAGTCGCGCAACGTGCGATTGAGCTGGGCATCAAACAGGTGGTGTTCGACCGCGGCGGATATCGATATCACGGACGCGTGAAGGCATTGGCCGAAGCTGCCCGTGCGGAAGGCCTCAAGTTTTAACCATGGTTACTCAAACCAACACTCGCGATAGACGTTCAGATGGTGACCGTCGCGGTAGACAACGACGTCGACCGCGCCGAGATGAGGCCCCCGAAGGGCCCGAACTTTTCGAGCGCGCGGTCAAGATCCGCCGTGTCTCCAAGGTCGTCAAGGGCGGCAGGAACCTTTCGTTTAGCGCCATGATGGTCGTTGGCGATTACAACGGCCGAGTTGGCGCAGCCCTCGGCAAAGCTGCTTCCGTTCCCGACGCCGTCCGGAAGGGACGGCAAAACGCGGAACGGGCGATGGAGCCGGTTACGACCTTAGGTGGCACAATCCCGCATGAGGTTTTTGCGAAGTACGGCAGCGCCAAAGTATTGCTTTTGCCAGCTAAGCCTGGAACGGGCGTTATCGCTGGCGGCGGTGTGCGCGCGGTGATCGAAGCAGCCGGGATCCAAGATGTGCTATCGAAGACGTACGGTGGCAGCAATCCGGTTAATACCGTGCGGGCTACCTTGAAGGCATTGTCGCTGCTGAAAGACCCACAGAGGGAACGCGCTCGAAGGCTCGGGCTCGACCGAATTCACACCCCTGAGGTGACGGCTCCCGAAGTTGAACCTGTCGAAGCCGCATCAACGGAGGCCGAACCGGTCGAAGTTACTGAGGCATCGACTGAAACATCAACTGAAGTTCCGGCAGATGACGCGAACGCCGAGACTAGCGAACCTGTAAGCGAAGAAGTTTCAGGCGAGGTAGTGGCGACGACCGAACCTGTCGTTGATGTCCCAACCGCTGAAGACGAGAGCGAAAATTCGTCATGAGCGAGATAAGCATCAAACAAGTTCGTAGCGGGATCGGGTCTATTCCCAAACAACGCGCGACGCTCAAAGCTCTCGGCCTGCGGCGCATCAATCACGTCGTTACGAAGCAAGACACCGTTCAGATACGTGGAATGGTCAAGAGGGTCTCCCACTTGGTCGAAATCGTTTCCTGAAGCAAAGACGAGTTAACGAAATGCCAGGATTGCATCAACTAAGACCGGCCGATCGTTCGCGCCGCAAGCGCAAGCGTGTTGGGCGTGGAGATGGCAGCGGTAGCGGCTCGTACTCCGGGCGAGGCAGCAAAGGTCAGCTGCAGACCGGCAAGGTACCGTTCCTGTTCGAGGGCGGTCAGCTACGCTTGGTCAAGCGACTGCCATTTATGCGCGGCTTCACGAACAAGTTTCGCGTTGAATACTCCCCCGTCAACGTCGCTAGTTTGAACATGTTCGAGAACGGCTCACAGATCGGGCCGGATGAACTCGTGGCGAACCGCATCGTCCGCAATACAGGGGTGAACATCAAGCTTCTAGGTGATGGCGAAATTGGAGGAAGCGTCCACCTGACGGTGCATGCCTGTTCCGCCAGCGCACGGGCTAAGATCGAAGCCGCAGGTGGCAGCATTACGCTTATCGGCGGCGCGAGTGCGTCCGAAGACTCGACCTCAGACGAGTAAGCCAAAGCGGCATCTTAAAACCCAATGCAAACTACTGGAGCCCAAACCGGACGCGAATCCGCACTGCCGGCACTCTTCCGAGCTGTCGTCGATTCGTGGCGTGTCCCGGACCTGCGCTTCAGAATTCTCTTCACGCTCGGCATCCTCGTAGCGTTCAGATTCTTGGCGCATGTCCCGAACCCGGGCGTAGACCTCGAACTGCTCGAACGAGCGTTCGAGGCGAATCCGGTATTCGGAGTTTTGGACCTCTTCAGCGGTGGGGCGTTGAGCCAACTCAGTATCGCCGCGATGGGTGTCTATCCATACATCACCGCATCGATCATCCTGCAAGTTTTGACTCCGGTCATCCCGCAACTCCGGGAACTCTCCCGTGAAGGTGGCGAAGCGGGACGCCGCACGCTTAACCGGTATACCCATTACCTGACGGTCCCGTTGGCAATTCTCCAAGGCTGGGCGTTGCTCAACACCCTCGAACTGCAAGGAGCCATCACCGGCATCGGTCTTGGCGGCGGCGAGTGGATGAATACCACAACAATCATCCTCTGCATGACCGCGACGACGATGCTCTTGGTGTGGATGGGCGAAATCGTTACAGAGAAGGGCATCGGCAACGGTATCTCGTTAATCATCTTTGCTGGCATTGTCGCCTCCCTCCCACAGACCGCTGGTCAGATGTGGGCGCTTCGTGACCAGGCGTTCCAAGTCACGATGCTGGTTGCGATGATGCTCATCATCATCTTCGTGGTGGTGATCTTCAATGAGGCTCAACGGCGCGTACCGGTGCAGTACGGACGGAGTGTGTTCCGCGGTGGTCAGATGTACAGGCAAACGGGCGCTTCTTTCATACCGCTACGCGTTAACGCCGCCGGTATGATTCCGCTAATCTTCGCCTTTTCCATCGTCACCCTGCCGGCGACTATCGCCCACCTACCTCGCGGACCCGAGCAGCAGCAGCTTCACAGCTCAGGCTGCAAGTTGGGTCACGCGAACGCTGACATTCACGAGCGACCCTTATTGGGCGTTGATATTTGTATTGACCGTCGGCTTCACCTTTTTCTATGCACTGGTTGTGCACAACCAACAGAACCTCGCCGAAAATCTTCAGCGGAACGGCGGTTTCGTGCCCGGCATTCGACCTGGACAACCGACGCGGGAATACTTGATGCGCATTGTGTTGCGAATCACGTGGGCGGGCGCGATCTTCCTAGGCGTTATCGCTATCACTCCATGGATAGCCAATCTGATCACTAACTTGGAAGCATCGCTGACATTGATCCAGAGCACGAGCATGATCATCATGGTCGGGGTCGCATTAGACACCATGCGCCAGCTCGAAGCGCAACTGATGATGCGCAATTACGAGGGTTTTGTCCGATCGTGATCGTCGCTTCCCGAATTGTTGAAGAGTTGAGCGCGCCGTTCGCTCGGGGGGAGTGAGATGCGAATCGTGTTTCTAGGACCTCCTGGCGCCGGCAAAGGGACGCAGGCCGCCATTCTGACCGAGAAACTCGGTTACGTACACCTTTCGACTGGCGATTTGATCAGAGACGAGATGACTCGTGAAACCGAACTGGGCAAGTTCGCCAAGACCTTTTATGACAAGGGCGATTTGGTTCCCGACGAAACCGTGATCGACATGATCAAAGCCCGCTTGGCCGAAACCGAAAACGTTATCCTAGATGGTTTCCCGCGCACTGTTATCCAAGCTGCATCTTTGGACGACCAACTGGCCACAGCCGGCGTGTCCCTAGACAAGGTCATCTTCTTCAACGTTGATGTCGACGAACTGATTGGCCGGCTCGAAAAACGCCGTGAAATCGAAGGTCGTGTCGACGATGAACCGGAAGCGATTCGGAATCGCATGGGCGTCTACAACCGCGAGACAGCGCCGGTGGTCGATTACTATCGTGACGGCGGTCGAGTGATTGAGGTGGATGCCTTGGGCACGATAAACGATGTACAAGAACGTTTGATGGGTGCTGTTGCTTGAAGCAGAGCATTAAGCTGCGATCGGATCGAACGGACGAAAAGCGAAGGTTCGGTTACAATTGCGAATGAAGTTGCGTTTTGAAGGATAGTCTCACGAGCAACGTGGATACGGCCCGCCGTATCGCACTGAAGAGCACGCGTGAACTGGATGCGATGCGATCGGCAGGCCATGTTGTGGCCGTCGCATTGGATGCGGTTTTCGATGCTTTGGAATCCGGTATCACAACCGCTGAGCTAGACGACATCGCAAGGCGAAAGATTAGCGCCGAGGGAGCGAAACCCGCGTTTCTCGGTCTCTATGGTTTCCCCGCAGTGGCATGCATCTCGCTTAACGCCGAGATTGTCCATGGCATTCCTGGGCAGCGCGTAGTCTCCGATGGTGACTTGGTGAGCGTAGATTGCGGCGCGATAGTAGATGGCTTTTACAGCGATTGCGCGCGTACCGCCGTCGCCGGCGAATCCGCCGACGAGGAAAGTAGGCGATTGGTCGATGTTTGCCGCGAGTCGCTGGTGCGTGGCATCGCGCAATGCATGCCGCACAATCGCATCGGCGACGTTTCGGATGCCGTTGAACAATATGTTCGTGACGCGGGCTTCGAATTGGTACGCGAGTACGTAGGACACGGCGTGGGGCGCGCGTTGCATGAAGCACCGCCGGTGCCGAACTTCGGCACCCCTGGAACGGGTCCGCTATTGATGGAAGGTATGACCATCGCAATCGAGCCGATGATAATGACGGGATCTTGGGAGACCGAGGTCATGGACGATGGATGGACCGTTGTCACTGCAGATCGCTCGTTGTCAGCGCATTTTGAACATACCGTGGCAATAACCGCTGACGGACCGGAAATTTTAACGCTGGCTCGTCAAGTTTGATGACAAATCACCAGTCTGGTGCAAAAATGGCCAAAAAAGAAGCAATAGAAGTACAGGGAACGGTGACGCAAGCGCACCCGAACGCATACTTCCGGGTGAAGCTGCCCAACGATCACGAAGTCCTGGCACACGCATCTGGCAGAATCCGGAAGAACTACATCCGCATCTTGCCGGGAGACAACGTCATGGTGGAGCTGTCTCCCTATGACTTGACGCGCGGCAGGATCACGTACCGCTTCCGTTAGAAATCAAGCGAGGTAACAGCAGCATGAAAGTTAGAGCTTCCGTCAAAGCGAAGCAACCTGGGAGCCGTGTGGTGCGGCGTAAGGGTCGCGTCTACGTAATTAACAAGCAGAATCCGCGCTTCAAGCAGCGGCAAGGCTAAGAATCTAAGGAGATTTGCAATGGCAATCATCGCCGGAGTAAACATATCCGACAATCTACGCGTCGTTATCGGCCTCACCGGGATTTACGGGATAGGCCCGAAACGCGCCACCGATATCACGGCCAACCTCGGCATCGCTTCGGGCACGCGCATGCGTGACCTGAGCGATGAGGATTTGGCTGCGATCAGGAACAGCGTCGAGCGCGCTGGAATCGCGATCGAGGGTGATCTTCGACGTGAAAATCAGATGAACGTCCGACGGTTGGTCGAAATCCAGAGCTACCGTGGCCTGCGGCATCGCCGGGGGTTGCCGGTTCGGGGTCAAAGAACCAAGACAAACGCACGCACGAAACGAGGCCGTCGCCAAACCGTGGCCGGCAGGCGACGTGCGCCATCGCATTAGATATAGCGGCGGTCTCATCGGGACCGTCAACAAAGTAGGAGCGACAATCTAGGCTATGCCGAGAACTCGTCGAAGAAGCAGAGAGCGGAAGTTTGTTCCGCAAGGTCGGGCGTACATCATTGCTACGTTCAATAACACGTTGATCACGTTCACAGATCCGAACGGCAACGTCGTCTCGCAAAGCAGTTCTGGAGCCATGGGTTTCCGGGGCTCACGCAAGAAGACGGCCTTTGCCGCGCAACGCGCTGGGGAAACCGCGGCACGCTCCGCGGTCACCCACGGGATGCGGACGGTGGACGTACTCATCAAAGGTCCGGGCAATGGCCGCGAATCAGCGATTCGCGCTATCGCTGGAGCCGGTATTCGAGTCAGTTCGATCACCGACCAGACACCGATACCGCACAACGGATGTCGGCCACCGAAGAGACGACGAGTCTGATCGGGCGATTTGTCTAGTCATGCGGGCGCGTTGGGCGCGAGTGTCGCGATTCGTCACTCGAACCACGGAATCACGCCAATTCGAGGGATTGGAACGCTCCACCCAATTTAGAATCGGTAAGTTAGCACTTGGCCCGTGTTTGACGGGTCCCGCTTCTGATTCTGAGAACATTGAATTCGGAACGCTACGAGAAAACAGAGACGGTAATGGCAAGAAACACAGATCCAGTTTGCAAGATCTGCAAATCACAAGGCGAGAAGCTCTTCCTAAAGGGCGAACGCTGTTACACGCCCAAGTGTGCAGTCGATCGTTCGCGGGACAGCTCTGGTCGCCGAGGTGCGTCGGGACCCCCAGGCGGACAACGTCGTCGTCGTCGGTTGTCTGATCACGGAATCCAACTTCGGGCGAAACAGAAAGCTCGGCACATCTACGGTATCTACGAAAAGCAGTTCCGCGGAATGTTCGACGAAGCTGCCCGACTCGAAGGTGTCACGGGTGTCAATCTGCTCAAATTACTGGAGCGGCGACTCGACAACGTGGTCTACCGCGCAGGTTTTGCGACCTCGCGACCTCAGGCACGCCAAGCCGTCAATCACGGACACATTCAAGTCAATGGCCGCAAGGTCGACATTGCCTCGTTCATCGTCAAACCTGGCGATGTAGTGTCTTGGCGCGAACCATCAAAGAGTTCGGGCCTCTACAAGGCAGCCAACGACAATGTCGGCCGACGTCGGCAAGCTACAAACTGGATAACGGTCGATTCCGAGAACCTGACGGCAGCGATCGACTCGACTCCAAATGAAGATGACGTCGACAGCACGATCGATACCCGATTGATCACGGAATACTACTCAAGGAGATAGACGAGAAATATGATAGGCGGTATTCGCTCGCCAATCTCAACCACCGTCCAGTTCGCGGACGAGACGGAGGACTTCACGCCTCAACTCGAGGTTGTCGAATCCAACGAGACTTACGGCAAATTCCAAATCGCAGGAATTGAGCGCGGTTGGGGCACGACTCTGGGCAACGGTCTCCGGAGAGTTCTCCTCGGCGCAATGCCAGGGACTGCGATTACCTCGGCTCGCATCGTCGGGCAGCAGCATGAATACGGCTCAGTTCCGAGCATGCGGGAGGGGATTGGTGAATTCCTCATCAACGCCAAAGGCATCCGAATCAGGGCGCGCGCGGAGACGACGCAAAAGGTACTCACGCTTTATGCATCCGGTGAAGGTGAGGTCGTGGCCGGCGACATCAAGCCACATAGCGTCTTCGAGATCGTAAACCCCGAGCACCACTTGGCCACGCTCGACAGCGATGACGGTGAACTCGTCGTCACGTTTGGCGTCGAGAAGGGCGAAGGTTACTTAGCCTTCGACCACGAAGACACTCCAGGTCACGGCGTGCTTCCGGTCGATGCCGTTTTTACACCGGTTTTGAAGGCCACCTATGAAGTTGAAGGCATGTCTGGACGTCTGTCTGGGCGAGACCTTTTGACGATCGAGATCTGGACCGACCGTACGGTTGAACCGATCGACGCTCTGCGAACTGCTGCGGACATTTTCAAGTCCAAGCTCGACATGGTTACCGAGCAGCCGGAATCTGAAGACCAACCGGCATCCGACGCAATGGCCGAGTTGTTGGAGACCGAGATCAAGGATCTGGGAGATCAACTGAGCTCGCGGATCATCAATGCGCTTTCGCGTTACCCCATCCGGACGTTGGGCGAGTTAGTGCGCTTCACGCCAGACACATTGAAACAAGAGGTGCGGAACTTCGGAGAAGTCTCGTTCCGAGAGCTCCGCGACTTCATGGTTGCCAAAGAGCTTTGGCCGCCTGAAGACGAAGAAGATACAGAAGAGCAAATCTAACCTCTGGCGACCGAATCGGGAGAATCTGGACATCATGCGACATCGCCGATCAGGACGAAAATTTGGAAGAGCATCAGCCCCGCGCAAAGCGATGTACCGCATCATGGTCACCGACCTGCTGCGGCACGAAGTGATACGTACGACGCATGCCAAATCCAAGGAAGTCGCGCCGCTGGCAGAAAAAATGGTCACCCACGCCAAACGGGGCGACCTCCATAACCGGCGACAAGCAGCGGCGTTCATCACCGACAAAAAAGTGCTCTCCAAGGCCTTCGATGAATTGGCAGACCGCTATCGCGATCGCAACGGCGGTTACACCCGTGTCATCAAACTCGGTAAGCGCGCAGGCGACGGGGCCGAAATGGCGCTCATCGAACTCGTCGACTGACCTCTGACGCGCGCGTCCCAATCAGCGGCGCGGTTCCGATATGCGATTGGCGCTAATCGTAGAGTACGACGGCACCGATTTTAGCGGTTCGCAATTTCAACTCAACGCCCGCACAGTTCAAGGCGTATTGGAAGACGCAGCAACGACAATCTTCGGCTCCCAAACCGGTCGCATCCGAATGGCAAGCCGAACCGACGCCGGCGTGCATGCGGTTGGGCAAGTCGCGTCTCTCGATGCCGTTACTGAGATGTCTCATGGAGAAATCCGTAACGCAATGAACGGTAACCTGTCAGAAGACGTTTGTGTCAGGCTGGCCCGGAGCGTTCCAGCAGATTTCGATCCTCGGCGCGCGGCAATCGCACGAGAGTACCGATACGTTATCAACGATGGCCCTGTGCCTACACCAACCCGGCGAAGGCACGAGTACCACGTTCATCGCCCTCTCGATGATGTGGCGATGGCAGACTGTGCACAGGCCTTTATCGGTGTGCACGATTTCACATCGTTCGCCGCAGCCTCAATCGACGGTGGTTCCAACGTCCGAGACGTCGAGACCGCAAACATCAGACGGACGGACGACGGAAGGATTGTTTTCGACATCCGCGCCAACGCATTCGTGCGCCAACAGATCAGGCGAATGGTCGCAACGCTTGTCGCCGTAGGTAGCGGTTCCCGAACGAAGGAATGGGTCGCCTCGTTGGTAGCGACGCCGCGCCGTGACGGTGCAACACAAAACGCACCTCCACAGGGATTGACGCTGCAACGGGTTGTATACGAAATCAATTTCGAACGAGAACCGCCGCTCGACTGAGCGTTTTTGGCGGTTGACACGTCGTGCGCCAGTCGTGCCCCAATAGAGATGACTATCGCGCTCGCGCAAATTAGAATCAATCTGTTATGCCCACCAAATTGAAGCACTACAACCCGAGCGCATCGGATCTGAAGAATCGATGGCGTGTATTCGACGCCGAAGGCAGAGTTCTTGGCAGACTCGCCAGCGAGATCGCGATGGTGTTGATGGGTAAACACAAAGCCGACTTCGTACCGCATTTGCCGTCTGGCGATTTCGTGATCGTTGTGAACGCGTCGAAAATCGAAGTGACCGGCAAAAAGTCGGAGCAGAAGATCTACAAGCGCCACAGCCAATATCCGGGTAACCTGAAACAGATCCCCTATTCGCGGATGATGGAACGGACTCCGGAGCGGATTATCGAACTTGCGGTTCGGGGGATGCTCCCGAAGAATAAGCTCGGGCGCAGGATGCTTACACGTCTGAAGGTGTACGAAGGTCCGGAACACCCGCACACGGCGCAAGTGATCGGTTCAGAACGCGCCGAAACACGCGACAGGGATGAAGAAAACGAAGACTGAGGCATTTTCGCGCAGCGTCTGGTCGATTCCCGCAATCCGAACGCGTGACAACTACCGTATGACGAAACGGGCTTACATGCACCCAGCAGTGCAATGCGGACGATTGAACAGTACCTAGACGATCTTCGCTCGCGAGCACAATCCATTCTGAGCGGCGATACGGCCGCGTGAGGAGCGCACAATGACCACCGACAACGAAAATCATTACTACTACGGCACGGGAAGGCGAAAATCCTCCATTGCACGCGTCCGCCTCTACAACCGTGCCGGGGGAGTGACCCTGAACGGTAAGCCGCTTAACGAGGTTATTTCCGTCGATGAATGGCTATCCGACGCTCTCATGCCGCTTAACGTAACCGATCTTGCAGGCAAGGTAACCGTTGTCGCCAAGACGCACGGCGGCGGGGTCCACGGGCAGGCAGTGGCGTTTTCGCACGGTCTGTCGCGCGCGTTAGTTTCATTCGATCCTGAGTTGCGATCCGCATTGAAGACCTACAAGCTTCTGACCCGCGATTCCAGAATGCGAGAGTCGAAGAAGTACGGCCTCAAGCGAGCTCGCAAAGCACCGCAGTACACCAAGCGTTAAATCGACACGCTGTTTGTACCTGTGCGCCGCGTGATTATCCGATGCTAATCACGCGGTGGAATGTCTGAACCTTGCATCGAATCCCTAGGATTTTCGCTATGGAAAATCGCACAATTCTTATTGGGAAGCTATGCATGCCTGTGTCTGCACGCAACTTGTTCACGTCTCTACGGAGCTGGAGCGCAGTGTTGGCAGGTGCGGCAATGGTCGCCGTCATCCTAATCGCGTTAGCGAATCGTGATGGACAGCAACTCGCAGCGCAAAACCCCGGCGTCCCACCGACATTTCCAGCGATCGTGTTCAACGGCTACGTGACTATCAACGGCGAACAACCGGAATACTCCGGGTTCAAAATCACTGCCCGCATCGGGACTAAGTACGAATCCGCGCCGGTCGTCGTCGGCTCATTGCCAAACCGACCGTCTGGATACGCACACCTAGTAGTTGCGCCAGATCCTAAGCTTGACCTCTTCGGGTCGCAAATCGAGTTTTTGTTGGAAGATACCGTGCTGTCCACTTCGTCAGACTGGTACGCGGTAATCAATGAGTTTTCCGGCGAGATCTGCGGTGGTTGCACTTGGACGTTCCCGATCTTGAGAGAACTGGATCTCGACTTTCCTAATCTGCCAGAGCCAACGCCTACGGTTACGCCCACTTGGACACCATCGCCGGAAGTCCTAACCCCAGCATTTTTCTCGGGGCGAGCGCGTACGCCGCGCGGCGTCTTGCCCGACGGATCGGAAATCTACGTCACCGTCGGCGAAGACTTTCGATCGCAAAACATCGAGGTATACGGCGGTGAATATTTCATCCCTGTCAGTGTCACCGACAAGAAATACCGCAATGCCCCCGTGGTCTTTTATCTGGTAGACCGAAACGACCCTTCCGGAGCGCCGAGATTCTTGAAAGCTCTGTCGCCGCCCGGCGTGATGGTTAGTGGTGCCAACTTCGAAAACGTGTCCCTGGTGTTCCCAGACCTGCTGCCGACGCTCACGCCGACTGCTACTCCTACATACACTCCGACAATAACGCCTTCACCAACCGCAACTCATACCCCAACGGTTACACCAACCCCGACGCACACGGCCACGCCGTTGCCGACGGATACCCCAACGGTTACACCAACGCCTACTCCCACCGAGACGCCCATACCGACACTTACGAACACACCCGTGCCTCCTACGCCGACGGTATTCGCATCGCCGACGCCAACCGACGTTCCCACTGCGACGAATACACCTGAGCCCACGAGAACGCCGAGACCAACGGACACTGCTGGCGAAGCGACACAGGCGGTATCAATAATCGCGAGCCCGACGCAGTTCGTTCCCGGTGGCAATGGTGACGCAACACCGTCAACCGGTGGCGACAACGGTTCTGGTAACTGCAACGCGTCGCCGAACCAAAACGGATCGATGGAAGCGACTATGCCATTGGGCATCGTTGCTTTATTGAGCATCTTTGCGTGGCGCATTGCGGTGTCTCGCAAAGACGAATCCATGCTTTTAGAACCTGAAGATGACTACGCCCTGAATCAGGAATCATGAGGTGAACCCAGATGCACGATGACACCGAGCGTAACGCGATCCTTACCGACCGCGCAGCGACCGCGCCTGTGAATATGGGCCTCCAAAAACGACGTGGTGCCAAAAACGTGCGTAAATGGGCGTTCGCGTTCGCGCTTGTCGCGGTCGCTCTGATTGGTGTGGCGACAGCGTTCGTGGACACGCGAAACGATGTCCAAGCCCAGACACAGTTGCCGCCAAACCTAGCGGCTGTCATCTTCAACGGTTGGGTAACGGTTCAAAACTCCCCACTAGGTGTGAGAAGGGATGCAACTCACGGCCAAGATCGGCGACTGGGTTTCTGAACCCGTCGCAGTTGGCCAAGGGACCGCGGATGCTAACGGCTTTGAAGACCTCACCGTGAACCCGCCGAGCGAACTCGTCGGAAACGAGATCAAGTTCGTGCTCAACGGAACGGTTGAAGCCACCACTAACTCTTACTATGCGCTAATCGGCGATGATGGCAACTTCTGCCTAACCTGTGAATTCGGCTTTCCAGATTTTCGCGATATCATCATCGACTTCCCGATGCTGCCGGCCGGTGGCCCGGTAGCTCCGGTCGGACAGCCGGACCCGGTCGACTCAACGGTGACACTATTCTCCGGCCAGGCATTTACATCGGAAGGTCTTGTGCCTGACGGTTACCAAATCTTCGCAGTGGTCGGAACTACTCTGCGGACGAACAACGTTACCGTTTTTGAAGGCACATACAATCTGGCTGTCGACACCACCGACGCAAGCTTGAACGGTGCCCCGATCAAGTTCTACCTGATCGACAAGGGTGACCCGACAGACCCGAACAAGGCGCTTGAGGCTGAGACACCGAGCATTTTCACCTCGGGACAACCTGCAGATATACGTCTATTCTTCCCTTCGATCTCACCGACCGCGACTCCAGAACCGACGGCGACACCAATACCACCCACTCCGACGCCAGTACCTCCAACACCTACACCCGAACCAACGGCTACCCCACCGCCGCCAACTCCGACGCCGGTTCCACCGACTCCGACACCGGTACCGCCAACTGCGACGCCCGAACCGACCGCTACGCCAATCCCGCCGACACCGGTGCCACCCTCGGCGACGCCAATCCCGCCGACACCCGTGCCACCCACGCCGACGCCAATCCCACCGACACCGGTACCACCGACAGCGACGCCAGAACCTACGGCAACTTCCGTGCCGCCGACCGCGACCTCGGTGCCACCAACCGCGACCTCGGTGCCACCGACGGCAACCGCGGTGCCGCCGATTGCAACTCCCGAACCTGCTGAGACTGGCGGCGGCTTCAATGCAACTCTGCCGCTCGCCATCATCCTCGTGCTCGTCATTCTCGGTATCGCAGGGTACTTCGGATACCAGCACAGCCGAAAGGCCGGCGAAGAGCAGGTCTAGTTCGGATCACTAAAGCAAAGCTTATCCAGCCCTAACAAAAAGCGACCGCCAGGTTCATCCCGGCGGTCGCTGTGTTTTTGAGCTGAATGGAACTATGCGCGTGGGCGCAATACAACCAACTGCCTATCGGCCGGCAGGTTGCTCCGAGTTACGCTGACGCGTGGCTGCGGCTCCTGACTCGTCTGATCCCCACCCATCTCGCCGCGCAGCGACTTCAACATCGGGTTAGGTTCTCCGCTCTCAGCATCAAGCCCATTTGCCAAGACAAGCGAAGGGTCCAACGCTCCAATCAGCGACGAAAGCTCCTTGACGTCCATCTCGAGCCGCGCCGCGTCCAACAGCAAGACATCAACATGGCCGATGATCTGAACTGTCCGGGAATCCGGAGATGCTTGGGGCCGACCTAACATATAGGTCGCCAATCCATCCGCATCTATCCGGAACGAAGTTACAGTTTTCTTCCCCTCGTCTTCTACCGGCAAAGCGATACCCCGCAAGCCCAAATCCCCGATCTCATACTCCCCCGGATGCGAAATCACATCCGATCCGCCAAATCGCCCCGACTTCCGGAAACTTGAATTTGCCGGCCGACTTCTCAAAACCGCAGTCACGACCGTGTCATCCGCGGCGGACGAAGGCACGAACGTCGCTTCCTCCTCGTTCGCGGGATCGCAAATGACCGTCCCGGAGGCAGTCTTCACTAGGAATGCTTTTTGTCCGTTAAGAGATATCTCCATGTTTCGTGTCCGGCTCCGATCGTAAGGATGAGGGTGAGTTCCGATATCGAGTGTACTTTTATGTGGAGCAGAGCTCATTTCTCAACATGAACACGCCGTCCGCCACAATCTACTCTATCGGCCACAGCAACCACACTTGGGAACGCTTCGTCGAATTGCTCAGACCACACGAAATCGAATGATCATCGACGTGAGGTACTATCCCCGTTCGCGCTTCGCACCGTGGTCGAATCGCAATCAAATTGAACACAACCTTAGTCACCAGAATATCGACTACCGATGGAAGGGAGACTCGCTAGGCGGAATGCCTCGGGGACCGAAACGTTCAACCAAAGAAGAAGATGGATCGGTTGTCGAGTGGTACCAGGCTCGGTCAACGGAGCCAGACTTTTTAGCCGCTATTTCGGAAATTTCCCATTTAGCTGTAAGGAAACGTCTAGCGGTGATGTGTTCCGAAGGCGAACCAATTCGCTGCCACCGCACAATGCTGTTGGCCCCCGCTTTCGCGAATCTCGGCGTTGATGTCCGGCATATCCACCCCAAAGTCCTAGGAGCCACGTTCCCAACTGCCCTCGACCTCTGATGCCCATCACAATTGGCGTGGCCTTTGGCTCGTGATAGATTCTCTAAGTAGAGGGGCGGTCCATAGTATTGGCGGATCGCGTACTATGTCTCATGTCGGGACTGTTATCCGGATCCGTCGATTTTTTGCCTCGAAACATGCCTCTGCCAGAACGAAGAAGCACCATCCTGACCTTCATCGTGGACGACTACATATCGTCCGCGTTGCCGGTTTCATCAAACGCGGTTGCGAATTCCGCTGGCTTCAACGTCAGCTCTGCCACGATACGAAATGAAGTCGGTGCTCTGGTCGAAGAAGGCTACTTGCTGCGGCCTCACTCATCTTCGGGTGCGGTTCCGGCCGAGATGGGATACCGACACTTCGTCGGCGGTTTGGACCTAACATCGCCTCCGCCTGAAGGCCTAGTCACCATGCTGCAGCGCCAGATCGATGTCGCACCAGACGACATCGACGCGTGGGTGCGAATCGCAGCGTCCGTCATCGCCGACTTGATCGGTGCTCTCGCGTTCATCACAGCACCACGCGTGAAGATGCCAGACGTCAAACAGATTGAACTGTTGCGACTGCAAGACATGTTGGTCATGCTGGTACTCGTGCTCCAGGAAGCACGCGTATACCGCCGCGTGATCGAGTTGGATCAAAACGTCAACGACTCCCAATTGGAGCAAGCCCGCAACAAAGTAACTGCGGAAGTCTCCGGCAAGGGTGTCCGAGAACTGGTTGCGCGAAAAGACCGTGAAGATATCGAAGACGATCTCGAGCGCCAGGTGTGGCACGCCACGATCGACGCGTTGATGCACGCCGATTCCGTCCCTGGCGAGCGTTACATGAGTGGTTTCGGCCACTTCATGTCAGATCCCGAGTCGGCCGCGCAACCGGCAAAAGGCGCATTGGCGATGTCTGCGCTCGAAAACGATGACGCATTCACAGAACTGATTTCCGGTGTGACCTACCGCAATCAACCAATAGTCTCCATCGGAACTGACAACATTCGCCCCGAACTCTGCGACTACAGCGTAATCATGTGCGGCTACGGCGGAGAAGTCGATGCCCGCGGTGTTGTGGGATTGATTTCCCCGATGCGGACCGCGTACGGCACGTCGATACCTACCGTTACGTTCGCGGCCGAAACGTTGGACGCGATGGTAAACCGCGGTTGAGTCGGTCGGAACCAACACTACTCCAGATCTAACTCACGATATCGAAAGAACGGCCGTAACCCCATGAGCGAAAAGCGCGACTACTACGAGGTGCTTGAAATTCCTCGCTCCGCAAACGAGGAAGACATCAAAAAAGCATTTCGTCGGATGGCTTTGCAGTACCACCCGGACCGAAACCGAGAATCCGGCGCGACTGAACGCTTCAAGGAGATCAACGAAGCGTACCAAGTTCTCAGCGATTCGGAGAGCCGCGCTCGTTACGATCGCTTCGGTCACCAAGGCGTCAACGGCAACGCTGGCAACGGCTTCGAAGGTTTCAGCGACTTTGGCGGATTCGGCGACATATTCGAATCGTTCTTCGGTGGTGCCTCGGGGACGCGCGTCCGCCGCGGGCGAGACGTCGAGCTCGCATTGAGCATTTCGTTCCGCGACGCAATATTCGGAACCAGCCGCGAAACCAACGTCATGCGCCGCGAAATCTGTTCCCGATGCAGCGGATCACGCGGTGAACCTGGCAGCCAAAAGACGACGTGCCAAACATGTAACGGCAGCGGAAAGGTACGCCGCGCGCAGCGAACGCTGTTCGGTAACTTTGAGCAGATCGGCGAATGTTCCACTTGCCGCGGCATCGGAACCCGCGTCGACCGCGCATGCATCCAATGCAACGCTACCGGTGTCGCCAACAATCGACGCAAAATCTCCATCGACATCCCCTCGGGAGTCGACGACGGCAACCGCATCGTAATGCGGGGTCACGGTGATGTTGGTGAACTCGGCGGTCAAGCCGGCGACCTTTACGTTCGCGTGCACGTTGAACCTGACCGCGTCTTCACCCGTAGCGGCAATGATGTCCTCATCCGTGCAGAATTAAATGTCGTAACGGCAATGCTCGGTGGAGATATCACCGTCCCCACATTGGAGGACGACAAAACGGTCAGGATCGAACCCGGCGTTCAAACGGGCAACCAGAGGGTGCTCACGGGATTGGGCGTGCCGCGGCTCCGCAACGATGGACCGCGCGGCGACCAAATCATCCAATTCGCCGTGGTAACACCGCGTTCGCTTACCACCGAACAGAAAGACCTCGTCCGAAAACTCGGCGACACAATGCGTGCCACCGACGACCGGGCACTCGATCCCGTCATCGTCGAAAATGATGTTTCGTACGGAGCGCGGTCGGCACACAACGGCAGCGACAATGGCATCTGGAGCTGGCTAAAAGGCACATTCTCTGGACAGTAACTAACGTCCACAAGCGCGACTGACATCCTCACCATCCCCGTTCAATGAGTCGGCAGGACGCCCAAACGGATCGCTGGCTCGAAATCAGCGTCGAGCTACCCTCAGAGTTCGCGGAACCGGTCACCCATCTCTTCTCGCGTTATAGCGACGAGCGTGTGTTCGTTTCGCAATCCGGCGATTGGGATGCAGACGAGGTCGGCCCCGACTACACTCCCACCGACGATGTCACGGTATTTTGCTATCTGAAAATCGACGACACAGTTAAAACCCGCAAGGGCATGATCGAAATCGGTCTGCGACTCATGTCCGAACTCGCCGATGTGTCGCCACATCAAGAGCGAGTCGTAACCGCCGACGAATGGTCGAACCAGACATTCCCAACCATCCGCGTCGGCAACCGGATCGTCATATCCCCGTCGGCCCTCGATCACGAAATGCCGGACGAACCGCCAACCGACGATGTCCACGTCTACCTATCGCCAGGGCTGGCATTTGGCACCGGCAACCATCCCACAACCCGCCTCTGCTTAAACCAGATCGTCGCTGAAGCCGACTCGGGTGATCTGTCCGGCAGCCGAATCCTCGATGTTGGATGTGGGTCCGGAGTCCTATCCATCGTCGCTTTGAAGATGGGCGCCTCCGAAGCTTGGTGTGTTGACATCGACGAAACCGCTGTCCGGGCCGTCCGCGACAATCTCATCATGTCAGGCGTCTCCGAAAACTCCCACGTTGTCGAAGGCTCGATACCTAACCCTGATCTGCCGAATATCAAGTTCGACTATGTATTCGCAAACATCACTTCTCGGGTTCTGATCGACCTCGCCGAACCCATCGTCGGCCATGCCAAATCTGGAGGCGTCATCTTGGTTTCCGGCATCATGAACGAACAGATCGAAACGGTCGAGGAAGCATTTTTGAACGCCGGACCGCTATCTATCACCGACACCAAACAAGAAGGCGATTGGATGATGTTGCGGATGATCAAAACCAGCGACTCGTAGGACGGCTACGAATGCACCGTTTTTTCGTCGACTCTTCTCTTTCGCCCAAGTTAGAAGTCGGCGCACGAATCGATTTACCCGAAGACGTCTCTCATCAGATTCGAAACGTTGTGCGATTGCGGGTCGGCGAAAACTTCAACATATTTTGCGGCGATGGCCGGGAATGGACAGCCAACCTGACACACGCAGCCGATCGACGGCACGTATCTGCCGAACTGCTGGCAGTTACCGATCCAGACGTCGAGATGAGCACCAAAGTGACGATGGTCATGGCGCTCACTCGCACTCAGCGTTTCGAAGTTGCGCTGGCTAAATGTACCGAACTCGGGGCATCTGAATTTCGCCCCATCACCACGGAACGCGTTCTGAAGTCCGACGCACCATCGGGACCAATCGTATGGTCCGGTGGCGCCGCATCGTTGTCGAGGCCGCCGAGCTTTCCGGCCGTGTGCGACTACCCGCGATCACCGAAGCCGCACCGATTTCGACGTTCTAACGGAATTATCCTCCCAAAACACCGCAATCATCTTCCTCTGGGAAGGCGCAAACGAACCGATGCTGTCCGATCTTCTTACCGATCTGCGGAACGATGATCAAACGCCGACAACATGGCCCTCGTTCTAGGACCGGTAGGCGGATTCTCGGAAAACGAAGCGAGACGCGCGTCAGAGCAGGGCGCCCAGCTTGCAAGTCTTGGGTGCCCGAATACTGCGAACCGAAACCGCCGCCATCGCCGCGATGTCCGTTGTGGCTCAAATCCTTCGATAGCACCTTGTTTCGTATCCAATACACCTCGGTTTGATTCGAAACGGCCGTCGAACGGCAACAGGTTGCCCGAATCGTGCTAATATGCATCCGCGTTGCAACACCGGAGTCGCGCGCATTGGTACGGAGCTACCCGCAATGAAATTACGGCCTGGGCCAGCGAAGAAAGCGATCTTGATCGGCACCGACGGTGCCAGCATGGAATTTTGGCGACGCATGGCGGCGTGGGGCCGCGCTCCCAACATGAAGAAGCTCCTAGAAAACGGTGTCTCACGCCCGATGCTAGGTACACATCCCACGCTGACGCCTTGCGGATGGACATCGTTATTCAGCGGCAGTTGGCAGGGGACTCACGGCATCATGTGGTGGGGGTCTCATCGCGAAGGCGAATCGATGAAGACGGCGCAGTGGACGATGGCTGCTCACACTTCTGAATCTGAGCAGATATGGGCGACCGCGGAGCGCGCGGGCAAAACCCCGATCATGATCAAACAGGAGATCACCTGGCCCGCAACCCTCGAACGCGGAATGCAGATCGAAGGCTCCGGTCCCGGCGTCTCCAATTACCACCAGATCGCCGGATACCACCTCTTCGTCTCCGGCAACTGGCGACCGCGACCCGTGGGCGGAACCATCGACCCCGAAGCAACAGATCCGAGCCGCGGCGGTACCGATGCACCGTACGACTACGTCGAGTTGAACCCCGCACAAGGATGGACCAACTCTCCTGCATCCTCGCTAAACCTTTTAGAAGCCACAATCACGCTGACACCGCTCAAACGGGGCCGCACAATCCTCCACCGCGGGCTCGTCGGCACGTCGCAAGATTGGAACGTGCTCGTCTACGCATCAGGCGCTGACGGTTACGACCGAGTCTTGGTCTCCAATTCCAAAGACGCAGCCAATCCGTTCGCCGACATCAGTGCAGGGGAGTGGTCCGAGTGGAAATTGAACTTATTCGAGATCGATGGCGAAGATGCCGAGGGTTACGTCTCTTGCAAGCTCATCACGCTGACGCCGAACGCTGATAACTTCGAGCTATTCTTCCCCCAAATCTGGCCTCGGCGCGGCTACTCCAATCCTGCATCAGTCTCCGACGAGATAGACGAAAAGGTCGGCAATTTCCTCCAGAACCCGGCCCGTGACGCTCTGGGCTTCGTCGACGACCAGACCTATATCGAACTCTGCGATTTCCATCACGGTCGCATCGCCGATATCGCCGAGATGTTAACGCGCGACCACGATTGGGACATCCTAATGGCGGAGACCCACGCCACGGACTACTCCGATCACTTCTTCATGGGCTCCGCCGATCCCATCAGCGGTGCACCACCTGAAGTCGTAGAACGATGCCTCAACGGTTTGAAGGACACCTACGAGTCGACTGACAAAATGATCGGCCGACTAATGGCGCTGGCCGATGAAGACACCGTGATCTGTATCGTCTCCGACCACGGCGCGACACCAAATCGGAGCAATCCCCCCGACATCAAAGACATTCTCGTCGATGCAGGACTGCTCATCTTCACCGACACCCCATCCGACCAAGACGCCGCACGCACCGGTCCCTTCGGTCCCGGCGAAGTTCCCGACCGCGTCTCGTGGGACGTCATGATGCAGAACAAAATTGATGTCGATTTTGAGAAGAGCGTCGCGATCCCGATGAACTCCATCGACATCTTCATCCCCGTCAAAGGCCGCGACCCTGAAGGTCACGTTGAACCCGAAGACTACGACAAGGTGCAACGTAAGATCATCGACACGCTAATGTCCTACACAGACCCGGATACGGGTGAACACCCATTCTCCGTGGTGTTGAGCCGCCAAGATGCCGAGATGCTAAACATCTGGGGCACCTCCGCCGGCGACGTCGTTTACGCCATGCGCCCCGAATTCGACGGCGTGCATGGTAAGCACCTCCCTTCGTCCGTCTTCGGCATCGGTAGCCAACACTCCACATTTGTGCTCGCTGGGGCAGGCGTCCGCCAAGGCGTTGAGCTCGAGCGCAAAGTCCAAGTGGTCGATGTCGCGCCAACGCTGTGCCATCTATTGGGATGGCCAATGCCAAAAAACGTCGAAGGCGGTATCGTCTACGAGGCTCTGGAAGACCCAGACTGGTACCTCAAAGCCAGACATGCACGTAACCGGTTGCAGAAATACACGCACGATAAGTCCGACAGCGAAAACAGACGCTACCCACAAGCAAGAAGAAACAAAGATCGAGGAGCGAAACGTAATGCGAAGAATCTGGCTATCAAGATCAGGCGCGGCGATGGCGATAGCCCTAGTGCTCTCAGCATCGTAGTTACGCTGTGGCAGCGAAACGATCGTCGTTCAGACCGTTGAGGTCGAAGTTGAAAAGGGTCTCAGCGGACGGAGACGTCGTCACAGACGGTCGTCGATCGAAAAGGACGGTCAGGTGGCCAGGCGCAGAGGACCGTGAGTCCAGCCGGTCGTCGATCGCGAAAAGAGGTCCAGCGTCTGCCGGCGCGACGCACCCCTCCAGTGATCCAGACGGTCGTCGTCGAGAAAGAGGATCGCAGGTCGTGCCGTGTTGTGAGACGGTGATCCAGATCTGGATCGTACGTCCGAAAAGAGCGTGTCGCAGTTGAGTTGAGAAACGAGGTGACCGGTTGAGGTCCTCGAGACGGTAGCAGCGTCAAGTCGTCGTGACCGCGACGGCGGAAGCTTACGGCGCGGGCGCAGGTGCCCAAGTCGAAGCCGCCGCAACGGCGGTCGTCGAAGCACCGACCACCCAGACCGGCAAACTCGTTTGGATAGCACCGAACCTAGGCGCGGGCTGGTTCACCAGTTCCCGCTACGACTCCTACACGAGCGACCAGTACGGCGTCGCCGACGCGATCATCTTCGCCGACCCAGCGCAGATTACCGCAGACGGGAGCGTTCTAACGCCATCAGCATCGCCAACGCCTGAAGAGCGCCGCATGAGAGGCACGGTCAATCACCTTCTTCAAGATCCAGCTGAGGCGTCCAATTCCATCACAGGTGCGAGTCTGACCGCCGAACGCGAAGGATCGTCGTGCGTCGTTTAAACGACGCTCGTGAGGCAACACAACGGCCCCACCGCTCGGGATTCGTAGGCGAATACCAAGGCTTGTGGGAATATGTGGATGACAACACCGTCATCATGAATGTCAAAGAAGGCGCAACGCTGAGTCCGGTGTGGCTCCTCGAGACTTCCAATGTGTGGCGGAATACGCTCACAGCAACATCGAAACAGCGCCAGTTGAGAACTAGGGACAGAGGACATGGCGGGCAGAAAGCAGAAGAAGACCCCAGAAAAGCAGAGGAAAGATCGGTCAAGGCCCGTTCGAGATGATCGAAGGTGAGGTCGACAACTACATCGAGTTCAGAGCGGTAACCGAGCACTACAGAAAGGTGCCATCCATCGAAAGTATGCGCATGGTAAACATTCCTGAACAGGCTACACGCGTCGCGGCATTCGTCACGACGAGTCACAATCGCTCCGTCGACGGCCAGTTCGCGCTCGAGGACGGCGGCAAGTCGAAGGTCAAGGACTTTCTTCCAACACTTGGCGAAGGGTCAGCGACGCTCCCACTATACTGGGTGGAAACTTCTGGCAGACCGCTGACCCAGTCGACCCTGCAACCGAATTCCCGCGAGAAGGATGGAAACCCGACGCCGACCACCCGTGGATCAGCGATCCCAACGATCCGGCATCCATGGAACGGGGCAACAAGTTCCGACGTGCCCTTAGCATGGCCGTCGACCGTCAGGCAATCAACGACGCAGTCCAGAGGACGAGGGGCGTCTCTCCTAAACCCGCCCCACTACACGTTTACTGGTTTCACCAGTACTGACCCAATTTGGAAGCCGGAATGGGGCGTCACCGTAAACGATCCGAAGGAGCACGACGCTCACTGATGGCCGAAGCCGGAGTGGAGGAGGGTTTCGATATGCCTGTGTGGCTTGCCCCTGACGATGGTTCGTTGCCATTCGACATTGCTGAGCCCAGGGAGCGCTGCCGAGCTGACGCAGACAAAATCGGAGGCTAGGGAAAGGAAGACGCCTGGACGAGCAGACTAGCAACGGCCTACGGTAGCCCGAGGCACAGCAGACAAAATATCGGACCGCACGAGATGAATCGCGATCTCATGCTATACCACACAAGGAACTGGCTGGTGCGTGTACTTCGATGAACCTAAAGGACGGTTAATGTCGGCTGCCAAAGGCGGTGCCAACAGAGGTTTGGAACTTCCCAATGAGATCTTGGAGAAGACATACTGGGCAAACTTGGTGGAAACCGACGCACAGAAACGCGTCGAGAACAACATCCTCCTCACTGACTACTTGGCCGAAACGTCGTTAGCCATGTCGATTGTCCGACAAAACAACCTCTTCGCGGTTTCCCCCAAGGTGGTCGAATGGATGCCTCACACTGAGACATTCGGCACCTTGAACGGGCTAGAAACCATCGTGTTGGCGGAATAGCGAAGTTGACGTAGCCGGCCAGCCAACTCGCTGGCCGGCTGGCGGTGGCCATCCTACATCGGGTCCCGGTTTTCGGAATCGGGTGGTCACCGCGTGTCATAACCGGAGATAAAAGGCCGCGAAAAACGCGGTAGTAATCAAGCAGCACAGTGTGGCGAATCATCGTGAACAGACTTGCGTTCGGTGCTCTTGTAGTTGTTTTGTGTAGCATCGGTTGGTCATACACGTCATCGTAGTGTTCGGTCTGTCGCGCGCCGCTGGCGATCCTCGCAACATCTACCTCGACGAATACGCCACGCCAGAGGCCTGGGACGCTTGGGGCGAAAGGATGGGCCTTGACAAGCCCCTGTACGTGCAATACGGCGTTTGGTTGTGGGCTACGTTGCAGGGCGATTTTGGCGAATCGCTTTTCTACAACGTTCCCAGTAATCCCAGGTTGGAAGGACGCGTCCACGAACACCGTTGCACGTGCGGATCGGCGTTCGGAGTGGCCAGTCCGCATTGGCAGGTACCGTTAGGTGTGATTTCGGCCGTCAAAACGCGAGCGTCGTCATCGACTACGGGCACGGCGTCGGGTTTCGCGTACTGGGCAATCCGTCCCTGTGTTTTGGATCGGAATCATGATGATCCTGATCTTCTCCGCTCAATTGGGTGGCTACACGCGAGCCGCCAACGAGGGTTGGAACCACTTCATAATGCCTTCGATAGCCTTGGGTTGGCTTCCCGCGGCAGGCCTCATGCGCATAACCCGCGGCGCCATGCTCAACGTACTTGATAGCGAATACATCAAACTCGCCCGAGCCAAAGGGGTATCCGCCGGCAAGATTGTCTGGTTGCACGGGTTCCGTAACGCGATCATACCGCCCCTCACCGTAGCCGCACTGATTTTCGCCGCCTTCTTGACCGGAACGGTGGTCGTCGAGACTGTCTTCGCTTGGCCCGGTGTCGGTTCGCACTTCTCGCGTCCAAACATAAAAACAACGACTTCCCAGTCCTTAGTGCTATCGTCATCCTCTTCTCGTCCTTTTACATCCTTCTAAACCTCGTCGTCGACCTCCTATACGCTCAATTGGACCCTCGGATACGATTCAACTGACGTCTAAAGAATGACCATAGAAGCAACATACGTCCCGTCACCGCTCGACGACACGCTACCGCGCAACCCGGTGCTGCGGACCCTCCGCATCGGTTGGTCATGGACGCGCCGATACCCTGTCATCCCATTCCTGATTCTCGTCCTCATGATCGTATGCGCACTCTTCGCCGAACAACTTTCACCTCACGATCCTCTTCGAGGCAATCTCCGCGCATCGCGGATACCCCCGATTTTCAATGAGGGTGGAACATGGGAATACCCGCTCTGCTCCCATAGGCACCGACCACACGGAGCGCGTGACATCTAAGCCGACTGATCTACGGAGCGCGGTCGCAAACAACTTTCATCTCAACACGCGGTGCGATCCTCGCCGGCGGCATCGGAGGTACCGTCATCGGTCTATTGGCTGGTTACCGCGGCGGGTGGGATGAGACACATGCATGCGAGCGTCGACGTCACCCTCGCGATGCCGTGTCTCCTCGTTAGCCTAGTCCCCGTCGTCATCGTCTTCGGCCAAAGCCTTGAACTCATCATCGTTCTGCTCATCCTCTTCGGATGGGACAACTTCGCCCGCGTCGTCCGCGCCGAAACCCTCACCCTCCGCGAATCCGACTACGTGAGCTACGCCCGCATCCAAGGCGCCTCGCAAGCGCGGGGATCACTCTTCGCCAACATCCTCCCCGGTAGCGTCCGTAGTTGCAGCACCGAGTCTACGTCATACGGCAGCCTCCGCGTCGGCTCTCTCATCCTCACCGAATCCACCCTCAGCTTCCTCGGCGTCGGTGTGCCACCGACACCCACTGCATGGGGCATCATGGCCGCAGACGGTCGTCAACACCTCTCCCGCGCATGGTGGATCAGCACCATGCCCGGAATCGCCATCTTCCTCGTCGTCATGGGATTCAACTTCCTCGGCGACTGGCTCCGAGACTGGTTCGACCCGAGGCTGCGGCAGCTAAGAGTGCAGTAAACGCCAACCTGCCTGTCGTCAAGAGCGAGTCGTCGCACATGCGTCTACTCCCGTTGCAACTCCCGTCGCATCAAATCCCCCATCGCCTCCGTCGGCGGTACCCCCTCGAACATCACCTTGTGCGCCGTCTCCGTTATCGGCATCTCGACACCAAGCTGCCGCGCGATCCGCAACGTCGCCCGAGTCGTCGGCACCCCCTCCGCGGTCTGACCCAAATACTCTAACGCCTCCTCGACACTATCACCCTCCGCCAGTCGCGTGCCCAGCCGATAGTTCCTGCTCAAAGGGCTGTAACAGGTCGTAAGCATGTCGCCCACGCCACTCAGTCCGGCAAATGTAGTTGGTTTTGCGCCGAGAGCTAATCCCAAGAGCGTTATCTCGTGTAACCCGCGCGTCACATAGGCCGCCTTCAAATTCGATCCTAAACCCGACGCGTCGATGAATCCCGCCCCAATCGCAATGATGTTCTTCAACGTTCCACCCAACTCCACCGCCAATGATGTCGTCAGATGCATAGACGCGGAACCGCTCACCGCTGGTCATCATCTGAACCCGCTCAGCTGTTTCGATCGAAACCGACGCCGCGGTCGCCAGCGCTGGTAAACCAATCGCTATCTCCACCGAAAGATTGGGACCGGAGAGGGCGCAGATATTGGTCATCGCTTCCTCGACTGACAGAGAATGGCGAGCCGATATGCATTCAGCAATAATCTCGCTCATCCGCTTGCCACTCTCGATCTCAAGCCCTTTAGTGGCGCTGACGACGATCGAATCTGGAGCAATCTCCGCAACATGAGCTTCGATGACTTCCCGCATCGCAACCGACGGGACGGCAATGATCACGCAGTCGGTATTTGATAGCGCGCGCCTCGGTTCGTGGTGGACCGACATCGAATCAGGGAACATCATTCCTTCTAAATACTGCTTATTTTCGCGGTCCGTATCTAACTGAGCAGCGCGCTCTTCAGTCCGGGCGAGCAACCGCGTCTCGTTCCCTTGCCACCCCAGCAACACGGCCAAAGCAGTACCCCATGAACCAGCACCTATGATCCCGATTGCGGAAATCGGATCAGGCTCCCTGTCCGCTGGAGGTCGATGGCCCCTCCGCGGCGTTTATGTCGAGGCGGTTCTCCGTCCCTTTGCGTAATCGGGCTATGTTTTCTCGATGGCTGAAGAGGATCACTACGACCGTAGGGATTGCAAAGGCCAAGTATTCGATTGGCTCCCTCAACACGAAGCTGTCAGTTATCGGGACATCGACGATCGCGATCACGATCAACGCCAAAATTCCCAACGACGCTCCGATAATCGATCCGAGCGAAACATACCGCGTCAACAGCGCAATCGCCAAACCAATCATCGTGACGACGCCCGCGGTCGGCGACAACACCACCAGCGCAGCCCAACCAGGCGAAATGCCTTTCCCACCTTTGAACCCCGCAAACACTGGCCAAGTGTGCCCCAAAATAACTAAGGTTCCCGCTATCCCATGCAGCAGAAATGATTCCGGCGCGAGGATCAACGACAGGGCAATAACCAAGGCACCTTTCCCCAAATCCAGTGCGAACACTAACGCCGCCGCTTTTTTGCCAGCGGTTCGCAACACGTTGGTGGCACCCATAGAACCGCTGCCATGCTCACGCGGATCGACGCCTCCAAACATCTTGCAGACGATGAGGCCCACCGGTATCGATCCGATGAGATATGCTGCGGGTGCGATTATCACCCACGCCAACCATTCGTTCATTTGGTCTCAAGCAGTGTCACGATACAGCATTCTGATCGGCGATCCCTGGAATCCGAACGCATCTCGCATCCTGTTTTCCAAGTACCGCTTGTATGAGAAATGCAGATATTCAGCGTTTTTGCAGGTTATCACGAATGTCGGCGGACGTATCGCCACTTGCTCGATTGCCGATATGCGAACCCGCCTTCTACCGTGCGCGGGCAAGGGCCGATCACCCAGTGCTGCGTACAGCGTTCTTGACACCTCCGAACCGTCGACGCGTTTGGTGAATTGGGCAAACGTGCGAATAACGGCGTCGGGTATCCGGTTGATACCACGGCCAGTGACCGCGGAGGTCAACAACACCGGGAGCATCCACGATGAACTTGAACCTATCCTTAATCTCGTCCATCGCCTCGTCAAACGACGTTCCTACCTCCCTTGACAAGTCCCACTTATTGACAACGACCACCCCTGCCTTGTGAGCGTCACGAGCATATCCCCCAATGTGAGTGTCTTGGGCGGTCACGAACTCGGCGGCGTCCAAGACGAGGATCGTAACATCCGACCTCTCGATCGCTCCGATGGTGCGTATGGCGCTGTATTTCTCAATACCCTGCTCGGTCTTCCCGCGCCGGCGCAACCCGGCGGTGTCTAGAAACATCATCGGTCTGTTCTGGTACTCGTACACGGCATCCACCGTATCCCTAGTGGTACCCGGCACCGCGCTTACAATCGATCGCTGTTCGTGAGTCAGCGCGTTGAAGATCGCCGACTTTCCAACATTCGGGCGCCCGGCGATTGCAACACGGATGACATCCCCGGGTATCTCATCCTCAACATCCTCATCGACGTGTTCGAACACCTCATCCATCATCTCCGCCACACCGATATCGTGATATGCGCTTATCGGAATCGCCTCTCCCATGCCCAACGACGCAAACGTGTATAACTCCGCCAATCGCGTTGTGTTGTCAGTTTTGTTTGCCGCCAACACATACGGCTTCCCCGATCGCCTCAACAGATCCGCGGCGTCATAATCCGAAGCCGTCACCCCTGCTGCTGAATCCACAAGCATGATCACCGCATCAGCCGTGTAGATCGCCCGTTCCGTCTGGGTTCTGACTTCGTCCCACAGCTGCAACTCAGCCGACGGCACATCCTCGATGCCCGCCGTATCAATCAGCATGAAACGACGGTCTAGCCACTCTGCGTCGACCGAGACCCGGTCTCTAGTCGTCCCTGGCGTGTCGCTGACGATCGCGATCCGACTGCCCGCGATGCGGTTGAACAACGTCGATTTCCCCACATTGGGGCGTCCGACTATGGCTATTACTGGTAGCGACATCTTGATTGCGGTTGCTGCATTGTCCCCTCTCCCACTGGGAAAGGTTCTAATTGTCCCCTCTCCCACTGGGAGAGGGTTAGGGTGAGGGTATCGTTAACTCTGGACGATGTGCTCCATCAACGCCATCTGCGCCCACATCCGGTTTTCGGCCTGTTGATATACCACTGACGACGGGTGCGACAGCATATCCTCAGAAACCTCCTCACCAGGATGGGCCGGCATGTCATGCATGAAACGCGCCTGTGGTTTCGCGAACTCCATCAGCTCCGGATTCACCTGGTAACCGTGGAAATCCTTCAAAACGCTGCGCCGTCTCAGCTTCTTGACCCATGCTCGTCCACACGTCGGTGTAGACGAAATCTGCATGCCTAGTAGCTTCAATCGGGTCACGCATCTGTATAACACTACCCATCTTCGCAACCCCTGACGTGTAGTCTCCGACATCAGAGCGCAAGCCGTACGGCAATTCATAACCGTTCGGCGATGCCACCAAGATGTCCCCGCCCAGTCCGGCGACCGCGTACGAGAGACTCGCCGCAACGTTATTCCCGTCGCCAATGTACGCGACGCGCACATCGTCAAGATACCCGCGTATCTCCAACATCGTCATCACGTCCGCCAACGCCTGACAGGGATGCTCGCCATCAGTCAACGCGTTGATTACGGGATCTCGCTGTTCTCCCCAAACTCGTCGAGCGTAGCCTGCGCGAAGGTGCGAACCACGGCCATATCCGCCATACTCGCCATCACCTTCGCTACGTCAGCAACTGGCTCGCGCTTTCCAAGCCCGACCTCTTCGGGAGAAAAGTACACCGGCTTGGCACCGAGTTTTTCAGCCCCAATCCAGAAAGACAACTTCGTGCGCAGGGACGGCTTCTCGAACATCAGAGCGACCGAGTTCCCCTTCAACGCTCGACTCTCAGCACCACTCTTCAGTTCAATCGCCCGGTACAACAACGGAGAAATCTCCGCCGGTGGTAGGTCGCGAAACTTCAAAAAATGCCTGTTCATGTCGGATTCCTCGGATCAAGCGCGGCGAAAAATCGAAGCGCAACAATACCTAAATTGTGCAACACGTAAGATGCGAACCGAGAACCGGGGATTCTTATCCCCTCTCCCTCGAACCCTAGCCCTTCCCCATCTGGGGGGATTAGTAGGGCGCCGCCCCAAAGGGCATCAAGCCGGCGTGAAATTCGGCAGCGTGTAGTCGTCGCTGATCTTCGTGAACACGACCTTGAGCGCCATACCGATGCCAGATTCTCCGGCTCCGGATCCACGCCCACGATGTTCGCCGCCATCCTCGGCCCCTCCTCCAACTCCACAATCGCCGCAATATACGGCACTTCGCCCATGAAACCAGGGTGCGGCGGGATGTGAACGATGCCGAACGTGTGCAACGTCGCATTCCCCGAAGCCTTCACCCACTCAACCTCGCCGCCCGGCGTCGCCAAACTGAAAGCCCGCGGATAGAACTGAACTCGCCGTCAGCCTTGTCCCGCTGCAACCAAAGCTCTCCATTACGAGCCCCTTCCCAATAGCGGTCAGATTCCGGTTGCGATACCGGTTCGGGTCGTGCAGGCGCATCAGTCGTCATCGTGGGTTCCCTCCGCAGAAAAGGTCGCATTCAGAGGCGTCAAGTCGTGAGTAGATTGTAACCGCGCATCGCCTTTCACGACGTATCAGATTACACCGCCGAACCGAATCCGATGCCAGCAACGAAACCCAATCAACCGCCAGCGATGGCGAAAATCCCGAGTATGACGGCGATAGTACCCAACGTGGCGGCGAGCGCAACAATTACTCCAACGAGTCGCAAAACCTGCGCCAATTTAGATTGATCCATCGCAGTACCTTTCCTTCGCGGTAATCTCCACCGTCATTATCGCGGGGTTTCTGCTTTCGTGGTTAAGGCATCGGCGTCGGGGTGACGAAACGAAAACCACCCACTAAATCGACGCCGCGATATGCAATCGAATAGATAGTCGACGCCGGGTCGTTGAGCGCATCGCTGAACATCGCTCGATTGCAGACAAGAAAGTCCTCATACGTCCCTTCGAATGCGAACACCCACATCGCACTGTCTTCGTCCATGCAGGTTCAACGTTGTACAACCCGAGACACTCTTCAGGCAGAGGTAATTCCTCCATCGACGGCGGTTCAAATTCGTCCGATTCGTGGAATTCCATTCGGAGACCAGCGACGGTTTTCCAGCTATCAGGGTTTAGCGATGCTTCGTACCCTTCCGGGTCCAAGGTCTGGTTGCAAGCTGTCAATTCTTCTTCCGACCCGAGCCAAACGATCGACCAAGCGACATCACCAGCTCTGCGGGGTCAAATCGCCCATTTGCTCGAGGCATTCCCGCGGAAAACGCTCCGAGATCATCTCCGGTCCACGAAGCGAATCGAAAACATCCGGCAACTTCCCAGCTACTAATGAACCGACGGCGACAATCCCGACAATCGCAACCGGTACGCTGACCGTCGCAACCACAACGCCGGTCAATCGACCACCGGCCGAGACCAAATATCCATCCCGATCTACTCTCCCACTACTGTCATTGGATTAAGGTGCAAAATCCTCCCATCCACGATCACACCTGTTACCGTCGCATCCCCGTTATCACTTACCGAAACACGAATCTTCAAATCCCTCGCTCGTTCAATCTCCCGCCCGGTTCCCTCCGGCACGAAATACGTTCCGATCCCAAGATCGATCCTCCCACTTGACTGCATCTGACCGCGAATGAAGACCTCACCGTTCCGCCTCGGCACGCGGTCATCGCCCAAATACCGAGACGCTACCCAGACCTCATCTCGTTTTACCAACACGACAATCACTTCGCCCCAGGCGCGAAATCCGTTTTCCTGTCTTCCGGTATGTCCGCAATCTCATAGTCCAAGAATCGCGTAGTCCCCCTGCATCAGCGACCGCGGATCAACCGGCGCCCCCTGCAAAACAACCTCCGTTCCCGAACTGACGACATACTGCTTAACCGCGGCCAACGTCACCAACCCGATCATCTGCGCGGCAACGACGGCGAAGAAAACAATCGTGAGGTTACGACTCATGGCGCAGATACCCGGTCCGCGCATATCGCGAATCATGCCGCGCCGCAGTCGCTCGAGCCCGAACCCGATCGCCAGCAGCAAAATGCCCGTAACGATGAAAGCCAATCCTTGATCAAGCAGATCGAACCCGAACTCGAAATATCGCGTCATCACAGTAACGCCGAACATAATGAACGCTGTGTTGACCAGATACGCCCGATTGAACCGGAAACCAGCCGTCAACATCGCGATGATGCTGATCAAAATGATCACGTTGACGGGAATCCAGAACCATGACGCGTACGCGATCAACGCGATCCAAGTAGTGATCGCGATGCCGCCCATCACGATAGTGCCCGACGCGATCCATAGCCAACGCACCGAATCGTCTGCACCGGTTTCGCGGCGTTTATACGCCACCGCCAAAGCAAGCGTCGCCACCGTCACCACAACCACGAAAGTGATCCAAAACTCCGGCTCAAAATCTCGCAGCGCGACGCGATCGATGGTTCTCCACGCCGACGCGAAACTCAATGCATACGTGCCGACCGCCGCGGTTCCGATTCCGAACACATCAAAGTAACGGGCGAAGTGTTGATAGGAGCCCCATCTCGCATGTAAGCGTCCCAGAGCGAACAAATACCGCACCAAACAAAACGTATGCTGCCACCACCAACATGAACACCGCGCCCTCATCGGAGTTCGCAAACTCCTCGTCGAACCAAACCTGCATACGGAAGCCAAGCGATACGAGCAACAAGATCAGCGACAGCACCAAAATCGCAACCGAGCGAGTGACATAAGCAATCGGTACCACACCGAGGAACCATGCCGGCATCAGCAATGGATGGTTCACTTCGACGTTGAATGCTTGAGCAATTAAGTGGATCGACGCGCCATAGATGATCGCCCCAAGCAGGATAAGCGCGATTCCAGTGCGTGGCGTTTCAAAACGGTACGCCAGCAACCAACCGGCAACATACGCAGTCGTCGACGCAGCCACCATCAACCCGATCTTCGCTACATCAGATATGGCATCCCAATTCGCCGCCAACACCGCGATGATGCCAAGCCCAACCAAGATCGCCCCGAAGATCACGATCGCAGCTGATAGCCGGTTCAAAGCGAACGGACGCCCGTCATCTTCCACCATCTCGTAACGGCCAGCAAGCGTCTCCGCGACTTCCGACGAAATAATCCCCTCGGTCCGCCAAACTTCGATCTCGCGCCGAATCCGCTCTACGAACTGAGGGTCGCGATCAGTTAAATCCCCATCCGGGGGCACGTCACCTTCTGACATGCACCCATTCTACGGTTGATTTTTCAACGACTGTTACGCCGACCTAAGGCGCCGACAAGATCACCGTCCCCGTCGACGACAGGTAACCACCGGTCCCGTGCGCCACCGCCAAGTCGCAGTCGTCTAACTGCCGCTCGCCAGTCTCTCCGCGCAGCTGCCGAACAGCCTCGACGACGGTGAATATACCGTACATCCCCGGATGCGTGTACGACAAGCCACCACCTGACGTATTCACCGGGAAATCGCCGCCCGGCGCTGTCCGCTGATTAGCCACCAAGTCCGGACCCTCACCCGGCGCACAGAACCCGAGATTCTCCAAGGAAACCAACACCGTGTACGTGAACGAGTCGTAGATCATCATCAAGTCCAGATCCGAGTGCGACACACCCGCCATATCCAGCGCCTGCTTGCCCCGTGTTTCGACCAAACGCCCGCGTCAGATCCGGCATCTGCGAAATCATCGAGTGGTCATGACCCTCAGCCGCTCCAAGGATCTTGACGCCACCCTTCGCACAGGTCCTTCGCCCGCTCCGCCGTCGTCACCACAATCGCCGCGCCAGCATCTGTAACCAAACAGCAGTCCAGCAAATGGAACGGCCACACGATCCAACGTGAATCATGATAATCATCGAACGTCGCCGGACGGTCGTAGAAATACGCCTTATCGTTCATGTTTGCCCACTTCCGCGTCGACACCGCAATGTTCGCCATCGCCTCCCGTGTCCGTTCCTCGCCATATTCGTGCATGTAACGACGTGCAGCCATCGCATACGACACTGGTGGACCAATGATCCCGTATGGACGCTCATACTGGTTCTGCGGCGTACCCAGATTCGGCGCTGCGGGTGAACGATCGCTCCGACCCGACTGACCATGGGTAATCAACGCCACCTCGCAGTACCCGGCTTGAATCGCCGCGATCGCGTGGGCGATGTGAATAACAAACGACGAGCCGCCAACTGAAGTGCTATCCGTAAACCTCGGCTGTATCCCCAGATACTCCGCCACATCCAACGTCGACCATCCCGCCGTCATCAACCCATCAACATCCGAAAGCGATAGCCCCGCATCGTCCAGCGCATTGATAGCCGCCTCCGCATGGTGCGCCAACGGCGATTTGTCCGGCACGTTCCCGATCTGATCAGATTTCGGCTACGCCCACGATTGCGGATTGACCGGAAAGTGCTTTCAGCTTATTGATGTTTGGCATGATTGAAGTCCAACTCGGTTCACGTCGTCGTCATGCGGCATATGCGCAACAAGCATTTTACCCGCGCAATCCCATATGTAAACTTGAACCGCCCACCAAACCTCACCGCCTCGCCCACTATTCCGCCAGAAAGAACCATCAAATGCCCAACGAAAAAGGCGCTCCTCCCCAAGTCCAAGTCCAATCCCTTGACGACTACCTCGAGGTCATGTCCAAAGCCGTCTTCCAGAGCGGAATGTCATGGCAAGTCGTCAACGCCAAATGGCCCGACACCAACGAAGCATTCCACAACTTCGAAATCGGAAGGGTAGCGGCCCTATCCCAAGAAGAGCTAGACGAACTAGCACAAGACAGACGCGTCATCCGAAACCGCCGCAAACTCGCCGCCATCGTCTACAACGCACAGCGCATCATCGAACTCGACGCAGAACACGGCTGCTTCATCGACTACCTCCGCTCCCACGGCGACTTCTACGACGTCGTCAAAGACCTGAAAAAGCAGTTCAAATTCCTCGGCGACACCGGAAGCTACTTCCTCTCTACTACGTCATCGGCGAACCGGTCCCTCCGCACGACGAATGGATGCGAGTCAAAGAAGGCACCGCGCGACGGCGTTAGCGTCTTCAACGTCCCCTTCGCGCAACATAAGGGAACGCGATGTAGGGGCGGGTTTCAAACCCGCCCTCGCTCGCAGGGGGTGCCCGTCGGCTAACCACCAACGCTGGTAAATTACATATCAACCAATCCCTCCTATCTCTAGTCAAAGGATTCCCCGCCATGAAAATCGTAGTCACTCCCATGCCCGGCGGCGTAGCCCCCGGCGAACCCGATGACGCCGTCCTCCGCGACCTCGAAGCAACATTCCCCGAAGTCAACTTCATATTGTGCGAAACCGAGGAAGACAGCTCATCGCCATCGCCGACGCCGATGCATACTGCGGATGGCCAACCCGAAAAGTCTTCCTCGCCGCCAAAAACCTCAAGTGGATACACTGCGCCGGCACGGGAATCGACGGCATCATGAAGATCCCCGAACTCGTCGAATCCGACATCCCCGTAACCAACTCCCGCGACTCCCACGTCAGCCCCATGGCCACACACGTCTTCGCACTCATCACCTCGCTCTCGCCCCAACGCCTGAACGAGATGCTCCCCCAACAAATGGCCCGAGAGTGGCTACCCGAAACCTACAAATGGCGCCAGATCGAACTTGAAGGCGCAACCCTCGGCATCTATGGCTTCGGAAATATCGGACGCCGAGTTGCCAAACGCGCCTCCGGCTTCGACATGAACGTCTACGCCGTCGACAAATTCCCCAGACCATCCGAACATGCCGAAGAGGTATGGGGCTTGGAAAAACTCGACGAACTCATCGCCATGTCCGACTGGTTCGTAGTCGCCTGCCCCTACACCAACGAAACGATGAACTCCATCGACAAACGCCGCATCGACATGATGAAACCAACCGCACACATCATCATCATCTCCCGAGGCGGCATCGTCGACGAACAAGCCATGTGCCAAGCCATCCGAGCCGGCAACCTCGCAGGCGCCGGCCTAGACGCCATGGCACCCGAACCCCCAGAACCCGACTCCCTCCTCTGGGACACCCCCAACGTCATCTTCTCCCCCCACGCCTCAGCCCTAGTCCCCGACATGTACCTCGGCCGCCGAGAAGTCTTCAAAGAAAACCTCCGCCGATACCTAGCCAACCAACCCTTCATCTACGAATGCGACAAAGTCGCGGGTTACTGAGCTTGATGATGGAAGCCCCACTTAGGCGTGATCCGATTCGAGTAGGAAATGTACGATGTAACTCGATGATTAAGCTCAATCACGAGGGTGCCGCTAAGCTGTTAAGAAGGCGATGCCCTGCGAACAGAGGGATTGATGACCGTAACAAATTGATGGAAAACCTGCCAACCGCATTGGCCAATCCGGATGAAATTGAAGATGAGGCTGATGCCGATGAAACTCAGCCGCACGCATCGTACGAAATCACCAGTTTCGGAATCGATCTAGACGTTGCTGGTCTGGTCTCGCCGCCTGAATCGGGTGACATCTTCATACCCGAATGGCAGCGGAATTCGTTTGGACTCCCGGAGACGCTTCAAGTTTTTTGAATCCTTGCTCCTCGGCTTCCAGTTCAGGAATTTTCTTGGGCACTGAAACTGAAACTCAAAAGCTATATGTCGTGGACGGTCAACAACGTCTGAGTTCGTTGCGGGGATTCTACGAAGGCGAATTACCCTCGGGAAATCGGATGCGAAAGTTCACACGCTTCGCAACGTGGATAAGCGATTCGCTGGCGTTAACTACGATGATCTTGATGAGACATATCGCCGAAAGCTTGACTTTTCGATTATCCACGGAACCGTCCGTCAGGCAGGATAGGCCGGCGCAAGATGATACGAGCATGTATCAAATCTTCGAGCGTATCAACGCGGGGGCAGGAAAGTCTATCCGCAAGAGATCCGAAGCGCAATTTACCACGGCGACCTCATTGACACAATCAAGGAGCTGAACGAAAACAGAGCTTGGCGCAACATCGTTGGGAGTCCAAGTCGTAGGCTCAAAGATCAGAATGATCCTCAGGTTCATGGCGATGTATTACAACGGAAGCGGATATTCGACGTCCCATGACAGAATTTTGAACAATTCGCTCAATCCCATAGAAATCCGGGTGGGGGATTGGATACGAGAAACGTCTGAACTATTTCAGGCATACGGTTGAGTGTTTCTCTCAAGCGAAGGGCAAACGGGCTTTTAGAGGTGTTCGTGGCGTGTCGTTAACGCAGCGATTTTTCGACTCTATGTCGGTGTGGGTTGGCGCGCGTTCGGGCGCACGCACCGCTCCTGACATCGAAGCGATCCAAAGCCGCTCATGATCGTCTATTCGGGATAGAAGACTATCTAATGCTGTTACGTCGGGCACATCGGATGAGCGCTCTGTGGCAACTAGATTGAAGATAGCCTGAGGCGGTGTTTGCGGAATGCGTAATCAGGATTTGGATCTGGAACTACATCGATTGCGAACCCTGATAGATGAAAACGTCGAATGCAACGAATGATCCCAGCCTAGTATCCCATTGGGGTCGTTACCTTTGCGTGATGGTTGCGGGATTCCTGGAGCAGGGCATCCAAGTGGTGTACCAAGATTTCGCCAAAAAATCTGAGAGTCCACGCGTTGGCAGATACGTCTCCAGGCGCCTTAGTCGCATCAGCACCCCCATGCGGAAGAATCCTCCAACCGCAGGGCATTTTGATGACCAGTGGAGATTGGAATTACAAGAGTTCTTCTCGAAGGATTCTCGCCCCAAGGAGGCCATCATTCGATCATGAGCCTCAGGAACAACATTGCTCACGGAGCAAGGTCTCAATCGCACCAACTATCGTGCGGAATTACTTGGAACAAAGTGTTGAAGTCTTGGAGTTCATCGAAAACAATGTCACAGTTTGAAACGATGCTCCAATCCGAGTTCGCCAACTTGTATTTCATACAACTGAGGCAGGGACCTAGCACTCTTACCGGTCGCGATGTACGCTTTTTCATGGACACAAGGCGTTTGCCCGGTCAATCGAATCTGCTCGCGCCGTAGCCTCTTTAGGTTTAAACACGCTAAGTTCTCCGAGCGAGACACCGCGTCGACTGTAAGCGTATCGCTGTGGCTATGCTTCTGCGATGGCATTGGCTTCGTTACACAACTGATGGTCCTGTTACACGTCTCTCCGACTGTTCCATCCAGCCCGCTCTTTTTCTGTCTCCCTGTCGACGAATCGGCTATTGGGTTAGCATGAAATCGGGAGGCGGCAACGTTGGCTGGGGCACGCTTATCGCATCGCTGCCAACTTGGCCGAATTCGCAATGCCCGAGATGCGGTTGCTTCAGCTACTGCTCGCCGAGGCTCGTCAGCCAATGCGGTCGCAGCGCCGCTTTGAGCGGTGGCGATCGCGACCGTCGCGGTTAGCCACAGTCTCCCTGACAGGGTTGGGTCGGGCGTTGGAGCCGTTAAAGCACACCAAGTGGCAAGGCGTGACGCGCCTTGCACGGCGGATGTTGAGGTTGGCACTGGATGCGTCGGGCTCGGAAAAGCACCCAAGAATTCTTCAATACTCATTTTCTCCTTGGAGAAGCGTTGCACGCAATCCCGCGGCCAACACTGCCGTAACAATCAGCTACAGCGATATTTGAACATCTCGGCGAGTATATCAATCCGCGATCAACCCCGTGTTTTTGCCCGCATTTCGTTGTCACACTTTGGTGGAATGACAAAATGCACTCGCATTTCCTCACCGCAACGGCGAATAATCCGTCGGTGCCAGCAGCCGGTTCTCGATATTCTTCACGATGATCCCATCCTCGTGCGACTTCGCGAAAACCTCCTGCCACTCCGGATCCGCTCGGAAACTCGCCCAGGCCTCCGCCCGCTGACCGGCATCCTCAAACGCCACCAAGTAGACCAGCTCATTGCTGTTAGGCCCGACGTCATGCGTCCAATAGCCGACATTCTTGATCCCGTGCTTCTCGAACAACTCCATCGTGTGGTTCGCAAAACGAGAATTCAGGTTCGGCAGCTTCCCGGCAAAGCACTCGTAGATGCGTAGTTCATAGATCATTCCGTTGTCATCCTTGGCTCCGACGTAGGTGAGCTCAATCACTAGGGTAATCGTATCGCGGACTCGGCAACCGAAACGCAGCACGTAATCGCACACCGTTGTCTACAAACGCATGTGCTCGCGCTGCTCACACACCACAAATCCCGATCCAAACAAGTTCAACCCTGACGCGAGTAATGCGACTCCTGGTCCCCGAGAACTTCCCGTCGCCACATCGTCCACATAACGCCGCACCGCATCCGTGATCGCTTCCGCGAAATCACCGTAGTGACCCGCATGACGCGGCCGGAAAGTTGGGTCCAACCCCAACATGTCGTGTAGCACCTGTATCTGACCGTCGCAGTGCGGACCCGCGCCAATCCCGATCGTCGGAATCGTCAACCGCTCCGTAATCTCCTTCGACAACTCTGACGGCATCAACTCCAACACCACTGAATACGCTCCCGCTCGCTCCACTGCCAACGCATCCTCAATCACCCGCTCCGCATTCTCGCCACGCCCCTGCACCCGATACCCTCCGAAGGAATGGATCGACTGCGGCGTAAAACCCACATGCCCCATCACCGGCATCCCCGCGTCCACGAGCGCGCTTATCGTCTTCTCCATCGACATCCCACCCTCCAGCTTTACCGACTGTGCACCACCTTCCTTCATCAACCGCGCTGCGTTCTTGATCGCTGTCGGAACATCTGATTGATAGCTCCCGAACGGCATATCCGCAACCACAAACGCCCGCTTCGCTCCCCGAGTAACCGCCGCAGTCGCACGCACCATATCCTCAACCGTCACCGGCACCGTCGAGTCATATCCCAAAACCACATTCCCCAAAACTGTCCCCAACCAAGATCGCCGGAATTCCAGCGGCGTCGACCAACATCCCCTGGTTGGCGTCATACGCCGTAACCATCGCGATCAACTCACCCCGCGCCTTCATCTGCTGAAAACGCCGGACCGTCACACGCTGCCTAGGAGCACTCATACCCCAATTATCCACCCAACACCAAAAACTCGCCCTAATTCCCAGCGGATGGCCGAATCACCATCACCACAACACTCTCTCCCACAACAGCGCAGTCCATTCTCCCCCCACGAAAGAGACGGATGGCGGGCGGCCCTCCCCTTCGCTTTGCGAAGGGGACGCGTGCAAGCGAAGCGCAACACGCAGGGGATGCACGAAAATCACCGCAACACCCCTCTCCCACACACACATCCCCAAATCCTCACAAATCCCAATCCTTCAATCCTAGTTCACACGTCCATGCCAACAAATCCGCCAATCCGCTTGACACCCCACAACAATGATATAGTACACAACAGTAACCAAGCGCCAAAAACCAAGACCCATCAGGCCCACTGGCCGAGGCGCCCAGAACATCGCCGTGTCGATACGGGAAGCGTGCACACTTTTCTTATTGATACCGCTACTGACAACTTACAAACACCGGTCCGCGGGTGGGAGGCACCCAGGCCTATTAAGCCGACGCCGATGGCGCAAGCCAGAGGCGGAAGCCGACGGAGGCCTGTCGCAGCACCTACTGAAGCTTAGGAAGTTCGGGCGAAACGCGGATCACAAAATTCGGTATAGAGACCGTTGTAGCCTAAGGGCTCGGATGCGGAGCATGGCTGGCTCCGACTAGCAAGCCAGACGGGGTTCCCCGTTCAAGGTCCGAGCGAACGCCGTTCTCTGACGCCGGCAAAGCGATTCCAGCGGAGCGAGCTGGAGTGACCTACAGGATTAGCGAGAAGGAACGAATCAGCAACGCCGGGCGGCACGACTTTCAGTCTGTCGACCGGAGAGCCGACGGTCTGGCGACGTCGGAGGTCCTGGAAATCTATCTACCATTCACCCACAATCGCACGCTCCCCAAAAGACGCGGCGATGATTCGAAAAGACCTGGAAATCCCCTCTCCCTCTGGGAGAGGGTAGGGTGAGGGACCGCGGACCGCCGGTCCCTCACCTCATACACAATGCGGGCGTCAAACCCGACTCGATCAACAAAATATTCGCCAACTCAACGGCAGACCTTTTCAACGCGCCCACAAACAACACACAATCTCAATAATCCTCCGCATCTATACTCCGTTCCATCATCCCCAGTCCTGAAAGGCGCCACAAGATATGACCGACCTCTCCAAAATCAAGGCCTTGACATGGGACGTCGGAGGAACCGTCTTCGATTGGCGAGGCACCATCCAAGATGAAGTCCGTCGCATCGCAACCGAACAGGAAGCCGATGTCGACTTCAAGCAGTTCGCAACCGACTGGCGCGTATGGTCCTTCGACATGCTCGGCCGAGTCAAAACCGCAGCGAACTTCCGTGGACAAATCTCGACTACATACACCGCCAAGTCCTCGACGATGTCCTCCAAAAACATTCAACGCTCACCCTTTCAACATCAGAGCGAGACGACCTTGCCGACATCTGGCATCGCCTCCGAGCCTGGCCCGGCGCTGCCGACGCAATTCACCGGCTCAGAACCCGGTACACCATGATCGTCCTAACCGTCCTCAGCTACGCCATCGCCGTCGACTGCTCGAAACACAACGGCATCAACTGGGACGGCATCCTCTCCTGCGAATTCCTCGGAGCCTACAAAGGCCCGCCCAACGCATACAACACAGCCATCCGACTCCTACCGCCTACAACCCTCCGAAACAATGATGGTCGCCGCCCATATGAACGACCTCAAAAACTCAACAGGCGCCGGAATGTCCACCGCATACGTCCACCGAGAAGGCGAATCCAACGTCACACCCGGCTATTCCGACATAGCAACCGCCACCGCCGATCCCAAAATCGACATCGTCGCGTCAGACTTCCCAGACCTAGCCACAAAACTCCTCGCATGAACCGATCCACACAACATGGGAAGCAAAAGAGTTAACTCGGGAGTGCTGTTTTCCCTCTCCCGCTCGGCGGGAGAGGGTTAGGGTGAGGGCACAACCATTAAACTTCACCTAGATCAAAACCCTTTCTAGCTGAGACGAACAAATGAAGATCGCAACCCGAGACACCCTCTACTACGAACACTCAGCCGCCAACCCCGTAACCCTCCGCGTTGAACCCGGCGAATGGTTCGAGGTCCAGACTCAAATGAACCGCGGCCCAACGCCGAACTCGTCCCAGACGACATCCGAGACCTCTACAACACCTATCGTTCCGACTCCCAACCCACCGACCGAGGCAACGCATCGTTTCCGGCTGCACCTACGTTGAAGGTGCCAAACCCGGACAAATGCTCACCGTCCACATCGGCGAAATCAAAACCCACCCCGTCGGCTGGACCCGATATGGCGGATCCACCGGCGCAATGCCCGGATACCTCGGACCCTCCAACATCGGCCCACAGTTCCGCATCTGCCGCATCGACGTCGAAAATCAATGGATTATCTGGAACGACAAACTCACATTCCCCGTCGAACCCATGCTCGGAGTGGTCGGCGTAGCACCCGAACGCGAGTCCCGAACCAACAGCTGGGCAGGGCAGTGGGGCGGAAACTTCGACATCCAAGAAGTCACCACCGGAGCAAAACTTCACCTACCCGTCTATCACCCCGGCGCACTCCTCCACGTCGGCGACATGCACGCCCGACAAGGCGACGGAGAAATCTGCGGTGGAGGCGGCATTGAGACCGGCGGCTCCGCCATGATGAAGGTCGAACTCTCCCCCATGCCCGAAAACATGTGGTGGCCCCGCATCGAAAACGACACCCACATCATGACCACCGGCATTGAGAAACCCGCGGAAGACGCGTTCCGCATCGCCCTCTCCGAGATGATCGTCTGGCTCGAAGCCGACTACGGCATGACCCAAGGCGAGGCCTTCATCTTCCTCGCCCAGTGTCTGGAAGCCCGGGTGACCCAGTTCGTGAACCCCCACCTACTCCTACGTCTGCAAAGTAAACAAGAAGTACTTGGTCTGATACCTCAAGCCATACGAAGACTCCATTGCACTGGAGAATCAGATGCCGATAATCGATTACGCTGACGGCAACACTCAGGAATACCGCGCCGCAATGCTTGACGACATCCGCCGCAAAAAAGCCGCGGATCCAGACTTCACCGTCGTCGACATCGGAGGTCGCCACAACCCTTGGGCAGACGACGTAGTCGATGTATACGTCGATTATTTCGAGTTCGAAACCGATAAACGACTATACGTCGGTGATGTCAACGGCGAGGATATCTGGCGTCAGCTCGAAGCCGACGGCCCCGTTCGACTTCGTCATCATCTCCCACGTCCTCGAAGACGTCCGCGACCCCATCACCGGTCTCTAACTGGCTACCACGCGTCGCCAAAGCCGGATTCCTAGGACTGCCCGTCAAACACCGCGAAGTCGCCAACTCCAAGTCCCGGTTACTGGCTCGGACAATCACACCACTACTGGATCTTCGGCGTCAAAAACGACGACAACGGCGATCCAATCCTAATCACCGTGCCCAAGTGGCACTGCCTCAACTACTTCAACACCAACACCCCATACACCGAACCACTAGGCGAAGAAGACTCAAACCTCGGCCCCCGAACCCTCTCGTGGTTCGAGCCCGAAAAAGCCGGATACGACCGAGAACTAGGCGTCATCTGGGAAGGGAGCCTTCCCTTTTGGGTCCCCGATTACACGCTGATGGTTCCCGAGCAAATCGAACTCCTAAGAACGGTCTTCTCCGATGGCGTCTAACTTCAATTTCCACGGATTGGCCATGGATGCCAACGACGTTAAATCGCTGGCCGAGTTCTGGTGCGCCGTCGCGGGCTACAAAATCGCCGAATCACACTATCCATATGTCGCAGTTGTGACTTCAGAACATTCGAGCGCCCCGCGCATCATCATCATCCAAGTCCCGGAAACCAAGACCGCCAAGAATCGTCTGCATCTGGAGTTCAAAACCGACGACCTCAAATCGGAAGCAGAGCGCATCGTAGCCTTAGGCGCGACACTAGTGGCGGAACGCGAATTCGGCGACACCCAATGGATCGTCATGCAAGATCCCGAAGGAAATGAATTCTGCCTTGTCAACCCGCATAACGATGAGTAGCCACCAATGCCAAAATCACAACCCAACCGAACCAAATCCCGCCAACTCATGGAACGCGCCCGACGCGTAGTCGCCCGGTGGCATCTCCTCCCAGATAAGGCTCAACGAACCCGGCGGCGAACCCCTCTTCTTCGACCGTGCCCAAGGCGCTCTAATGTGGGACGCCGACGGTAACGAGTACATCGACTACATCCAAGGCATGGGTCCCAACCTCTTCGGCCACGCCCCCGAGTTCGTCTCACAGCAAGTCGCAGAAGACATGCGAAACGGTTACATCTTCGCCGCCCAATTCGAGCGCGAACTTGAAGTCGCAGAGATGGCCGCTGCCGCCATTCCCATCGAAGACTGCACCGTCCGCTTCGCCGGCTCCGGTACCGAGATCGTCCAACTCGTCCTCCGTCTCGCACGGGGCTGGACCGGCAAATCGAAGTTCATCAGATTCGAAGGCCACTACCACGGCTGGATGGACAGCGTGAACCACTCGGTTCATCCTCCCATTGATGAGGCTGGGGACGTCGACGCGCCAACGCCAGTCGGCGAATCAGCAGGCATGGACCCCGGTGCTGCCGCCCAAGCAATACCGTGCCAGTGGAACGACATCGATCGCTTGGAAGACGCGTTTGAACGGCATCGAGGCGAAGTAGCCGCGGTCATCATGGAACCGATCAACGCCAACACCAACTGCATCATGCCCGAGCCGGGTTACCTCGAAGCAGCCAAAGAACTTGCACATGAACACGGTGCCTTGATCATCTTCGACGAAGTGATTACCGGCTTCCGCGTCGCCTATGGCGGCGCCCAAGAGTTCCTCGGAATCACGCCCGATCTCGCCACCTACGCGAAATCGATCGCCGCCGGTTTCCCAATCGCCATGCTCGCCGGACGCCGAGACATCATGGATATGCTCGGTAGCGGAGAGGTTTACCATGGCGGAAGCTTCAACTCCAACGTCATGTCGATCGCCGCCGCCCACGCAACCCTCACGCATATCAAATTGCAAGGCGATACGTTCTACGCTGACCTGAATCGTCGAGGCGAGCGATTGATCGATGGCCTTCACCAAGTCGGAATGGAGACCGAAACCGAAATCCATGTCCAAGTTCTAGGCAGCGTTTTCGGGATCTCGTTCAATCGCAGCGGAGACGTTATCCGCAACTATCGCGACCATGCCACAAAGTGCGATGATGTTCGCTACGCGCAGTTCGCGTCCGAGATGATGAGGGAAGGAGTCCGTCTTTCCTCAAATGGTCGCGTGCATATGTCATCTGCCCACACCGAAGAACAGATCGAGACGACCATCGAGGCGGCGCGGCGAGCACTATCGCGGATGTGAACCACCCGCCAAGATTGAGGGTGATTCGTCACAGTCGATATTGTTTCGACTCCGCTCGCTCTGCCAAAATCAACATCACGCATCACAAAGGATGACGTGGTGGACGAGGATCTACGTGGTGCCTGATGAACGCAGGAATTTGGAGAAGGACGCTTCATGCAAGCAGAGTTTCCGTGGGGCTCGAGTTCCAACGTGTTGGCGCGATCGAGTTCTGTTAAAGAGGCTCCAAATCGGCGGACGCGCTCTGATTGTTTCGCCGCCGCACTGTGCGAAAACTACGATGAGCCCACAGAAGTCGAGGCGATGTGCGACGACATCAGAGCACAACTCGACGGCGAAATTCCCGATCTTGCTCTAGTATTCGCATCGGCTCCGAAGTATCAGAATTTCGAGAGCATTCTGCCCGAACTTCACCGGCAACTCGGTCCCGAAGTATTGATCGGTTGCTCTGGATCTGGCGTCATCGGCGCTGGACGAGAACTCGAACAGGGACCCGGACTCTCCGTCCTCGCCGCAACCTGCGACACGTCCGCGATTCATCCGTTCGCGTTCAGCGACAAGCAAGCCAGCGGCAAAGAAGCCACGCCAGAATCTCTTGCCGACGCCATCGGCGCCGATCCCGCTGAGTTCGAAGACGGTTTGATGCTCGTATTCATCGACCCATTGACCGTTTCCACCGAATACGCCTTATCCATGCTCGACTCGGTTTACCCCACCGTGATGAAGTTTGGTGCCCTTGTCAGCGGCGGTCACGAATACGGCGAAAACCGTATGTTCTTCGGCGATGAACTTCGTCACCACGGCGCGGTCGGGCTGCTTTTAAAGCGCAACTTTGATGCCGAAACGATCATCTCAGGCAGTGAAGAACCGGTCGGACCGAGCATGGTGATCACAAAAGCCAGCCGCAACGAAATCCACCGATTGGACGATCGTTCCCCATTGTCGGTATTGGAAGAGGTATTCCTGAACGCCGACCCGTTGAGTCAGGTTCGGATGAAACGCACGCTCGTCGTTGGTCTCGAATCCAGTGGCGTATTGATGGATCCCGACTACGTCATGCGCAACATCATGGACATGGACCAAGAGACAGGGTCCATGATGATCGGCGACCTAGTCGAAGAGGGCCAAGCACTCCGCTTTCACGTCCGAGACGGCGAACTTGCATCACAACGCCTAACTCAAAACTTGGGCAAATATGCGTCACACCTTCGAGACCGCGGCGAGAATGTCGACGCAATGATTTGCTTCAACTCGGTGGCTCGCGGCTATCGAATGTTCGAAGAAGACAATCACGACGCCAAGATCATCGCGGAAAACCTCGGTGACATCCCAATCGTCGGATTCTTCTCGAACGGCGAGATCGCATCAAAGCGCGGCGGATTTTCAGTGCTGGGCGAAGAAGAATTTACCACCAGGGTAATGGGTTACTCAGACACCTTGGTGATGCTGCGTGACTTATCTCGGCAACACGCACGCGGCATGGCTGAAAGCGGAGCGTCATCCTCCGCGAATGGTTAGCAGGTGTACCGACACCGCTTCACAACTTGCGGAGCGGCTGCAAGACGTTAATCACTGACGACACCCGCCGCAACGAACTATTCAACGTCTTCGGGTCAGTGTTCGATGAGCAACTCGTCGTCGCACTGATGACGTAGTTGGCAAACGTTCCTAAGAGCGCAAGATTGACATCGCGCCGAAACGCCGAGAACGCGTAGTTGGACCGGATGTCCGGTCGCAACGCAGCGTGATAGCCGACGATCAAATCGTCGAAGTGACGGCGAGCATCGTCAGGCGACATAGTCGTCGACAGGAATTTTGGCCACGTCGCTGCTCGCTCCGCTGTACACCGCGTCTTGCCAGTCGATCAACACCGGCATTTGCCCATCGTCCGTTCTGCGCAACATCATGTTGGCTGTATGTAGATCGCCATGTGTCAGTGTTCGAGGCCGTTCATCCAGTTCTTGCAGAACCTCCAAGATGTTGTTGGTAAGAAAATCAGCGACTTCGTTCACGGTTCGGGTTTCACAAGGATGTAAGGCTTCTGAGGCAACCAAGATCGCCCAGTTCGGCGCAAATTGATCGACGTCTTCGTCGAAGATGTCGGCACGGTATCCGTCGCGCATCCACCATTTGGCGCAAAGCGAATCGTCGCCCCAATATCGGGAATGGACTTGAGCAAGTTCGAAGAGCGCGTCGCGGAGCGTCCCAGGCAAAAACTCTCGGCGTTTGGGCAGATCACCCAAGTCTTCGATTAACAACGCGGCTATCTTGGTATCGGGATCGTAATGGGCGGCGAGAATGCGCGGTTGAAACCCGCCCTGCATATCCCTTAGTAGGTTGTAGCCCTCGTAATCACGGGCGTAGGTTCCGCTAGCAGCCTCCTGCGCGCGATCCGCCGATAGTAATGCCGGAATCTTGACGATTGCATCAGTCAAACCCATGGCGTGACCCGAAATCCCAATTCGGAAGACCTGAGACTTCTGCGGATTCCCTCCCTCGAGCAACCAGTATCGATCCACAGTCGCACCAGTGAAGCCCGCCATCGCCAACAACTCTTCACCGATCGACAGTCGGGTCACCGCGTTCGGCGCCGCTGCTCGATGAGCGACGTGAGATTTGTTCGCGGCATGCGCATTTCGTGGGTCAACGAACACCGCCGTCACTTGCCATGGTGGCTGTATCATCACACGCAGGAAAAACAGTTGGAGGTAAGCAATCGATGGCAAGATTCGAAGGCAAAGCGGCGTTGATTACGGGTGGGGCGACTAGGCATCGGAGGGGCTACCGCGCGGCGACTGGCTGCAGAGGCGCAAGCGTGCTGATCGCCGACATCGACGACGATGCCGCCGCGGCTAACGTGGCACGCATCACCGATGCCGGTGGAATTGCCGTCGCTGCACACATCGACGTGTCTTCTTCCGAAGATTGTCGGCGCATGGTCGACGAAACCGTAGATGCTTTCGGTCGCTTGGACATCTTGGTACAAAACGCGTTCAGTGTAATATCCGGCGAGTCTCGCATCCACGGGGACGCGATCAGCGTCGAAGAAGCGGATTGGGACTACGGCATCGACGTACTTGTCAAGGCACTTTACCTCGGAGCAAAACACGCCGTCCCACGGATGCGCGCCGTTGGTGGTGGTGCAATCATCAACCTCGCGTCCGTGCACTCCCTTCTCCAAGAAACGGACATGTTGGTTTACGAAACCGGCAAGGCTGCGGTGGTTGGCTTGACGCGTCAACTGGCAGTTCAGTACGGACCGGATGGCATCCGCGCCAACGCGATCGGCCCTGGTCACATAGTCGGAGAAGGGCTCGCAGAGATGTGGGCGCAAAATCCGACCGGTCACGCGTTTTTTGCCGATCAGTACCCGCTTCGGCGAACCGGCAAACCCGAAGAGATTGCCGCCGGCATTGCGTTCCTATGTTCCGACGATGCGTCGTTCATCACCGGTCACACGCTGATGATCGACGATTGACGGTCCAGCTGCAAGAGAAGTTCGGACTTCGGCAAGCCCGCTACGCGTTGGAACATCCTGATGCCAATTTCACCTTCGGTGCACTTGGCTAACCAGCGACCATCACACCCCTATGCGCGATCTCGCTGATCGCCTTCCGATCGTTAGGAGATTCGCGTTCCTTCAAGTCCTCCGGCAACGCGCCTCGCGGGCCAATCCTCCCGGCGACGAAACCGCACATTACCGTGTAATACTCGGATGACACGCCGAGCTTTTCATGGGCCGCGTCATTGTCGATACCAGCCATACCGTGCGTATAGACGCCCAGCGAACGGGCTTGAAGCGCCAACGCCATCCAAGCCGCGCCAGTGTCGAACTGCGAGGTGCGAGGTTCGCGACCCTCCGGAGTCTTCGTATTGGCGAAAATGAATCCGATTAATGGAGCCTTAGTCGCCCAAACTTGGTTACCGGGCATCAGTATCGAGTCGAAAACTTCGCGGTCGGGTCCATCGGTCTCGTAAACGAACAACCAAGGTTGCCGATTGAACGATGATGGCGACCACCGCGCGCCTTCAAAGATGGTCGCTATCTCGGTTTCACTCAATGGCTCTTCGGAGAATGAACGCGGCGACCAGCGATTGATGAATAGCGGATCGACGTCGGCGGACGGGATACGAGGGGTTGCTGTTTCAGTCAATTGGTGGTTCCTAGCACTGGGTGCGCTTAATTGATGATGTCGGATACCGATTGTAAGTCGCAGGCTTCAGCGAGGGCCCGACGAACGACGTATATCGGTTGACGATATGGGATCTGAGAACTTTTCTTCGGGAATCTCGAGGAGTAGAGTTTCAAATCCTTCGGGTATGGTCAAGTCGCTGGCGGTCCGAAAGATGCCGTCAGCGTCATGCCGGCCGCCAACGACGAAACTTGAACCCAACGAGCGCAACTCGTTCAATGCCGCCATGGTCGGCGAGCCATTATCCGAGGCGTTGTAGAAGCGATCGTCGAAGAGCCTGACCGCCGTGTCAAACCCGATGGCGAACGTCGTGCCGGGCATTAAGCGAGCCTTTTCAACGAATGTGGCCGCCCGGGGTAATTACCAGTGTGTCGTCATCACACTGAAACTGTTCTAATCGCCGTTCGAGGTCAGAGGTGGCGATCTCCGGTTTCTCCACGTTTCGGATCGAAATCTCAAAACACGGGTTCAATCGCTCACCGGTGATTTCCCAACCCGCTTTGAGCAATGCGCGATGCCCCCGGTGCAACGGTCGAAAGGAACCGGCTAGCAACAAAGCGTTTGCGATCGGTTCCTCCGACCAACCAACTGTTGGGCGGAACACGCCAAACTGGTGCTCGCCTCTGATGACCGCTTCAATGAGTGACTCGTTCGACAATTTCACCATCCAAGAGATCGAGTTCGAGCCGGACCGCGACGCCGCATGCGTCGGCCAGCGCATTGAGAACGATCGCACCGCACAGCTTTTCCTCTTCCGCGCGTTCGCGTTCACCTTTATTCATCACGATTGAGTACGTCGCGCCTCGTTTCCCGTCATGCCATCCGATGTGCGCTCGATTTTCCCCTCTACGCATTCGGTCGGTAGCGATCGCCGCGGTGCATGACAGTCCGACCAATTGGTCTCCTTGGCCGTTTGGACCGGACAACTGAACCGCGCGATCGTATGCCGTTTCGGCCATCGCTTTTGCTTCATCGCTTGAAACGTGCTGTTCAGCTTGAAGGCCGACATAGCTGGTGAGTGCTGCTTTTGAATAGGGAATCTGCGCGTCGATCACCGTGCGGGAAGCTCCTGCGACCGAAAACAGGGTGGATATCGCGCTCGTTCCTGCACCGGTGATAACCAGACAAGCCTTCACTGGTGTGTCGTGAATCTGTTGCACGAGCGCGGTGACGCGTTGTTCGGTCATCCTGCCAACAACCCTCCATCTATCCCGACCATCTGACCGGTCAGGTACGAGGCTTTTTCGGATAGCAACCAAGCGACGAGTTCGCCGACTTCTTCCGGTTTCCCATAACGCGCCAATGGGACCGCGGCTTCGATCCTTCGACGCACATCGGCATCGCCGCGGTCGACGGCACGCATCATTTCGGTGTCGATCGGTCCCGGGCAGATGCCGTTTATGCGGATATTCATGCGGGCATAATCGAGAGCTGCCGCCTTGGTTAGTCCGCTAACCGCATGTTTCGTGGCGGTGTAAGCCGGTCGTCTGATGTCCGCGCGTAGGCCGTTGCGGGAAGAGTCGTTGACGATTGTGCCCCCGTTTCCTTGCTCGATCATCGCTTGAATCTCTGCTTTCATGCACGACCACATTCCTTTGACGTTGACATCCCACGATCTATCGAGCACGTCATCATCCATCTCGTGGATGCGACCGGTGTCCAACAGAACCCCGGCATTGTTGAAAGCACCGTCAATTTTTCCGAACGTCGAGATTGTGTGTTCAACCATGCGATGAACATCCGTCGGGTTGGTTACGTCGGCTCGCACATGCGTCGCGTTGCCCCCGTTAGCTCGAATCTGTGCGGCGACTTGAGCACAAAGTTCGGATCTTCGGGCGGCAATAACGACGTTTGCGCCGTGTTTTGCTACGACTTCCGCGGTGGCACGCCCAATACCCGAACTCGCGCCGGTGACAAGGATTGTTTTTCCGTCAAGCATGTTGGCCGTACTGGCGATAGTTGGCTTTATCCGACATGGCAGTGATTTGGTCCTTTTTCGTGGTCAGATTCAGATCGGTTTATTTGACAAACGCCGATTGTGGTGCTAGATTTACCCGCGTATTGTAAGCCGTCAGGCATGATGTATGCTGTATACTCTCCGCAGTTGCACGCGTCCATGATGTACTTGTGGCACTGTGAACGACCGGTTGGGGCTAGATGCGGCGGATCTGCGTCTAAGAACCGTCTCCGCCGGAACAATACAGGAGGTTCATTGCATGAAACTAACCTATCTACTCAAGCGGTGGGGATTCCTACCCTTGATGGTGGCTGTTGCGGCGACCGCATTCGGACTTGCCTGTGGTAGCTCCGAAGACCCTGCGACACCATTGCCTGCGGCACCTGCAAAAGCTGCAGCCGAAGCTGCGCCAGCTCAACAAGCGGCGCCGGCGGCAACCGCACGACCAGCTGAAAAAGCTGCCGCTGCGGCGAAAGCTGCTCCCGCCCAAAAGGGTGAGGCAGCAATGGATGCTGCCCCCGCTGCGACCGCCGCTCCGGCGGCTCCTGCAGCCGCAGCTATGGCTCCGACAACCATGGAAGAGGATGTCGAAGTCGTCTACGCGGTCCGGCGCGTCGGCGCAGTTATCGGTCTAGCGACAGTTGGCCCGTATTCTGGCACGCCGACAGTCTCTGGCGGTGTGGAAGAGTACTTCTACGTCTTCGAAAACGGTGACCCGATGACGCCAGAATTGGTTGAGTCTTGGGACATTGACCCCGCCGGTACTCGTGTGCGCATGACCATGAAACAAGGCCCCGATGGCAACGGTGTTCCGTACAACTCGCCAGTCGGATTCGAGGACATGGACTTTGGCGTCGCTGACGCCGATAGCATCGTTCGGTACTTCAATGAGTCGAACGCCACCACGAACCCCGACACCACATACGGAAACTCTGGCGACCTCGCCGCGATCTTCTTGGAAGCCAAGAAGGTTGACGATTGGACGGTCGAAATCGGACTGGTATCCCCGGTCTATTTCTGCCTACCGATCTCCCAGTTCGGTTGCTTAAGTGCAGCGCGCGGTCTCTACTACCTTGCACACGCCGACTCCATGGGAGTTGAGTGGGCTCGCGAACACCACATCGCCACCGGCCCGTTCGTCCAAGGGCACTGTGTACCGGGCGACCGTTGCACGACAGAAGCCGTGGATGGCCACTGGCGCGTCAGCGATACCGACATCGACTTGTTCACGCAGATCCAGGTCTCCGAGAACAACACTCGAATCGCAATGCTTCGCAACGGAGAAGCCGACTTGGCCGCTTTGGACTTCAAACTTGTTCCTGGCGTAGTCCAAGAAGGCTACCGCTTCCTAGAGACAATGCCTGGTGGCTTCGTTGGTCAGTCCATCTTGTTCCCGGGTCTTCTTTGGGAGCACTCGCACGCCCGAACTGAAGAACCGCTAGAGCCTTGGGCTTGTGGCGATGATCGCACCAGCGCCGCTATCGACAACGGTTGCGGTTCTGGCCCGAACGAGGGTCCGTACACACAGGACTACCCGTGGATTGGTAACCCTTGGGGAACCGAGGACGCGCCTTGCACTGACGGTGATGGCCCTGGACGCGAACGTTGCGGAAACGCGCCGTACGCGGACACTAACAACCCTCCGGGGATTGATGACATGGAACAGGCTCGCCTGGTCCGCGCCGCTTTGTCAGTCGCTATGGACAGAAACGAAATCAACAACGTCTTCCTCGATGGCAAAGGCACTCCCATCTACTCCGAGTACATGGGCCCAGAGTATCCTGGTTGGGATGCAGATCGTAACACTGGATGCTGGGACTGGATCGGTAACCGGATCGACTGCTCACCATTGGCCGCTGGAACCCCGTTCGAGAACGGTGTCCCATGGGAAGCCCCCAACGGCGACTTAGCGTTGGCTGATGCATTGCTCACCGCAGCCGGCTACCCGCTGGTTGGCGGCAAGCGTCAAGGCATCGAAAACCTTACGTTGCAGGCCTACGTTGCTGAAGCTGGTGAAGTCGGACTTGAAATCGCCGACTACATCACCTCGCAGTGGGAGCAGCTTGGTATCGAAATCGAACAGTTGATTGAAGACTATGGTGGAGTTATCTCGCAGCGCATGCGCCGGCGAGTACAGTTCCTCCCGGTCCTCAAGAACGGCGACGTTCACTCGAACGTCTACCCGCTTGACTGGCCGTTGCCGACCGTTGACACGTCATCCAGCCGACCTGGTTGGGGCGTAGGCTTCGAGTCGCAGCCTGGCGGCAAGTGGTTGTTCGAGATCCTCGCAGAGCAGGACAAGGCAGCTCGTGAAGCATTGCACCTAGAGTGGGTCGATTACTCGATGTACTGGGTGCAGTACGCTGGTGCGTTCCAGGTGCCGAAGGGCATCGTCGCTGGTCCGAGAATCGCTGCTTGGAACGGTAGGCAACAGCACTACAGCAACGTTTCGACCAACCCAGAGTTCATAACTCTGAGGTAGTACCGCGAGACGACGAAAATGTGTGTGGGCAAGGAGCTCCTGACCCGATGAGGGTTTGTGGGCTCCCGCCTGCGCAACTTCGAGTGGCGACGGGAAACGCGGTTTGTTGAAAACCGCCCGCCCGTCGCCACTTGAACAGTGTCCGGACGGTCACCCGACACGGAACGCAGCCTAATTTGATGGCTCCCGAAACGAATTGGCGATCTCGGGCATCATAGACGGCATGTTCCTCCGTGATGACCTACTATCGACATTGACCCCGATATGAGGATGCATAAGGATCGCTTTGGATTAGATCCGGGAGCCAGCAATGTTTCGTTTCTTGGCAGGTCGCATATTAACCTCGATGGTGTCAGTATTTGGTGCCACACTTGCGATATTCATCCTCGTTCACGTCAACCCCAAAGATCCGCGTGAGATATTCGTACCCCAAAGCGGTTACGGACTGACGCAGGAGAGCTGGAATCGCCTTGGCGATCGGCTCGGGTTCGACAAACCTGCCCCAATTCAATACATCGAGTGGCTGGGGCGTGTATTCCGATTAGATTTCGGCGTTTCATTGGGCCTACAGATTGACGTTTGGGACATCATTAAAGGTCGATTAGGCGCAACAGTGCAGTTGGGTGTGGGAGGTTGGTTGATAGCCGTGCTAATGGGCATTCCAACTGGCGTGATCGCGGCCGTCTGGAGGGGCGGCATATTCGATTATTTCGCTCGATTCGTAGCCTTGCTCGGACAGGCTGCTCCTGCATTCGTGACCGGCATCGTGATGATCTGGATATTCTCGGTAACGCTTCATGGGATCCCCGACGACAGTCCGCTATCGTTCATGCGAATCTTCGCGATGCCCGCGGGTGGTCGGACGCCGGACGAATTTAGGTTCAAAGAGTACATATTGCCCTGTTTGGCGCTCGGATGGGGCTCGGCGGCTGGATTGATGCGTCTGACACGGTCCTCGATGCTTGAGATTCTCGATTCGGAATTTGTCAAGATGGCCCGGGCGAAAGGCGTTGGCAACACCACCGTGATTTTCAAACACGCGCTTCGCAACGCGTTGATCGCACCGATAACTTCGATGTTGTTGCTATTCGCGGGGTTCTTGAACGGTGCCTTGGTGATCGAGATCGTGTTTTCCTGGCCGGGAATCGGTCAGGTCGCATTGCAGGAAGCCGTGCAAAACAACGACTTCCCACTGCTGTTGGGAACGGTTATCGTCTTCCTAGCGTATTTCTTGGCATTCGCGACGATAGCAGATCTTCTCTACACCGTGATCGACCCAAGAGTGCGGTTAAGATAAGCCGGTCATCGAGATGATCGTGCATATTTGAGGTAAATGCGCATGGCAACAGAAGTTGACAGGACGGAATCCGCGGCCGAAATGGCGGCCATCGAGGACGACAGCGTTCGCATATACGGCCAGACCAGCAACCCTTTAGCTAAGGTCTGGTTCTACCTCCGCCGCTACCCAATTATTCCAGTGATAATCCTGATCGCTTTGCTGCTCTCGGCGATTGTCGGTCCTTATGTCGCGCCTTTTCCGCGAGACAAAGGTTTTTCTCACGACCGCAACTTAGGGCTCTGGGAAAAATCGAGAGCCGCGTACATCCCTTTGGGCGGAACTACGATCGCGGAACTTAGCTACCGGTCTTGTGACTTCATAGAGCCTGGTGGTTCGCCACAGTCCGAGAATATCGAACAGTGCGGGAAGTTGCACATCCTCGGTGCCGACCACACGGGGCGTGACATCTTCAGTCGGCTACTTCACGGCTCCAGGATATCGATCGCGGTCGTCACTTTCTCGCTGACTTCCGGGATGATCCTCGGTACGGCGGTCGCATTGTTCAGCGGTTACTACGGCGGTTTCCTAGATGAAATAGTCACTAGATTTGTTGACATATGGAACGCATTGCCTTTCCTGATGGTGGCGATCGTCGTAACCCAGCTATTCGGCTCGAAGGTTAATGTTTTGGCTTGGAAAGTGGACATGCTCTTGTTCGTTCTCATGCTGGTGGCATGGGTAGGATTCGTCCGCGTGATCCGAGCCCAAGTGTTCGTCTTACGCGAGCTGGACTATGTAGCCGCAGCTCGGGTCGCCGGCGCCTCCGACATCCGGATCATTTGGCGCCACCTCGTACCGGGTATTATGAACACCGTTATCGTGGTCGCGAGTTTGAACACCAGCGGCCTGATCCTCGCAGAGTCCACACTCAGCTTCGTCGGTGCTGGCATCCAACCGCCGACACCGGCTTGGGGTGTTATGGCTAACGAAGGACGCGACTACATCCTCGAAGCTTCACACTTGACGCTCGTGCCCGGGTTCGCCATCTTCCTCGTCGTGCTGTCAATGAACTTCTTTGGCGACTGGTTGCGAGACCGATTGGATCCACGGTTGCGGCAGGTAGCTTAGACCGTAATCAGGAGGTGCAGATGAGAAAGAAAGCGCTTGCACTCTTAGTCGCTGTTTGGGCGATCATGACCCTGTCAGCGGCAGTTGTAGCCTGTGGCGAAACGACGTCGCAGTTCGAAACCATACAGACGTTTGAAGCCGAGCAAAAAATCGTCAACGCCACCGCAACGGCCGCGGCAGTAATCGCGGCTGGTGGTGATCCGGATGCCGGAATCCAAGTCGGTACCGGTTCGATCGCTGCGCAAGCGCAAGCAACCGCAGCCGCTAAAGCTACAGCAGATGCCGAAACGGGTTCGACCACTGGTGGCGTCGCCGTTGGAACCGATGCTGGCTCTGAACAATCGCAAGTGGAAGGCGAAGAAGCCGTAGCGATCGAAGTTCCCGAGGGAGCAGCCCTCGAAGGCGAAGCCCGGGTGCTGCTTACCGATACGTACTTTTTCGAGCCAGAAGTGATAAAGGTAAAGGTCGGAACTAAAGTCATCTGGGAGAACCCCCGCAGTAGCGCCAGCAGTGCGCGGAGTTTCGAGGGCGAAGCCGAACAATGGGACACGGGTGCTCTTTGGAAACCGTCTTTCGGCGGCGACGAATGTTGCGGCGAACACACCTTCACGATCGTCGGGTGCCATCGCTATCGGTCCGAATTTTCTGGTGACTCCGCCATTGGAGCCGTGTGCGTCGTCGAGTAAGCGCGACTTACCGGATGGGGGACGTTTGCGGGCTACGTATGACCTTAGGCATCGAGTCACGCAGTGTGGCGTTCAACCGCCGCCTACAGGGCGAACGATCTCCAATGTGTCACCGTCGTCAATGGTGACGTTGCCATAGTCGTCTCGAGGGATTACGTCGCCGTTGTGAGCAACTGCGAGACGACGTCCGGTAAGCCCCTTTTCGTCGAGGTAATCAGCAAGCGAAATTGCCCTCGTTTAGTTCGAGTTCCCGGCCGTTGAGCGTGACTTGGATCGGCATCTGATGTCTGGCCGACGTGGTCGGAGAGGGGAGTCGACAGCGTTAGGCTGCTTGCGAGACTGCGTCGACGTCAGGGTCTATCGAATTTCCTTGACCATCGATGATGTTGGGTTGCGCACCACTAACGATCGTTTCTTTGGTGACGATGCACTTGGATGCATCCGGACACGACGGCAGGGCGTACATGGCGTCCATAAGAACGTCCTCTACGATCGCCCGTAAACCCCGAGCACCCATTCCTCGGGCCTGGGCGTATTCCGCGATGGCCACCATCGCGTCTTCCGTGAATTCGAGATCCACATTGTCGAGACCTAACAGCTTCTCGTATTGCGACACGATCGAGTTCTTCGGCTCGACCAAAACCTTGACCAATTGATCGAGCGTCAAGTCAGACAAACCGACAACCACCGGGATCCTGCCGATAAACTCCGGAATGAAGCCGTAGTTTCGGAGGTCTTCCGGTGTTACATCGGTGAGGTCCCGACCTGACCCGAGGTGGCGATCGGGCAGCGACGCATAAGCGTCGACGATGGCATTGGTCCTGAAACCCATACCGGCTCCTTCACGAGAACGCCTTTCACGCCGACGGATTAACTGGTCGATTCCGTCGAATGCGCCTCCGAGAATGAACAAGATGTTCTCGGTGTTTACTTGGATAAATTCCTGGTGCGGATGTTTGCGTCCACCATGCGGCGGGACGTTGACGACGTTTCCCTCGAGTATTTTCAGCAACGCTTGTTGAACGCCTTCACCTGAAACGTCTCGAGTGATTGAAGGGTTTACATCCTTGCGTGCGATTTTGTCGATCTCGTCTATGTAGATAATACCCCGCTCAGCCCTCGCAACGTCCCCTCCGGCGGCTTGGAGCAGCCGCAACAGGATATTCTCTACATCTTCACCAACGTAACCTGCTTCGGTGATGGAGGTGGCATCGACGATGGCGAATGGGACCTTAAGGATTTGTGCCAAGATCTGGGCGAGGTAGGTCTTCCCGCAGCCCGGAGGGCCGACCAACATGATGTTGGTCTTTTGCAATTCGACGCCATCATCGTCGGAGCCGTTATGCTGGCTCGCCAAAACCCGCTTGTAGTGGTTGTAGACGCCGACGCTGAGGACCTTCTTGGCCTGTTCTTGACCGATGACGAACTGTTGAAGCTGATCGTAGATGTCAACCGGCTTGGTCGGATAGACGTTAGTCGGTTTGGTTTCAGCGTCGTCCGACCTCGGCGCTTGAGTGGCTTGGCGGATGATGCCTCGGCAACGTTCGACGCATTCGTCGCAGATAAATATGCTGTTCGGACCGGCAATCAACATACGGATCTCTTGCTGCTGTTTCTTGCAAAACGAGCATCGCTTCTGGACCCGTCCTCTTTGGATAGAGTTTCTATCGCCGCCGCTGTTCATGTGTTCGATCCGATTTCGATTAGCCAGTTCCCTTTAGACGAATGTGAATTTCGCAGCTGCCTATGCAGCTGCCTCGGCTTGGAGAATCCTAGCGTCTCTCGGGTTTGCCGTGGCCGTATGGACTTGATCCACCAACCCATACTCCGATGCCTGCTCCGCGGTCATCCAAAAGTCGCGATCGCTATCGCGCGCCACCTGCTCGTAAGGTTGACCCGTATGGTCGGCGATGATCTGCCGCAGCTTATCTTGGATACGCAGGGTCTCCCTAGCGTGGATTTCGATGTCCGACGCCTGACCCTGCATGCCGCCCCACGGTTGGTGCATCATGATCGTCGCGTTGGGAAGCGCGTACCTCTTGCCGACGGCGCCCGCAGCGAGCAAAACTGTGCCAAAACTGGCGCACAACCCTACGGATATCGTTGAGACATCGCAAGAGACGAGCTGCATGGTGTCGTAGATCGCCATGCCGTCGTACACCGAGCCACCGGGGCGAGTTGATGTACATGTTGATATCCCGCTCAGGGTCGTCCGCCGCAAGGTACAGCAACTGTGCGACGATCGTGTTGGCGACCTGCGCATTGATCGGTGTTCCGAGAAAGATGATCCGTTCTTTCAGCAGCAAAGAATAGATGTCGTAAGCGCGTTCCGCGCGTCCCGGTCTCAATCACCATTGGAATGAGGCTCTGCGGGGTTTCAAGTTGTGCCATTCGAATGTCGTCTCCGTCTAAGGTTTGGTGTGGATCCGCCCGATGATCGAGGGGTTGTAAAGCTACGCGGTAGCTGCTTCGACGGGAGCGTCTTCGGACAATCCGCGTGCCATGTTGATGACTTTCTCAATCGTACGCTGTCGTTTCAAGTAGTGCATCACCGATCGACGCGTCTCATCATTGTCGTCGAGTCTCTGCTCGTCCGATGTCGCGTTCTCGTTCGCACGTTCGATCTCGGCAGTGATGTCTTCCTCAGGAATCTCCAAGTCTTCGGCCTCGATCAAGTCATCAATGACTAATGCGTTCTTGATTTCCCGCTCCGCGTATTCCTTGGCGCCATTCACGTCTTCTTCTGTGAGTTCCCCCACGGCGAATTGTTGGCCTGTTCGCGTCGCCATCGAGCGCCGTTGCTGAACGTACCGTTCGAGGACGTGTTGGCTTTCATGTTCCACCACGATCGGCGAAATCGTAAATTCGCTTGCCTCGACTACTTCGTCGAAGAATTTGCTCTGGACCGAGCTGACTAATGTTTGCTCGGCACGTTGTTCAAGTTGGTCCCGGATGTGTTCAGTGAGTTGGTCCACGGTCTCTACTTCTGGTACCCCGGCAGACACCGCAAGCGCGTCGTCCATCTCTGGCAATACTTCTTCACGTACATCCTTTAATGTGACCTCAACGTGGGCCGTCGTTCCCGCAAATTGCGGTGATTCGTGATCTTCCGAAACCTCAAACGAAAACTCTTTTTCGTCTCCGACCTCCATCCCGATAACACCTTGGTGCAACCCAACGAACACTTCGCCATATGTTTCAAGATCCAAGTTGAGCTGGAACTGACGATCGGTGAAATCCCACACGACATTGTCGTCCCGCCGATACCTTAATGTCGATGGTGACGATGTCGCTCTCTTGGGCCGGGCGCTCCGCAGATACTGAATATGCTTGGCTGCGACGCAACTGCATCATCAGCGCGTCTACTGCTTCGCCCGTAACTTCATCCGGTTGATCGTCGTAACGGATGGAACCGTAATCGCTGATGACCACAGTCGGCTGAAGTGGGACCGTCGCGAGGATAGTAACCGTCGGTTCAGTCTGCTCGACGTTGACTTGAGGTGGAGCGAAAGGAGTTAGTTCCTGCTCTTTAACCGCGTCGCCAACAGCTTCCGGAACTAAAGATTCCATCGCTTCTTCGACAAGATAATCCTTGCCGACGAAGTTCTGCAAAATCGCCCTTGGCGCCTTGCCTTTTCGGAACCCAGGGATGTCTACCCGTTGTGCAACTCTCCGCACTGCGGCGTTCATGTGCTTCCCGACGCGTTCGGGCTCGACTTCAAGTCGGAGCACTATCTCGCCGTTTTCCGAGCTTTCTTGTGAAACGTTCAATCCGCACTCTTTCGTGTCGCGATGGCCAAGGTAGCAACCAACTTGTTACAAGATGCGCGCAAAACAGGGATTTCTCGCGAAATCACGCGTAACGACTCATTCGATTTTAACTTATCGCCCGATTTGAACCCATCAGCCGACGCTGCGATCGAGTTCCGGCTCCGACGAGGGGCATTGCTCACTCTTCGACGTCGAC